CCCACCAGCAATGTACAAGTGTACCCTTTTCCCCACATCCTCGCCAGCACTTGTTGTTGTTTGACTTCATAATGGCTGCCAATCTAACTGGAGTGAGATGGTATCTTAGGGTGAGTCAGGAATCTTTTGACTTCACCTGAAACACATTCCAGCTAGTTTAAGCACAAAACAGTCCATGAAGAGTTACGTCTTATTTAACCACAGGACACGTTTGGGGAAATGTGTCATTGGGTAATTTGGTCATTGTGCAACCGTCATGGGGTGTACTTACACAGACTAGGTGGCTTGGTGAATGATCCAACCATTTTCAAGTGTTGTATGTACACGTGATTGTACATGCTGTGCCTTTATATGACTGGTGGTGCACTAGGCTTGTTCACACCAGTATTGCCACAGACACGTGAGCAATGACCTGTGCTGTGGCATTATAATGGCTATGATGTCATTAGGAACTTTGCAGCTTCACTATAGTTCCATGGGAGCACCATCACCTGTGATCCATTGTTGACGGACATGCCGTCGTGCAGTACATGACCCTATATGCAACCTCATTGGATCTCTATCTGAAATAAATTTTGGTGTAATCCATCTCTCAGGAATTCTGGAGCTTGGCAATTGATAACTTCCTTCTTGTTGAAGGATTTTTTATTGAACATCTTGTCTCTATACCTTCAGGGTTGACTGCATCAAATTGAGCAGGTGTTTTGGCTTCAGAAATTGCGAAATTTTACAATCTATTTGTTAATGATTTGGAGTAACAGGGATGACTGAATTGTTGCATTTTGCAGAAAATCACCTAAAATCACCTAAACAAAAAAAGTAAACATATAGTCAAATAATATAGTACTATATGCAGAACTGCAAATAAATGGAAATGTCACGTGCTGGCTTCTAAAGTGGACCAGATATCATTTTAAAATAGTGGTGGTCAGACAAAGTAGACAGGTAGATTTCAGAGAAGATACGTGAGAGATGGGGGATAGAAATTGAATTGGAAGTCTCAGAGATGGTAATGCTTTTCAGGAAAACAAAGGTAATTATATTGGGACAAAGGGAAAAATAAACATGGATGAGTCAAGTGGAGTTGAATTCAGGACAGCCTTGAAAAGCACAACAGATATTTCAGGTGTAATTCAGTAGGTGGGGCAGGGAGGAAGTAATCATAAACACCAGGGCTGGAAGTTCCTGTAGCTGAGTCAGTTGAGAGGTCTTGAATCTGAGCATTCCATCAGGGGTGGTCCTGCACCTGCTTTCGTGAGCAGCAATCTCACCGTTTCCCCAAGCAGACATCCTGTCTGTAATTGAGTGGAGATCTGTCTCCTCGTCCATGCCTTGTGGGCATACAGAATGTTCCTAATCCCTCTTCCATATGACAGCCCTTTCAATATCTGAAGACAGCTGTCATGTCTTCCCCATATCCTTACGGTTTAGAGCAGAGAAGAAATGTGATGAATGTGGTGGTTAGTAATTGCCAGTTACTATGAAGAGGCAGGGCTCTGAGTGACAGCCGGAACAGTCTTCCTGCTGTAGTGCAGCCATTGAGCTTCACACTCCTGGAGGCTGTCATGGTGGAACTCACTCCAGGTCAAACTTGAGACCATGGCTTTGATTTCATGCTGTCTTTAATTCCGAGGCATGGGAAGCTTTCTTTCCCTCTTTCTTTTCTACCTTTTCATCCTCCTTCTCTCCTTTCTTCCTTCTCTCCTTTCTAATGCTTCTCTTTGTTGATAGAACCTGAACAGCACAACAGCTAAACAGTTCAGGCTTTGCAAGTCAGTCCTGGATTTGGATTTGGTGTTTCTACTTCTCAGTGTGTGACAATGGGCACATTTTAATCTCCCTGGTTGCTTAGCCTTTCCTTCTGAATGAAGGGAGAGAACACCTGCCTTCTAGGATTGATATTGAGCATAAATGGAAAAGACAGGTAGGTAGAAAGAGGTTTATGGTATGGAATTGGATTGCGTGATTATGAAGCTGAGGAGTCACAGCCACAACCTGGAAGCCCAGGGGAGAGCCGAGGTGTCATTTCAGCACACAGAGGTTACTGGCGAGTTCCCATTCAAAAGCCAGCAGGCTTGACACCTAGGTCTGCAGGCAAGAGAAGACTGATCTCCCCCGCCCCGCCCCAGGAGCAAGGCAGGAGCAGCTCTGGACCTCTCACCCATCCTTTTTGCCCTGTTGAAGTGAGTTTGTGAGTTGCTCCCACAGCAGAGCAGGCGATCTGCTTTGCTGCTCACCCAGAAACACCTTTATTGACACATCCAGAATAACGTTTGGTCAAATGCATAGGCACCCGTGCCCCAGACAAGTCAACACAAGAACTTAATCATCATGCTTAATCATCATGTGTATTTCTAGGAAGAAAGAAGTTCTAGGAAGAAAAATAGAAGCAGGTAAAGGAAGAGAATGTTGGGGGGAATTGTTTCACATTAGCGTAAGTCATCTATCACGGATGCTTGGAAAGGTACATCTCCACCAAGACTGGGTTAGATGAGCACCAAGCTCACCTTGTTGAAGATGAACTCCAAGTATAGCTGAAATGAGCCCCTGGCTCCACATCCACTAGTCCAATGCTATTTCATATAACGGTGACCATTCATGCTGCCTTTGTGAGGACAACTGTGGTAAAGAAAGCATGGTGCATTAGAAAAGGCAGATTGGACCAAACATTTAGAAGACCTGGTGTCCTGTCCTAGCTGCTAGTAACCAATGAGTTCATCACCGATCCTCTCTGAATCTGAGTTTCATTTTCCAAAAAATGAGGACAATAGTGGTTCTTTGTGGGAATGTTGTAAGAAACAGAATATGCCAATGTATCAGAAAACTCTTAGAACAATTTGAGCTCTTGACAAATAGAAAATGATCTTAACTCTTTTTTTTTTTAAATGTCTCTTCGGTGAGAAGTCTGTAGCCAATCATGGCTTGGTAACAGTGAGCTTCCAAGAGTTCTACTACACCAAATTCTTAGGGATTTTCTTTTGCTTTTGGTTAGGAAACTTGAAGTCAACCTCACAGGAGACTTAAGTGAAAAATTGTTCTGCAACCACAGTTTTTTTTTTTTTTTCTTCAAATGTCTTGATTAATGAATGGCCTTGCTATATATTTTGCTAGTGGCATAGAAAAAAATAATTCAAAGCCACTAAATGAATCCTAGACTAGTTGTGGTGAAATAATTATGAGGTTTCCTGACTGTATATTAAGACAGTGTGAGTAAAAATAGTACACTTTTGCTTTTCATTCAGCTTAGCCACTAGCATTGGGGAAACATCAAGGAAGATAAGCAACTCTGATAAAACCTCCCTGATCTCTAAATAACTGTAGCCTGTTTTCCCAGTGCAGTTGCATGGCAGGGCAGGAGAGACCACATTTAACTGAACTATCATGGTTCATTTCTCTAATGCTTAAGTTATGAATTACATGAAAACATTATTTTTTTAAAGAACACAATTCAATTTAGTTCACATTCAATGATGTGACAAGAGTTGAGCAGCCCAAAGGGTCTAAAAAGGTAATGCATAAAATTCCTTACTTCTCAAAGTGTTCGAGGTCTAGTCAGGGAAATAGAAATATTTGCAAAATGCAATATTCCATTGTAACAAGTACAGTAACTATATAAAAATTCAAGGAAGGAAATGAGGGTATTTAGAGTCCCATCTGGGGGCAGTGGAAAAATATTCATGGAGATAGTGAAGGGTAACCTGGGTTTTGAAGGATGAGTAAGAGTTTACCTGGCAGAAAAAGTCCTGTAACTCCTGTAGTCCTTTTTATTTTTTTGTATTTTCATTAACTTGTATGGATGAATATTTTTCTCCATAAATACGCTGTAAACATTTCTACATAAACCCAAACTAGATCTTTAATCTAAATGCCATTAAGACAAAAGAACTAATGTGGTTTAAAGGGAAGACTTTTAATTTGGTAATTTTATACCATTTTCATTAAAATAGCAGCCCCACCCTCACATGTAGTTACTCTTTATAAGATAATAAGATTTTGTTTATTTTTATAGGCCCCTTAAAAATCTGAATGTATGTTCTCTTAATATAGTTATTTTATATTACTGGGAATTTAAACTGCCTGTAAGGGGAAATTTGTCACATTCCTTACGTTCCTTGTTCCCTAGAACAGTGCTCTTGGTACTACACAGTTTAAAAAAAAATATATATATATATATATATATATGTATATATACATACATATATATATACACATAAATTTCATCTGGGAAATTAGTTGTACAATCTCAAATTAACAGACACAGATTTAGAATTTCTCATTATGTTAATAACACGATTAAATTAGTATGAAATTATCAGTAAAGAGCCACTTTTTACAGGCTACTTTTGCACCAAGTGCATATCTTTAAAGGAGAAAATAGTTCTGGACAGACAGTTGGAGATGCTTGTAGAGAACACATATTAGCTGCAGACACAGCAGGGCAAGCCTATCTATAGAGACACTGCTTTATATTAGAGGCTCCCCCCTCCCTCCCTCCATCCCTCCCTTCCTTCTTTCCTTCCTTCCTTCCTTCCAAGTATTAAACCCAGGGGCACTTTACCACTGAGCTACATCCCTAGCCTCTTCTGTTTATTTTGAGATAGGGTCTCACTATGTTGCTGAGGCTGGGCTCAAACTGCGATCCTCTTGTCTCAGCCTCCCAAGTCTCTGGGTTATAGTTGTACACAACCACAACTGTTCCCCCTCCACACTTTCTAAGTGTATATGCTGTAGAGTGCCTTCATGAGATATGGGACATGTTACCTGGGTTCAAATCCATGCTTTGCCACTTAGCTATCTGACACCTTGGGCAAATCACAGAATTCTTATATGACATAATTTTCAGGACTGATAATAATAGTACCTGTCTCATAGTACTATCTATTAAATCAATAGATTGATGTGAAGGGCACGCCGTTTAATATAATGATGAATGTAGCCTTCAGATATGGAATGGCAGGAAACTGTTAGTTCTCCCAGGCTTTCTTACCTTGCAGCTTTAGAAGGTGCAGAACTGAGTGAGAACTGTTCTTTCTCTACTTGTGCAGTTGTTCCTTTTGATTCTGATATCAGACAGCTGTGAGCTTTGCAGTCTGCCTCATATATTGAGTGTTGCATTTAGCTGTTAAAGCATATATCTATATTTTTACTCTTTCTGGTTTTTTTTCAGAGTTGTGTTTTTGATAAAGTTCATGTTCTGCCAAAAGCTGAAATAGAATATAATTCAAGAGGTCATTCTCCTTATCCCTTTGCTTAACTTTATTTTTCTTTTTGGTGTATGCAAAAACTTACTGACTAGGATGTTTGTCAAAAAAATTGCAAATATCCAAAGTGTACAATATTTCTCTATGTTTTAACTGTACATACAATATTGAGAGCAAAAAGGATTTAGTTTATTTAAAAATGAATCACTGAATATTGTTTTTTTTTAAATTTTTTTAGTTGCTGATAAGACATTTGTTTTATTTATTAATTTTTATGCGGTGCTGATGATTGAACCCAGTGCCTCACACGTGCTAGGCAAGCACTCTACCACTGAGTCACAACCCCAGCCTTGAATATTGTTTTAACAATAAGAGTATATTACTTATTCATCTTTAATGCAATTTAAATTATATTTTGCTACTGGGTTTTATGCAATATTAACCTGGTCCCCCAGGCATATGTATTTTTTCCCCTACCATCTGATTCATTTAAAGTCACTTGCTTATTTTCTTTTTGATTGGCCTCTTTCCCTTAATGAATACTGAGATGGATAAGGTGTTTGCCAGTGGAAGGTGATAGTATTTGTCTTCAGTTTTGAAACTGGGCTTGTTTTATCATGACAAGAATTTGGGTATATTTCTCAAAATATCTACTAGAGCAGCTAGAATAATGTTTGAGATGTGTAATCATAGAACTTGAACATAACAGCTTTAAATCTCTTTAAATAGCTTTGGTTAGGAAACTTGAAGTGTCTAGATGCCTCTGGCAAAGGTAAACCTGCTGACAGGACAATTGTGACACTTGTCTATGGGCAGGTCCACCCACATTCACCCGCCTGAAGACCTATGCACTGCCTTTGTGCTTGTTACAACAGACAATAGCCACTAGGTTTCATTGTGTTTGGATTTATCTTAGAGTAATAACCTGGGTTTAGGACCTTTGGGGAAAAAAGTTTTTATAGTTCCCTTGTGAGTATGTAGAAAAATCATACTTTGGAATACAGAACCAGTAGTAGATTTTGACATCTGAAGTCCTTGAAAAGAACATCTTTCTGCTGATGTAACAGATGCTGGACTTTAAATTAGGAAACAGGGCACCAGTCTTAATTTCAAATACAATATGCTGAAATTATAGCTTGCATTTAGGATTTTGGGTGCTTGCATTATATGACATAAACATAAAAGTATTTTCCTAGATAATGTCTTCTGCAAGCCAGGTAGGATTACTTCACTTTTCTTTTAATTAGTTAGTTTGAATATTTGTGTGTGTGGCATAATAAGCAGCCCACCCTTCCTCCTCAAGATCTCAGATTTTGACTACCACCCACATCTATCCACCTGGTGCTGGCACTACCCCAGATCCATGGTCCTCTCACCCAAGCAGTCCACCTTGGATCCCTTCTTTCCTGTTCCCTTGCTGTCCTTTTTACCTAGGTCTACCATCACATTTAAATGTAATGTTCTTGTACCTACATTTTTTTCAACCACCAAATATTGCTATTTTCCAAATGGCAGTAGGTTGCTGAGATTCCTTCCTACTGCTGTATTTCAGTGAAATAGCTCATTTAATTTTGCTGTTATATTACTTTCCATTCAATGCCATAATTAATGATCCTCTCTCATATTAATGGTATTTGAGTTGTTTCCAGCTTTTTACTACTGTGAACAGTGCTACTGTTAAATTCCACCTACTTATCTCCCGTTGTATGTGTGAAAGAATTTCCCTTGTTGTAGACTCAACAGTGGATTGCTAGGTGATAAGGTTGGTTCAATATTTAACTTTAGAAGGAAATGCCAACAATTGCCTACAATAAAAACAGTGAATTTACAAATGGGTTTACAGTTTTGAATGTTGGACAGGGAGAGAACAGAAGTGATTAGGATGTGATGATTATAAGGGAGGAGGAGAGAAGATATAAGTAAAAAATAAAGAGTGAAAGAGAGAATAATAGAGATTGACTGTTAACAGCAGAAAAGAGAAAAAGAAAATCAAGGGAAAGAGATATGTAAGACAAAAATATATTTAAATTAAACATTTTAAAATTAAAAATAAAAATAACAGACTACAAAGCAAAACTGAAATATATGTATCAAACTTCCTAGTCCTCATAAAAAATGATCCATAAAATAATGGCTTCAGAAATGCTAGAAATAATAATAATAAAAAAACAAATGTGAATATGTATAAATGGCTCTGAACCATTAAGGTCAATTAAACAGAGAAAAGAAAAAAGGAAAAATCTTGATGAAAAGTTAAAGAATCATCTCTGTTGGAGTTCAAAGGATTTTCAGTTTCCCTCTCAGAAGTGATAGGTGAGGTTGTCTGGAGTGTGATGCTTGCTCCACCCTGGGGGTGGGGGTTTGTTAGAAAAGAGAGGTTATCCTATAGGCAGAATTTCTGGAGTCAAGGTTTAGGCTTAGATATACTCCAGGCTCTTTGCTGAATGCCAATTGGTCTGGAGTTATTTATTTATTTACTTTTTAAGTACCAGGGATTGAACTCAGAGGCATTCAACCACTGAGCTACATCTCTTTGAACACAAGGATATTGCATTCAGCTCTATTTTGTATTTTATTTAGAGACAGGGTCTTATTGAGTTTTACTTAGCAAGCCTTGCCATTGCTGAGGCTGGTTTTGAACTCGTGATGCTCCCGTCTCAGCCTCCCAAGCTGCTAGGATTACAGGTGTGCACTACCATTCCGGCTGGTCTGGAGATTTTAAATCTGCACACCTCCAGGGCCCAGCAGTTGCAAGTGCACACTGGAAGATTGCATCCCAGAGATCACCCCTTGGTCCCACTCATGTGGTGGAGGAGCCAATTCTTAGTCCACTGGATCACTGGCAGCCCCCACATTTTCTGGTCTCGGGTGGGTTCAGTCTCCAAACTCAATCTCTTCCACCCCTGCCCTTTCAAATTCCTGGCCAGGTGCTTTTCTATTTTTCTATTCTGCCATCTTGAAAACCCTCTACATTCATTTATTGACCACGTATATTTCCCATTCTCTATAAAATCTGTTCATGTTTCTTAATATAAATTCTTTTTCTTGGTTTAACATATTACACAGGTATTTTTCCAGCTGGTCCTGAAAGCGGCAGGATCAGAGGGGGAGGGGAGAGCCAGATGGGTTTATACGATCAACTGTCTCCTGTGTAAACCTCTCTCCATGTTTGATTTTCTCCTGGTCACTTAGGCACATTCTATGGAGTGCAATGTCGGTTTACCAGGCCTATATATTGGGCCAAACTCAGGTTTGCCAGGAATCGGCTCCCCCAGCTGCTGGCCACTGTGCTGTGCTTTCAAAATAGTTCTTTCCTCTCTCCTCCACATGCAGGTGGGAGAAATGGGGCTCCCCCTGTCCCCCACACAAGGTTATTGTGTTCAGTGTGCCTTTCAGTTTAGTCAGACAGTGTCTTTGATCTCTAAACTCTCCTTACCCAGACATGCCTCAGGCCTCCTAAAAATATGGGTTTCTTTAATTCCCTTATCCTTCTACTTTGCTCACAGAGGGACTGTTGTGGCTCATGCCTCTGGCTGCAGTGACAGCTGTAACGCTGGGGATTTCTTCCTTATTATATCTAACCTCCTGAGTCCCTAATCTGCTTTGAATATACAGTATTAAATTCCAGTATAACCCCACCCCCAGCCCCATTTTTGTTCACCCACCTTGCTGAGGGGCTGCCTATCTGCTTTCTGGGTTTCACACCACAGAGCAGCCAGGAAAATGACCTCCATTCTGCCATCTTGAAAACCCTCTACATTCATTTATTGACCATGTATATTTTCTGTTCTCTATAAAATCTGTTTATGTTTCTTAATATAAATTCTTTTTTGGTTTTATATATTACACAGGCATTTTTCCAGTTGAACTTATCTTTTTTATTTTAAGGTGTTTTTGAAATTTTAGTATTATTAAAGTTATCTTTTGTTTTATAGTCAGTTGATTTTATACCTTACCTGGGCTAGATCTTCTTTATATCTCTAAGTTACTATGACTTCAATGTACTCAATAAACAGAGCATTCTTAATGGAGATCATTTTTTAAAACATAAAATACCAGTTTTCTTACTCCTCTTCCACATAAACAGAAAGTGTTTCTTTCTAAGAGCTTTTCTGCATTGTTCCTTAACAATTGTGTGAGTATTTCTAGCAGTTTTGGAAGAGAACTACTCTTCATTTGGGAGTAGGCTTTCCCCAGAAAAAAAAAATTAGAGAAATGGGTCCTTAAAGCTTAATCAGACCTCAATTTTCCCTGCTTATGTCCAAAACCCACATTAATTTTTATCCCATAATTCGTGGCAGTATTCCATTTTAGACTTTTCTTGGTTTGTTACAGTAGGGCTGACTCCCAGATACAAAGCTGGTAGCTTTCTTCTATTAAAAAATGGGAATTTATTGCCAAAAAATATAAACTATTAACTTTTGGAGTGAGGTGTACTGTTGAGCTCCATAGGAGACTGGAGTATTTCATTGGCAAATATATTCCCCCCCATCTGGTAAAAGTATCTAGATGTTCCATGCATATTTATTTCTGGAAAAAAAAAAACGAGACCCTTTAAGGCAAAGTGGTGTGGTAGGTGCAAAGGCATATTAAGCTGCCAATGCCAACCATAGTAGTTCAGCTGTTTTTCTTTAGGTTATAAACATATTGGTTTTGTTTCTTAACACACTTGTGCTTTGGTTTTCAATATATAAATTATATTTTAAATATTTTTTGTCTTTTTTTTCATATTACAAATTTAATTAGTTAGCAGGACGTACATGGTAAACAATGCCTTTTAACAACTAAAGTTTGAAATTTGAGAGTAATGCCCATCTTCCAATGGGTGTAACCCTAAGTTTTTTTTTTATTGGTTCTTTTAGTTATGACAGTACAATCCATTTTGATGTAATTATACGAGCATGGACTGTATCTTATTCTAATTAGGACCCTATTTTTGTGGATGTACACAATGGTGGGATTCACTATGGTGTATTCATATATGCACATTGAAAAATTATGTCAGATTCATTCCGCTGTCTTTCTTTTTCCTTTCCTCCCTCCTTTCCCTTCATTCCCCTTTGTCTCATCCAATGCGCTTCACGCCCCCACCCTTATTGTGGGTTAGCTTCCACATATCAGAGAATACATTGGACCTTTGGTTTTTGGGGGACTGGCTTATTTCGGTACAACAGTCTCCAGATCCATTTATTTACTGGCACATTTCATAAAGTCATTTTTTTATGGCTGAGTAATATTCTATAGTGTATATATATCATATTTTCTTCATCCATTCATCTGTTGAAGGGCCCTTACGTTGGCTCCATAGCTCAGTTATTGTGAATTGAGCTGTTATAAACATTGATGTGGCTATGTCACTGTAGGATGCTGATTTTAAGTCCTTTGGATATATACCAAGGAAACAAACTAAGTAGGGATTTTCTGGGCTTTCAAGAGACAAAGTGGATAAACACATATGCACACACACATACACACACGCAGCTTGATCTCCTCTCTTAATATGAAATTGCCGCCGAGTCAAGCAGTCCTTTGGAAGCACAGACTAGAGTATGATGCAATGCTCCTAAAGGCACTAAAAATACCATGACATCTTAAAGGATTTGTAAAACACTTCAAGAGTATTCCCTCATGCTGGCTGTCTGTGAACAGAAGTGGTGGTTTTCAGCTAGTCAAGCAGCCTGCTCCTTGTAGCAAAAACATGGCCGGTTACTCTCATCTCCCAGGATTCCTGTGGGTGGGGGACATTCTCTGGTGGTCAAGCTTCTGTCATGCCACTCCAGTCACTAGGCATCCTTTTCTGGATCATTATCTAGAGTCCTCATAGAGCCATTTAAAAAGTCAATTACTTAGCTGGGCAAGGTGATTCAGGCCTCTAATCCCAGCGACTCGGGAGGCTGAGGCAGGAGGATTGCGATTTAAAGCCAGCTTTAGCAAAAGCAATGTGCTAAGCAACTCAGTGAGACCTAAAGAAAATATAAAATGGGGCTGGGGATGTGGCTTAGTGGTTGAGGGCCCCTGAGTTCAATCCCTGGTACCTGCCGCCAACAAAAGAAAGTCAATTACTTAGATAATTATCAAGGAGAGAATCTTGCATGGACAATATACAATTTTTTTTTTGGAATTAGAGGAAATTCTTGGGTTGTATTCCAATTTTCTTTCTCCAGAAAACTTTCTACTTTAGCAGAGGTCTGTGTACCTTTCTTAGATTAAATGCTTGGCCTTGACTTTTCCTTGAATTTGGGAAAATTTCTCTTTCCTATCACTTCCTCCAGCATAGACTTACCAGACTAGGAGAGCCACCTTTTGGCTTCTTGGTCATCTTCCCATCTTGGCTGACTGACCTACACTGGTGTTGCTAAGACCTTTCCTGGAAAGAATCTGCAGGCCAGAGCCCAAAGTTGGATGATTTTGTACAGACACTACTTTCTAAAACACTCAGAAGGATGAGATGCCAGGTTGGCAGGAACCTGCCAGTATTTTGCTAACTATTTCCAGAACACTGACTCTGCTGCCAACCGTTACCACAATTTTTTCCTAGTAAGAATGCATCTAAGGGCAGGGTTGTAAAAAGATGACTGCTTTAATGGGAACTTTATTGTAACCTTAGCACTGTTATTTGAGAGACATTAAAAGAAAGTCTTTTAGAGGTTCCAACAGTAACTAACATGTGTGCTTTTCTGGTTTTTGCTTCACAGAAGTGAAATTTTTCTGTGAAACTCCAGCGATTGCTGATATTATAATCTTGGTTGATGGTTCTTGGAGTATTGGAAGATTCAACTTCAGACTGGTTCGGCTTTTCTTGGAAAACCTGGTTACAGCGTTCAATGTGGGCTCAGAGAAGACACGAATTGGTATATCTCCTGTTATTGACAATAGTAGTCAGCTATCAATATAAAACCACTGGAAAACTCTACAAACTGACTTTTATTTAGAATTACAGTAGCAACTATACTGCTGTTCCTTAAAGTGCATGTTTGGATCAATGACTATTTATTCCTAACTAATTTTTGCTATGGCAATATCATCCAATTAATTATTGAATACATTTTAATTTTCTGAAAAGTCAGAATCTTCTCTATTAATAACAATAATAAAATTTTAAAGGTATAGCCTGTTTATGATTTTTGTCACATAGCAGGTTTTATTGAAAAAAAAAAAAGACAGCTGAATCCAGGGAAATGTTGAAAAAAAATGGAAGTAGTACAAGATAACCTTTGCTAAGTTATTGCTAGCCAAGATTAAAAGCAAAAAATTGCAAGTCTTTGAGTAATATTATAAATAATAAAATAATATATTTTTATAATATAAAGTCTCATAGTTTAACTCATATTTAAATAGCAAAATTGAGGAAAATCATTCCTTTGAGATTTAATATTAACAAATAATTCTAGACCTTTTATCTACATATGTGACCAGGGATTTTTTTCTTTTGAATGTCAAATACCTAATTAGGTGCTAACTTCTATAGGGTTAGAAAATTTGTATCCTCCTTCTACTCCTGCATACATAAACTTAATTTCTTTAATTGATGTCAGGAATTCTTTTTGAAAGTCTATAGTCAAGACAAGAGAAAGAAAATGTTGTACAAAATTAGGCCCTCACCCCTTCTGATTTCTTGAGTGGTTGGTCTGTGACATTCTTGAGCAACACATCATTGCTTGTGGGATTTCTCATCTTTTCCAGGCCTTGCACAGTATAGTGGTGATCCCAGAATAGAATGGCACTTGAATGCCTTCAACACAAAAGATGAAGTGATTGAAGCTGTCCGGAACCTTCCATACAAGGGAGGGAATACCCTAACAGGTATGTTTCTCTCAATCCACGTTTTAAGCAACATCTATTTCCAAAGAATAAAGTTGTATTACCATATTTGGCTACTTTTAAAGACTTAGCATACTGATTTGTTAACCAAACAGCACCTGTAATTCTTAGGTAGCTCTTTAAACTCAGTGGTAAGAGTTAAACCCCAGACCTCTCATTTGTTCTACTGTAGGAACTTCATGTCCCTGTAAGGGGTTGATTGGGCTAGAAGAAAATAAAGCAATCACCCAGGCCAGCAGTCTGCTGGCCTTTATTAGTTCATTTTCCTTCCTTTTCCCCTCTTTTCATGTATATTCATCCTGACACTTAAATTAAAATAAATTTCTCTCTTACTTTTAAAGAAGGTACTTTTTTTTGCTCTTATTCTGAAATCAGTAGTTATCAAGAAAATATTTATGGACTTTTGGCTCATTAGCATTTTTGAAAAATGATTCATATAATAATATTGACATTATAATTATCCAAAGGGTTTGTGTAGTTTTGTTGTTTATAATTATTATTATTATATTATTATTATTATTATTAATAATTTTTGTGGGCTGGTACTGAACCCAGGGCCTCATGAATGTTAGGCGAGTGCTGTACCATGGAGCTGCATGCACCTCAAGCCCTGTTCTTGCTTATTTTAACCCTAGTACAAGTTATTGACTAACACATTATAAAGACACTCATTTTTAATAATGAAGATTCTCTTATTGACTTTTTGGTAAGCCACTGAAATCTTGATAATTCTTTGCTATTTTGATGCAAAATGTAGCAGAATTTTTGTTAATAAAATGGAAGCTTATTAAGCACAAATGCTGTAACAGTATTGCAGTATTTCTTATTTCTTTGTGAATGGAATTTGTCTCAGAAGGTAGGAGTTTTATGATTTTAGATATGTTCCCATTACTTGTGGCGGGGGGAGCAGAGAGGAGTGGGAGAAGAGGGGAAGGAAGAAAGGGAGAGAGAAATTTTTGGTTCTTAGAACATCATGAACAAAATTGAAAGTGTAGTGATAATATTTTGGACAGTCACTAATTTTTGTGGGAGTTATTGTTTCATCATAAGTATAAAGGTTTGTTTTTCTTGAACACAAGCTCTGTTAGCATCTGTTGCCATGAATTCAGTGTCTTTGCATCTACAGTTATGAAGTAAAATATTGTGAAAGCCCACAGTGGCAGGCAGAGGCCAGGAATCTTCTCTATTTATTCCTCTCATCTGGGGGTGAAACCACTGGGACGCACTGGGACGGTTGATTTCTGTTTATCTTTCCTCGTTTTCCTCTCAGCTCTTGCTTTGAACTACATTTTTGAACATAGCTGTAGACTAACAGCAGGTCAGGTGTCACTTTGATTTTTCATTCCTATCATTAGTGCTTGACACCGAACAAGCGTCCAGCAAATTGTTGTGCAATGATTTGATAGACTGAAGGAATTCTAAGATAGCAACAGTACCCTTAGTATTAAAAATCAAAATGCACATGAAAGATACACCTAGGAGAGGTATTTTGTTATCATTTGAATAAGTGAAGTGCATTATTCTATGTCAATATATTCAATTAAGAGTATATAATAGTCTGTCTCAAAGATGCACTATTCAATTACTTTACTGCCTTTATTCGGATGGATTTTCGTTTTTCTTCAGATCTGTCAAGCACAAGGTCATTTTGAAAATGAAGACTCAACATCTAATAAAACCTCTTTTAGTTCAATAAGTTATGCATCTTGTGGTTACATTTTTCAGAATCAGAAGGCTTTTGATTAGAGACAGTAGCTTTGTGTTGATTTTTCCTTGTTTTCCTCCCAGGTCTTGCTTTGAGCTACATTTTTGAAAATAGCTTTAAACCAGAAGCAGGATCAAGGACTGGAGTTTCCAAAATTGGCATCTTAATCACAGATGGAAAATCTCAAGATGATATTATTCCACCATCTAGAAACCTTCGTGAGTCTGGTGTAGAACTGTTTGCTATAGGTATGTGTTCTTCCGCTGTGGACCCAGTCACCCACTGATTCATTTGTTATGCAATGCAAGGGTCAGTTCCTGGAAAGCCATATACCCGAGTGCTTTCTAGTTCTGGTTCTCACAGTCAGCTGTTCTCAGATCCCAACTTCCTTGCATTTAAAATGAGAGTGTTGCAAACTGTCATGTACTGCACAGTGACAGGACCTCTAGATGGGATATTGACCATAACACATGAAAAGCATGAATTGACATAAAAGGTCAGGTGCATGTCTGATACCATTTAATTAGTTAGGACATTCTCTTTAGGATCAGTTTATCTCTTTTCTGATTGTCTAGGGCAAAACCAATTTATTATTTTCAAGGAATTAATGTCCTGCAGCTATTTAAAGAAAGCCTGGAGTTCTAGATATGCAGTATTACTGATTTGAAACTAACCCCTTAAAAGGGAGTATAGATATGACCAAAGCATGATATCCTCAATATGGAAATGTCATGTGAAACCCATTAATTTGTGCAATGAACTCCACTTGGAGTTATATATCAATTAAGACAGACATACTGTGTTTGGTATCTGTTTTTCACTAGTGTCCAGCCAAGAACAGTCTAAGAACAGCTGCAAAAGTTGTAGAAACTGTGTTCTTTCCTCTCTTTTTCTTATCTCTATAGCATTTCTAAGCAATGGGTTCCTTATGGGGGAAGATTGCATCTTCTTCATTCCTATCACCTAACCCAGTGCTTGACACAAAACAAATGTTTAGAAAATGCTTATGGAATGATTTGATGGCCCAATGATTTCTGAAATAGCAATATTACCCTTAGTATTGAAAATCCAAATTCTCATGAAAGATACATGTAAGAGAAGCATATTATTTTTATGCAGATAAATGAGGCATCTTATCATATAGAGTTGGCATGGTTATATTTGCCATTCACAGAACATAGAATAAAAAAATCTAGGGGGAAAAGAATGTATTGTGTTCCAACTTTGTTTCAGTAAATTATAAGTTTATTACTTTAATGTGTTTGTGTTTTGTGGAGGGGAAGGCAGTGTTGTATCTCAGTGGTCTGCAGGAGCGGCTGAGACCAGTTTGCAAGAACCAATTGTGCACATCTCTTCCTACATCAGTATCCTGTGACCTCACTTGGATAGTTTGAAATAAATCATAGTTACATATTTATACTGCAGTGATTGGCAAACATCACAAATCTGAGCAGAAAGAGGACGGTTAAATATTTTCCATATTTACTAGAACACTTATGGAACTTAAATGGACAATAATCTAAGTGATTTTTAACTATATGATAACTTCAGTCCTTAAAATAAATGAGAAATTTGGTCCTGGAACTTAATTTAAACTTTCTTGGCATTAATATTTATCATTCTGAAGTTACACAATACATCTTTCATAGTTATCAATGAAAGTAAAAATTCCTTTGACCCATTATTGGTTTGCTGCTCAAAATGTGAATTTTGGAATGCTTTATTCAAGAAGTATTTGCTTATTGACTGTGTTTTAGGCATTGTGGTGTGTGCTGGGGCACAAAGATGGGCAAAGCAAAATCCTTACACAATAAATTCCTTCAAAGTCACTATCACCATTTTCTTTCTTTTCCATGCAGTTGCAAGGCAAACTATTTTATTCAGAAAGGAAAATTGATTAATTTCAGGATATGTTTCTTAGAATATTCTTATGAGTCCAAACTTGTCAGTTTCAACTGAGTGTCATGAGAAAGCACCCGTGGCTGATTGCTTCAGTTGTGCACTCAATTAATATGGAATCATATGTGCATTTTAGAATAAATCCCCAGGCAAAAAACATCACAGAGGTTTATTTTTTATTTTCTTATCCCTTCATCCAATAAAGGAAATCTCTACAGAAGACTTAAACTCATGGGGGATTAGCTCGTGTGTTTACCCTCCATTCTCTTCTCTTGTTAATAATGAATGGATGAGTTTTTAAACAAAACTTTTGAGTGAATTCATCCAGATATGACTTGGACTATTTTTTTCCTCTGGAAATTACCTGGAAATCATCTGTATTTATTATCTTAAAACCTTCTAAAGAGAAAAGTTCAGAGACAACTAATGCTTTGTTACTCAATATGTCCAGACTGACAGCTAAGTTACTTGGCACGGCCAGGCATCTAAGAAGTAATTCATATTGCTCCAGGTCATCTCTCTTCCTTGCTTCCAGACTACCTCCTTTTAATACTTCCAGATGATTGAAATGACAGGGATTTATAAAGAAACCCTTCTTGTCTGCTAAAGCTTGGGAAAGATAAATCTACCTTAATACCCATAAAACCTAACCTTGGACCTCTCCTTTTCTACCTCTAATTGCAATGGTAAAACTTTACTAATTTTAGCATATACTCTTTTGAGACGGAGCGTGGCATAATAAAATCCAAGCTGTACATTCACTAGCTGTGTAATCTCGAGCAAGTGAATTAAACTCTCTGCATATTTATTCATCTGGAAGTTGGCAGAAACAATAATGCCGACCTCACAGCTTATTATTAATATGTAATAATTTACATATTAATATATGTAAAATACTCAATGCTGTGGGCATAGTAAACATTCTTCCAAGTGTTAGTGTCCACTGCTCTCTGCCCTTCTCTGTTCCCTGCTATGTTACAGAGACTCGGGATTTTGCTTGGCCTGTGATAATGGCATTCAGTAGGTATTGTGGAAGGACTGGAACTTCCTTTTTGCACAAGGAAAATTTCATTGGTTATTAGGCAGCAAGTTGTTTTGAATATGCTAGAAACAAATTCCCCCTAAGATTTCTCTTGGCTCACTCCTATATAATAATAATTTTAAATGTATGTGATTTTCATTCTAGGAATATCTCTCAATTTAAGTAACCTTATTTCACAGAAATTTAAACCAGAAGCTTTGATAGTATAGAGTCCTGGTTTAATTACTGTTGCTTCTGCAGTATTTATGAAAGCAGAGGTTAGTTTCATTAAATGATCTTCCTGTTAGGATGTACTGAGAAAAATTACTATCCAATCATTTTTAAAAAGTCTTCAGAAGCTGACTTTTAAAAAAACAATCTGACATGAAACATGTCTCTTTAAAGTAGCAGATGCTTTCGACCCACTCTAAGCCTGCAAGTCTATCAGCAGGGGAAGTATAACCAGTCGGGACCTGAGATAGTAGTCCCAGCTGCCATTTGTCAGGTCACAGGCACATAATAGCTTTCATTTTGTTAACAATCCATATTCTTACTCTGGCCCTTTCTTGTTTATTTTCTTTCTATATACATTCTTTGTTAGAGAATCAAAGCTATTATCTCCTGTTATGACATAGAAGATTTAGGTATATTTTTCAATTTATTTCATGTGTATATTTATTATGTATTTATTTAATCATTCATTTCCTTTGATAAATGTAATTTTTTTTTTTTTGGCAGGCAGGGATGGCGGGGAGTGGAGTTTTGGAGATCCAACTCAGGGGCACTTGACCACTGAGTCACATCACCAGCCCTATCTGTATTTTATTTAGAGACAGGGTCTCATTGAGTTGCTTAATGCCTCGCTTTTGCTGAGGCTGGCTTTGAACTCCTGATCCTCCTGTCTCAGCTTCTTGAGTCACTGGGATTACAGGCCTGTGCCACCACGGTGGGCTCATTCATCCCTTTGAGATGTGAACTCCCTACATTGTCCAGGCTGGCCTCAAACTCCTGGGCTCAAGAGAATTTTCCACCTCAGCCTCCTGAATAGCAGGGACTGCAGGTGTGCAACACCACACCCAGCATGCATGTGTTTTAATTTAAAATAAAAATTTTCATTATTTATCAAAATGAACAGCCTGGGTCAAGCCAGGCCCCCTGCAGTTGCTCTTTCCAATGAGACATGAAAGTCACCATTGTCCCTGTTGTGCTCAATGCCAGGGGTGAAAAACGCTGACCTGAACGAGCTGCAGGAAATCGCCTCGGAACCGGACAGCACGCACGTGTACAACGTTGCCGAATTCGATCTGATGCACACGGTGGTGGAGAGCCTGACGAGGACCGTGTGTTCCAGGGTGGAAGAACAGGACCGGGAAATTAAAGGCAAGTGGGCGACAGAGCACAGTCCCAGGGATGTGAGTGTCGCCAAGCACAAAGTCTATGCCGGACTATAGAAACCCTTGCTATTCCTCATTTCAAGTTTCTTAAGGCTCCCTTTGGTCCTAACTCATCAGAGTAGACAGGGAGTATGGTGACAAACGTTGTAGGGCTGATGGAGGGCTGCTTTGACCACTAGATTTTTTTCTCCATAGTGTTCCATTAAGACCACCACGGTTTTTAAATTAAATTAAATTCTTTTTTACCATCATGTTTTTAAAATTAAACTTTAAGTCTTATGATAATTGTGCATTCACATCCAATTGTAAAAAATAATACATAGAGAGTGCATTCTTTACCAGTTTCCCCCAATGGTAGCATCTTACAAAAACTATAGCTCCCATATCACAAGCGGTGGTACAGTCTAGGTACAGAACGTTTCCATCACTGCAACTGTGGCTCCTGTTACCCATTTATAACCACCCTGACTAACATCCTTCCCAAACTCTTTCCCCCCAAATTGTTCCCCATCTCTAATTTTCTTTTATTTCAAAAATTATGTGAGTGAAATTATGCAATATATAATCTTTAGGCACATTCTTTCCCCATGCAGAATGATTCCCCAGAAATTCCTCCAAGTCGTTACATGTGTCAACAGCCCTTTCCTTTTTATTGCAGTGTCATATTCCCTTGTATGGATGTGTCACAATTTGTTTAATCATTCTCACATTGAAGGATATCTGGATTCTTTCCAGCTTTTGGCTACTGTGAATAAAGCTGCTGTGAATGTTTGTGTATGTGTTTGTGACTCATCCAATCCATGAACACATTGTGTTTGTTTACTTGTGTGTTGGTTTCTCGAATGAACATAAGTTTTTGTTTCTCTGGAATAATGCCCAGGAGTATGATGGCTGGATCATTTCCTAGTAACATATTTGGTTTCGTTTTCATTAAGAAACTGCCAAACTATTTCCAGAGTGGCTGTAGCATTTTTTGCTCCCACTAGCAGCGTATAAGTGACCCAGTTTCTGTGCATCGTCACAACATTTGTTATTGCTACTACTTTTTTAAAAAAATTTAGCTCTTCTGAGAGGTGTGGAGAGATGCAACACTATGGTTTTAATTTTCATTTTCCTCATGGCTAAAGAACATCTTTTCACATACTTATTTCTTTATGTGTATGTTTTCATTGGTAAAATGTTTCTTCATGTCTTTTGTCCATTTTCAAGTTGAATAATTTTTTTGTGTCAGAGATCAGGTAGGAATAATTTATGTGGGTTTATTTCAGAGTTCTCTGGTCTGGTGCACTAAATCTACTTGTCTAACCCTCTTCTAATACCATCTTGAATTATTATAGCTACATAGTAAGTCTTGAAATTAGGTAGAATTGAGTTCTCCTACTTGATTATTCTTTTTAAATGGTATACTCATTTACTCTTCTGATTCCTTTGCCTTCCCATTAAGTATTAGAATAATCTTTATAAAAAATCTTACTGAGATTTTGATAGGAATTACAATAAATCAATAATCAATTATCAAATATCAATTACCAAATATCAATATGGGGAGAAGAATCATTTTTACCTTGTTGAGTCATCTAATCAATGAATACATTTGTGTCTCTTTATTAGACATTCTTGATTTCTTTTATCAGCTTTTTATAATTTTCAGGACTTATGTGTCTCATATACTTATATCCTATACAGGTTTTGTTAGAATTCCACTTAAGTATTTAATTTTATTTGGGTGATTTTGGTTGTATTTTTAAATTTTTTTTTCAGTTGTAGACAGACACAATACCTTTATTTTATTTATTTGTTTTTATGTGGTGCTGAGGATTGAACCCAGTGCCTCATATATGCAAGGCAAATGCTCTACCAATTGAGCCACAACCCCAGCCCCTTTGATTGTATTTTTAATTTCAGTGTCCACATGTTCAGTGATTATAAGGAGAAATAAAGTTGATTTTTTTATGCTATGATCTTCTGATTTGTACTTGTTAAGTAGTCTAGAAGTTTTTCTCTAGGTTTTAGAGAGTTTCTATGTATACAATCATCTGCAAATATGGAAGTTTATTTGCCATAATTTTTATTTCCTTTGATCACTATAAATTTTATTTCCTTTTCTTGCCTTATTGCATTTGCTATAATTTCTCATACTGATTGAATATAACAGTTGTAAGTAAACATCTTTGCCTGATTCTCAATTGTAGGAAGAAATTTTCTGATTTTCAAAGAGTTAATCCATTTCATCAGGCTTGTAGGATTAATGTGTGTGTTCTTCAGAGTATTCTCTTATTATTACTTTGATGTCTCAAGGTACTATAGTAATTTCTGTTTCCTTTCTTATTTTGATGGTATAGGTGTAGAAACCTTGCCTGTTTTCAAGTCCCTTTATCACCATGTCTGTGTATCATGTAATTGTCTTAAATACTTATGTATATATAGAGAACCACATCGGAAATTTCTGCTTCAACCATCAAACATTATTTAGAAAACCCAAGAGAAGTAAAATGTATCCTACTTCCTTATTTTTATACTTTCTGGTATTTTTACTTTCATCGAGAGGATCTAGGTTTTCTTCTTTTTAAATCATTTTCTTTCTGTTTAGACAACTTTCTTTAGCCATTCTTTTAGGATATGTCTGTTGGTGATAAATTCTCTTAAAATTTCCCCCATATGAGAATGCCTTGGTTTTCCCCTAATTTCAGATATTTTTGCTCAATATAGAGGTCTGGTTGGAAAAGTTCTTTTCTCTCAACACTTGAAAAGTGTTGTGCCTCTTCCTTCTGGTTTCTGATGAGAAATCTGTCATTCAAATGGTTCTCCTTTTCTAGGAAAGGTCTCGTTTCTCTCTCATTACTTATAAAATTTTTTTTTCTTTGAGTTTAGTTTTTCAAAGTTTTATTATAGTATATCTTAGTATGAATTTCTGTGTGTCTGTCTTGTTTGGGGGTGGTATACTCATTTTCTTGAATCTATAGTTTGTGTGATTTGTCAAATTAGGGGCCTTGGAGATGCATTATTTCTTCAAGTGCTTTTTCAGCCCGGACTCCTTTCTCTTTTCCTTTGGGAATCTGATATGAATAGGTATTTCATTATAGTCCCACATCTCTTTAAGGCTCTGTTAATTTTTTAAGTCTACTTTTCTTCTCTTATTCAGATCAGGTAATTCTATCAATCAAGTTTATGCTGCTGTTGAGTTCATTAACTTTTTGTAAAAATGTTGGTTGTTACATTTGTTTTATTTCCAAAATTTCAACTTGGTTCCTTTTTATATTATTTACTTTTTCCTAAGATTTTCTATTTCTTTTGTTTCAGTTGTTTGTAATTGTGCATTGAATTATCCTATGATGACTGGACTCTGATTTGTCTGGTTTCCTCTGGTATTGCTCTGGCAAGGGAGGTAGGGGCACTGCTTCACTTTTGCTAGGTAGGAGTAGAGGTCCAGGTTCCTGACTAGGTCTCCTTTAACATCTTAGAAGAAGAGGCTATTTACTAGCCTTCCACTAATGCCACCCTAGTAGAGGAGCAGGAGTCCCTCATTATTTGTCCCTGGGTGGCTTCCACCAACACTGCTGTGGAAGTGACCTCCTTACTGCTGAACAGTGGTGAAAGCTCTGAGTCACCACTAGGTCGTCCCTGACACCCTCCCAGAGTGAAGAGGTGGCCCTGGTTAGAAGACCAGGCAGGCCCTTTATGTGGTCTCCACTGATATCACAGGTAAGGGTGTGGTAGAAATGATTTATTACTCCATGGACCACCCTAACTGGGGTGCAGGGATGAGGTGATGTTGATTATAGCAAAGAAAGGGGAGAAGCACTGACTCCCCATTTGATCTTTGCTGTCATGGATGGTGTGGACACAGTTTTTTCTGTAGTGTTTTCGGGAGTAGTTAATGCCTAAAAATTTTCTGTCTTGGGAAGCTGACTTTTTCCCGGTCCTCTGACTCGAGAGAGCAGGCTTTTTTTTTTTTTTTTTTTGCAACATCTTTCTTTTGTCTTTATCTTTTGATATTTCTGGGTTGACAGATACTTTAGTTCCATGTCTAGAATATATGAGCAAAAAAGAAACAGGAAACTCACCCCGGGGATATCACTTGAGTCCTGCAGTCTCCCTGTCCCCTGCTTCCTACCTTTCCTCTGATTTCAGTGTCTTCTTCTGCTTGTCTCTCATATAATTTTCAGAATTTTAAGTTATACTCAGAAGGAGGAATAGAGAAAATTACATCTGCTTTGTCTTCCCAGGAACAAATTCATTATGGATTTTTAACATTCGCCCATCATGATATCATTGGTCTGTAGGTTGTACCTGGCTTATGTGATCTGGAAGAGGGGCCAATGTTGAAGTCTTATTTTAAGAGTCTGGTTTTGTTTCCTGCCTCTATTGTATCCAGGAATGTGACATGATTCTATTTGGCTCATGTCCTTCTCTTGCCTGTCATCCCTTTTCTCTAGGCCAGCTCTCTTAGGATTGGGTTGGGTATCTAAGCAGCAGGATCCTGAACAAACTTCTCTGGGCTTCAGAGTAAGACTACTTTAGATCCCAGCTTCTCATGCACACAAAAGAACTCTACATGTGGTTGATGGTAAAGCATGCAATACAGTTCCTGGTCATAGTTAATGTTCAAAATTTCTGTGGTTATTAAAGTCCCTTGGGTAAGTACTTTTAAAGGTAGAGAAATCCTAAAACTCAAACTTGTTATTCTTGTTTTCACCTTTTATTCTTTCTCCATTTGAATTTTACATTCCAAAGTCTTTATAGAACTATTTGTTTTAACATGTATATAACATGCACAAAATGCTTACCTAGTATTTTGACTCAGAGTAAGCATTTGGTATATATTATTTGCTTTTTCTTCTTTTTAAATTTTTATGCCAGACATTTCTTTAAGTCTTTATGATTGAGGTTGTATCATCTTATTCTAAAAACCACATGCTCCAGGAAGCCCAGATACCATTCTCAGCTTTGAGACTTACTATTGATGAGATCTTCATCAAATTCATTATCTTTCTTGTGCATTGGTTTCTCACCTACAAAATGTGAATTATATTAGTTACTACTCAGAATAAAATGAGATAATACTTATGAAGAACTCAGAAGGATACCTTTAGATAGCACACATGCTCAATTAATGCTCTTTTTTATTGTTCATTAACAATGTTCTTAAATATCTTTAAGAATATTCCTGGGAGAGAAGAGGGGAGGGGAGGGGAGGGGAGGGGGGATAGTAGAGGATAGGAAAGGCAGCAGAACACAACAGACACTAGTATGGCAATATGTAAATCAGTGGATGTGTAACTGATATAATTCTGCAATCTGTATATGGGGTAAAAATGGGAGTTCATAAGCCACTTGAATCAAAGTGTGAAATATGATATATCAAAAAATTTGTAATGTTTTGAACAACCAACAATAAAAAATTTAAAAAAAAAGAATATTCCTGGGAGTCAAGGACTATGTCTTATTTAAGTTTGTACCCTCAGAACCTAGCATTGTGCATGGTATCTAATGGACACTAAAATGTTTGAAATAACTATTACAGACATTAATAATTACATCAAATTACCTAGAGATAAAAAAAATCTAAGAGGTAGTACAAAAGCAACAGTCATTTCTGACTAATGAAATTTGTTAGGCTTACAGGGATAACTTTGGGAAAATGGTTTATTTGATATATTTCTTTGCTTTAGCCTCAGCCCTCACCACCATTGGGCCACCTACGGAGTTGATTACTTCTGAAGTCACAGCCAGAAGCTTTATGGTTAACTGGACTCATGCCCCAGGAAAAGTGGAAAAATACAGAGTTGTGTATTATCCCACCAGAGGTGGAAAACCACAAGAGGTAAGAAGGAAACAGTATTTTTAAGCTATACTTTTAGTTCTCTGAAGTCTTCTATAATAATAAGAACAAGACCCATGTATATTTGAAAGACTATTCTGTCAAGAATATTTTGAATCATTTGAAATACATTTCTACGTGTCTACATTGTTCTCCCATCTCTCTAATTATGGTGGTTCCATCTTCTTCTCTTATCCCTCTATCAAATAACTCTCAGGACTGACCAGGTATGCATGTCTAACTTAGCTTATTCTTCTTCTTAAAGCTAGTGAGTTCTAAAGTAAAACTTATCAGGGGCCAATTATCTGGCCAGCACCTCTTTTGATATTCATTCATTTTTTTTTCCTACTTGGGAGTAATGAGATTTCTATCCTAGTGAAGTCTGTGTGTTTCAAATTATGAGGTGATATGATGGACAAGTCCTCCAGGATTTGGAGTTTCCTGAGCGTTTGTGGAGATCAGTGCAATTAAAAAGTCATAATAAAACAGCTGTGGCCAGCATTTTTCAGGGGTTGGCCAACACAGAAGAGAGCACCTTTTGCCAAATGATTGGGTCCTTCCCAATCCCTACTTTTGATACAGCTGTCACAGGGAATCAATTAAAATATGGTGAAATCTCCATTTCCTTTTGTTGTTCTAACCTCTGATTGACCTCGGCAAGTTTTATAGTTTTCTTCTGTATTATTATTGTTATGGCAGGATTTGCAAATTTTTTTCCTTTCAAGTATTAAAAATAAGAAGTAAATCATTTGGACAGAAAAACAACCAGAGTGCTTCCAATCATTCTATCTTTTTCATGACTAATAAACCTTTCAGATGCTTCCCAAATTTCCAAGGAAAAAAATAATTTGTCTCCTATTATGTAGTGGATATGAGTAGGATATTGATTATCTCAGGAGTGACACAATTTCCATTAGATAAGAACTAACAAATGACTTTGGCCACATTCCATAAAAGATGCTTCACTTTATGTGGTAATTTAAGGAGAGTTGGTGGCCATAAGAGTAAGGAGGATGTGTTACAAATAATAAAATAGCCAGTGAAATGTTTCTTGCTGGGGAAACTTTTGCCTTTTGGGTTGTAGTTCTGCATATGAGATATCCCATACTCTCATTCCTCAAACTCTCAAACTGTTCTTCAAACAGGTGGTGGTGGATGGAAGCTTATCTTCCACAGTGTTGAAAAATTTGATGTCTTTGACTGAATATCAAGTAGCGGTATTTGCAATATATGCTCACACTGCTAGTGAAGGCCTACGAGGAACTGAAACCACACGTACGTATTTAATCCTACACCACTTCTCACTTGGCCAGCACTGCTTAGGTGGCTTTCCTACATCAGGCTGCTCAGGTTGCACTGGTATATATCCTAAGGCAAATTCATAGGAACTAGTTCTCATGCCAATTGTGGTACAGGTCCCATGATGTAGCTGCTGATTTTCAGTGCCACATATGGAAATGGGTGTTATAACTCTCTGGAATGTTTAGGAGAGAGCAACCTTGGTGGTAAAGGGTGCAGAAACACTCATTTATTTATTAAACAGATGGCTTTTATGAGCCAGGAACTGTGTTAGAATCTATCAGTAGAAGTAGAGTGAGAGTTCTGTGGCTCTTCTGTCCAGTAGACTACCAAGAAAATTATTTTGCATCTTTCTTCATTGTTCATATCATTGTCATAACCAGATTCTGAATAATATGACCATGATAACACATATAAACAACACACACAAGATACATAACTCATGGGAAGAATGATGGGAAGAGATATTGTTTTTTAAAAGATCAACCATTCTTTTAATAATTTCAAATAATGAATTTCTACTACATGACAGACACTCTGAAAATTTTGTCTAAGAATATCTACCTCTGATGGAGCAATAACAATTTAAAGAACACTAAGAACAATATTCCAGGCACTATGATAATCATTCTCTATACATTTTTGGATTTATGGCTGACAAGAATCTGTAGGGTGGGTGTTATACCTCGACTTTGCAGAAATGTTTGAGTGGTCATCCTTGCTCTCGAGGATGTTTTAGTCTAGTAAGGGGTGGGCATGCAAACCAAGGACATATAAGCACACTGATGCAATGAAGTGCTGTAGACACATCAACAAAAGTTTGCAAGTGTAAGCAAAGTTTTGAGTTTGTCAGCTTGGTGAGAAAAGTAGGCAGGGCCACATTTTGAAGGATATAGAATTATATTTGAAAACAACATTTCATGTTTGTCATTAGCATTAAGCTAGGAGCTTGCAACTTATCCCTTTCTGCCTCCTGCTTCAACATGGCCAACCTTATTTCTTGGTTATTCCATTTTTTCTCAAGGATACTTATAAATAGCTGAACATTAAAATGAATCTCCTCTTGCAGTTGCTTTACCCATGGCTTCTGACCTTGAACTATACGATGTGACTGAAAACAGTTTGCGTGTCAGATGGGATGCAGTTCCTGGGGCCACAGGATACCTGATCCTCTATGCTCCTCTCACAGAGGGCCTGGCTGGTGATGAAAAAGAGGTAACCCTCTGTAGTCCTAGAGTCTTTGACTTTTTAAAGATATCTATATATCTATATCTATATCTATATCTATATATTCTATAAAAATTGAGTGTATAGAACTTAAAAAATTCAGATTAACAACAAGAAAAAAATTATTTGTAATCCTACTACCTAGAGATAATGATTTATTAACATTTAGCTAACAGTCTTTATGAATGCATTTTTTGGGGGGTATCAGAGATTGAATGCAGGGGTGCTTAACCACTGAGCCACATCCACAGCCTCCTTTTGGTATTTTTTCTAGAGATAGGAGCTCACAGAGTTGTTCAGTTCTCTGATAAGTTACTGAGGCTGGTTTTGAACTCGTGATCCTACTGCCTCAGCCTCCTAAGCTGATGGGATTACAGGAATGTGCCACCACACCTGGCTCGAATGCATTAAAAAAAATTTTTTTTTTTAGTTGTAGTTGGACACGATACCTTTATCTATCTATCTATCTATCTATCTATCTATCTATTTATGTGGTGCTGAGGATCGAACCCAGGCCTCGCATGTGCTAGGCGAGTGCTCTACCGCTAAGCTACAACCCCAGCCCCACAAATGCATTTTTAATACAACAAATGAAGGCAGTTTTGTAGCTTGTCATTTTCATCTCATTTAATGTGAATATCTGTCTGTACCATTAAAGAATTATTTTATATAGTCATTTTGCATTTATAGTATCCATTGTTGGTTTGTACAGATTGTGTTTATACTCATACTATTGGACATAAGAGATAACTTGCATAAATTATGCTTGACGTTCTTAACATTCTTTGCATAATTGTGAATCTTTGCATAAGTGTCCAGTTATTTCCTTGGGATAGATTCCCAGAAACGAAGTTTCTTTTTTCAAAGGGGCATGCAAATTATTAAAGCTTATCCTAGATATTACCAGATGGTTCTAGAGGAAGTTTATATAATTTGTCTTACAATATACAGTTCATAAGTGGTTATTTCACCCATGAATACTGAATCATTATTTTTTTTTACTAATTTGAGACATAGACAAATATATCTCATTGATATGAATTTTGCATTTATTTTAAATCATGAATATTTGATTTCTAAATTATTTCTTTCAGTATTCAGGACTCATTTTTAATGTATGAGGGGGTGGGGATTGTTAGAATGCAAACATTCATGGAAAAAAGAAGTGTCTTGACCAGGCTGTGGAGTAGAGAAGAGAGGCAATTTGGAATTTGGTTCTCTAAGATTGTTTAAAACCTGCCTCTGCTGGCTGAAATCAGCAAAAATTAGTGAAAAATATGGTGAATCTGAGTATCCAGAACAGAGCATTGGTGACCTGCCTTTTCTTATTTCCAAAGAATGTTTTCCATTCAGATGTAAAGTTGATCTTAATTGTTTTGGTAGAAGAAAAAGTTAAAAATGATGCTGGAAAGATGCTTAGCTACACTAGAAAAGAGAAAAATCATAATTAAAGGAGTGATGATTCCAACAGACTAGTGAAGTAGTCTGATAACAGCATGCAGCGGTGAGCATGTGGGAGACAATCACTCCTCTATGCTGCAGGTGTGGAAGCTGCTGCAGCCGCTTTGAAGGATATCTTGAAATTTCATCTGTTAAAGATACATGCTGTCTGTACATGTATCATAGGGAAGTGTTTTCAAAATTTTTTTCAGTGAGGCTACTTGGTCAGGACAAAACCTGGCAAAGAACTAATATGACCATGGGTAGAGGAATGGAAAACAGTAATGTAGTTATAGAAAAGACTCTCATAAAAGAATTAATAATGTAAAATCTGTCCCTATGCATCAATGAATCTTGAAACATTATTGACAGAGAAAAAATAACAAATTATAAAAAGATCATGTTGATAGGGTCTCATTTATGTGTTTTGTCAAACATATAGGACCATAGATTGTTATCAGATTCAGACACATATGTACAGAATTAAAAAAAGATTATATATATATATATATCTCCAAAAGATTGAGAAAGAACTTCTGTTTTATTTGAATATATTAATTCTTTCTAAAATAAGAACTGAAATCGATATGACAAGGTTTTCATTTTGAATTTGACTAAGGAGGTAAGGGATACACTGGGGTGTATTATATTATTTTCTACACACTCTTATTATATGGTGTAATATTTAAAAGTTTAAAAATCGAACTTGTCAGTAAAACTTGTAGTTGTGGGGCTGGAGACAGTTTTATGAAGTTTTTTCTTTCATCCTTTCCAAACATAAAGTGAACCTGTCACACAATTAGCTCTTGGTTGTTGCACAACTGAGATTATTGGCTAGTTGACCAACTGCAAAGATTAGAAATAGTATCTCAGAATCAAGAAGCAAATTGTTAATTCAGGTATCAAGGTGGGCTTATCATTTCTGAACACTAGAAGGGACCTTCAATCCAACCAGATATGCCTCATATTGAATGGAGTGGTAAAACTAGCCCAACTCAATTGAGCTCGAAGTAAAAACTGGGCATCTGGCCAGAGCACTGGTTAGAATTAGCAAGTAGTGACAGATGCCCACTTAGCCCTGCCTCCAGCATGCTGGCCTGGCTTTTTATCTCTACAGGATATTTCTGATTCAGTTCCACCCACACTCTTCTGGGGCCCAGACGCCCAACATTGTTCTTCTGGTTGGAATTGCCATTTTTCCATATGTAAAGAGTTATCCTAATACAGGATGCATGGGTATGTTCAATTTTATGTAGTTCCATATTATGTGTTCCCAATATAAAATACAAAACAATTTAAAAAATAATGACTGAAGCCTATTTGATATAGAGGTTGTGAGGAGATACAAAGTCTTATTCCACAAAGCTTCACCTTTGAAAGTTCCATTTGGATCAGCAGGAATTAGACATTGGCAAATGATCTAATTACATGTGTTCTTTTCAGATGAAAATTGGAGAGACCCACACAGACATTGAGTTGAGTGGGTTGGTCCCCAATACGGAGTACACAGTCACAGTTTACGCCATGTTTGGGGAAGAAGCCAGTGATCCTGCTACAGGACAAGAAACAACATGTGAGCATTTCAGTCATTTTGATGAAATACTGTCATAAAAGTTCAAATAAATGTTAGGATTGGAAGTACCAGTTTAGGTTGAAATCTTTTAGAAACCTATTGTAATATAGAAAAATGCGTATTTTATCTAGGGGAAAAATGCATTTTAAAAAAATATATTTTTTTAGTTGTAGACAGACATAATACCATTATTTAGTGTTTTTTAATGTGGTACTGGGGAATGAACCCAGTGCTTCACACATGCTATGCAAACACTCCACCACTGAGCCACAACCCCAGCATGAAAAGGCATTTTTTCTATCTTGTATTATAATGAGTGAAATGGATATCAGAACTGAACTTGAACATCCTTCAGATAATTCCACCTGTGTCTCTGCCTGAATCCAAATGCTGAATCTGGATGGAGAAAGAAGAGCTCTACAAGAGCTTCGAATCACAGCAGCTGGGATGGGAATTTTAGCTTAGGTCGTATTTCAGCTGGGTGACAACGGGCAAGTATTGTAACTATTAAAAGAAGAACAATATCTTACAACATGTGGTTGATATGAGATTAAATACAGTACTACATGTGAAAGCACTTAGCACATGATTACTCAATATCTGTTTTCCACGCATCAAGATGAATAATTTCTTTTTCTAAAAATCTTTGCCATCCTTTTATCTGAGCCTATTATTGTATTTTTTTTAGTTGACTAAGAAATTTTTGGCAAGGCTAGTCTTGACTTTTTGTTTGGTTGATTTTTGCCATGTTGGGGACCAAACCCTGTACTGCACATGTTAGGCAAGTGCTCTATCACTGAGCTACATGCCCAATCCTATAGCTAATTTTTAGTAAATACATGGACTTTATAATACTTTTAGGAAATGTAGACATTAACTATATTTTAAATATATGCCAATAGTCTGGTTTATGTAACTACCCTGGTTTACTAATAAGTCTTCCCATAAACTACTGAAAACATGGTTCTATTCATCATCTTTTGAAACACAGGAAAGTTCAGGAGGCCCGGGGTACTTGCCCACCACTCTGGGCCTTGGGAAGAGATGAGAGAAACTTTCTGTAGTGCCTTGGAAATTCTACTTGGGAAATATATAACAGAAGTTTAATGCTAAGGAAAGATGTTTTCACACCTTAATTCTACGTTAATTAATACTGTGTTCTCACACTTCAGAGAAAGACTGGTGCAATTAAAATAGCAAACAAACAAACAAAACAGGGACAGAAGAAAAGAAATGAATCTTACTAGAAAGTATCTAATATACCTCTTGACTTGATTAAAAAAAGAAAGAAAGAAAGAAAAGAGGTACTAAAGGTGATGTTCTGGGTAACAGTCCCTGAGACTGGCATTTTTCTGTATTAAGGAAACTGGACTTTATTCTGTTATGTTGCCAAATACAACTGAATTGCAGAAAAAATGTAGAGTGAAGTGTGCAGAATGATTGTTATATTGCTTTTCTCTTTCCTATACTTTCTCTCTAGCCCCTTAAGTATCAAGAAGGTTCTTTATTAGCAAGAAATCAGTATGTATTACATTCAAGAAAGAATTGGCATTTGGGATAGGGAGTATTATGCCTGTGACTATGGCCTGTAATTGTCAAATTTGTCTCCAAAGTTTTTCCTCTGTTGGCTCTATCAGCACCGTTGGATATTGTGGAGTGTGTGTATGTGTGTGTGTGTGTGTGTGTGAGAGAGAGAGAGAGAGAGGAGATCAGCTAGCATACTGGTCAATATCACCAGCTCCTATATCAACTCCCTGGGTTAAATTCTTACTGGTCTTCTGCTCCTAGTAACTGTGATTTTGACCAAGCTACCTACCTTCAGTTATGAATATAATGGGAATGATTACAACTTCATCCTTGCAGTCTAATGAAAGGTTTAATGGGATAACATGTTATGTGTCACACACACCCATGGAAAGTACTCAATAAATGTTAACAATTATTGATACTATAAATCTATACTTGAAGTCTCATGAAACTCTCAAATATTATGAACAATTTTCAATATGTTGAATCAGAAGAGGCTCCTTGAAGAAGTTAAAGAAGCTATGGAGCTAACAGCCAGGAGTCTGCAGAAATATTTCTTTGAATAATTTTAAAGTAAAGCAGAGTAAGAGAGTATTCATTTTTAATTTAGTGTCAAAAAGCCAATATGATAGTCCAGGGCAGGTAATTATTCGTTGATTCCTTGAATATTTATTGAGTATATTCTATATTGGAGACAGAGCTGGGAACAAAATTAAGCCAAATTCTTCAATCCCCTGAGATTTCAATATGTTTAGGTGGGGGGGTGGAGAGAGGTGGGGGGGTGGAGAGAGGGGGGAGGGAGGAGGGAGAATAAACCAAAAAAATGTGCAGAGAAAAGCATAAAATGAGAAAATTGCTAGGGGAGCATCGGGATGGAAAATCCCAGCACGAAGGTGGTGTGTGTCCAGGCCTGAAAGAGGTGAGGACAGCAGCCAGGCAGGTACCTGGGGGAAGAGCCTCGTAGGAGACTGGCTAGCAAGTGCAGAAGCCTGTGTGAGTGTGCTTGGAGGTTCCTGCACCAGAGGAGATGCCAGCAAGTGGCATGAGCCAAGGGCAGGATGGTGGGAGAGAGAGCAGCAAGATGGCAGTGGGCCAGTTATGGAGGGGTAGAATGGTCACTGTAAGAACTAGGGAGTTGGGGGCCATTTGGACAGATTTGCCCAGAGGAGCAAACGTATATGGCATTGGGTTTTACAGGAGCCCACTGGCTGCCCACTCACGGTGAGCAGTTAGAGACCATCGAGAACTCTAAGCCAGGTGGGGAGAGTGGCTTCCATCATGTCAGTAGCAGTGGGCGTCATGGAGAAGTGGTCACGATCTGGATATTTATTGAAAGCACTGATGGTGGATTAAAAGTGGGTTGTGAGATAAAAAGGAATCCAGGACGACACCAAAGTTTTGGGCCTGAGTGACAGGAAACATAATGTTTCCATTTGCCCAGAAGGAAAGACTGGGGAAGAAGTTTGGGTCAGGGGGGCAGGTTTTGAAGTTAGTTGGAGATGCCTAGTAGACACCCACGTGGAGATGGCAGATGGCGTCTTCCTCATTTTACACACAGAAATCATGGAGCTGAGAGGTAAAGCGACTTTGCCAGAGTCACATGAGAGTCAAGTGAAATAGCTGAGATTTTGTTTCACTGTCCTTGTTTTTAATCCATTAGGATTTTTATTTACACTAGGCTATAATGATAGCACTGACCAGAGGAAAAAGGCACAAAATATTACTTAAATCTTATTTATTTCTAGGGATATGTATCTTTATTACTATAATTCTTTCTCTATCAGGAAAACTTTTTCTTTGCTAAGTAGACGACTCACTGTTTATTTTGGATTATAAATTCTTATCCTGGTGACATTTTTCATATGAAATAGAAGATAGTGTTTCTTGTCTTTTTTATATGATTTAAAATTCTAATTATTTTCTATTCCATTTACTTCGAAGTGCCTTTATCTCCACCAAGAAACCTGAGAATCTCCAATATTGGCTCTAACAGTGCTCGATTATCCTGGGACCCTACATCAAGAAAGATCAGTGGTTACCGGATTTTATACACCAGTGCAGATGGGACTGAAATCAATGAGGTAAGGTACAGAACAGGATATGAATTTTTCAGGCCACTGTGTGGAGTTATCAGCTGCATATCCAAAGGCTACTGGCTTAAAGCAATACTAATTATATTCTTTCATCCTTTCTTTGGGTCAGAAATTGAGGCTTGCATGTGCAGTTGTAGCTGCAGGGTCACACATGAAGTTAGATATTAGCTGGAGTTGGCATCTTCTCAATGGCTTCTTTTTTTTCATGATTGTTTTTGGTTATGCATGACAATAGAATTTATTTTGATATAATTATACAAGCATGGAATATATCTTATTCTAATTAGGACCCCATTCTTGTGGATATACACAATGATGGAATTCACTTTGGTGTATTCACATATGTACAAAGAAAAATTATTTTGAAGTTATTTCACTGTCTTTTCCTATCCTCCCTTCCTTCTCTTCATTCTCCTAATCTACTGGATCTCTATTCTTCCCTTCTACCCCTTATTGTGGGTTAGCTTCTACATATCAAAAAACATTTTACCTTTGGCTTTTTTGGGACTGGTTTATTTCACTTAGCACAATAGTCTCCAAATCCATCCATTCACGGGCAAATTTCATAAAGTCATTCTTCTTTGCGGCTGAGTAATACTCCATTGTGTATCTGTATCACATTTTCTTTATCCATTCATCTGTTGAAGGGTACCTAGGTTGGCTCCCTAGCTTAGCTATTGTGAATTTGTATGTCTGGTACTTGCTCTGGGAAGACTGGAACAGATGGAGTAAACCTTTGTGTCTCTAAGTAGACTTTTCACATGATGCTTCTGGCATGCAGCTTTAGGGGAGTTGGCACAGGAGTCCACAACACATGTCTAGGGAGAGAGAGTACAAAGTGGAAGTTACAATGACCGGGGCTCAGAAGTCATTTGAGATTTCCTCTACCACATTCCACCACTAGGAGATGTCACAAGCCCCTGCCTGTATACAAGGCAGAGAAACAGATTCCACCTACCACAGGAGGCTTGTCAGTCACATACGAGGAGCATGTATGATGGGAGATGTACGCTGACGTGACCATCTTGGGAAAATGCCATCTTCCGTGGTGGATGGGGCTGGGAAAGTGTGTACTTTCATGGACGAATCAAACTAGAAACAGAGTCAACATTATCCAGTTTATCTCTGCTTTTGAATAAACTGACATCTGAAAGAGTTAGGTGAGACAAAATTAAAAAGATGAACAATTCTACTTTTGTATAGAAAGGTGCTTTCAAATATTAGAACTTAGTAAACTCATGAAGAAGCAGAATCATGCGTGCCATGACTAATACTTTCAGAAATTCTTTCCTTGGAACTATGTTTTGGTAAGATAGCAAAGTTATTTTTATTTTATTTTTCCTCATCTTGGTCCAGGAAGTTAGGACAAAGAAATATGTTGGATTGCATCACTTCTATTTTATCATCAAATAAAGCAAGTATTTTCATATATCAAGATAAAAATTTTCTACAGTTAAATCTAGGCAATAGTTTACGGAATGCACCTTCACAAGGGAACTTGTATATAATGCATGGCCCATAAATGCACATTTATAACCTACAGGAATACAGCTCAACAGCTCTCATTAAGACTGCATAAATCCTGAGGGTAAATAGTTTTGATGAGTTGGGGTCATTGGGACTAGTTGCTTTGTGTTTGAAGACAGAAACCTAGAGCAGTAAAAAGATTGAAATGAAAACCGCTGAGTGATGGGTGTCTCTCTTTCACCAGTGATAAAGAAACCACTTTCCCAAGAGTTGCAAACTTAACCCTGTAGGAGGATCAGATGGATAAAATAAATGTGCACAAACAGATACACCTGCAAAGAAATACACTTTCACCGGTTTTTCCTGAAACATGAGGTTAACTTACACTATATATTGCGTTCCCATTTTGAGGACATAGATGTAGAAGAAATTCTCTACTGAAAGGCAATTTGAGACCAGTGATCAATGGTAATGGACAATGGGCTTTGTCAAGTGCCATCCAAGAAGCAGCAGGTCTCAGCTCCTACTACGCCCAGGGAGCTGCCAGGTCATGGGACTCTTGAAGAGATAGACAGACTTCTATTTCTGTATGAAATTTACCAATTTAAAAATTGAACATCCCAAATAACATGACAGCTATATTCACCAATAAATGTTTCTTTATTGTGGAGCACGCTTCCTTAGCAATAACTTCTATAAAATAGAAGTACCCCTTCATATAGGTAGGCTGTATTTATGGCTATGTAATATATAACATAAGTATATAATGAAAAAGACTGTTATCTTTGTCCATTCAAGCTGCTATAGCAAATTGCCTAGACTGGGTAACTTATAGCTAGACTGGGTCACTTAGAAATTTACTATTCATAGCTCTGGCAGCTGGAAAGCCCAAAATCAAGGTACCAGCCGATTTGGTGTCTGGTAAGGGCATATTGCTCATCATGGACACCCACCTGTGTCCTCACATGGTGGAAGGAGCAGATGATTCCATAGAGCTTACAAGGGCACTAATTCTTCATGACCTAATTACCTCTGAAAGGCCCCTCTTTTTACTATTATTACACCAGGAATTAGTTATCAACTTATGAATTTGGGAGGGGGAACACAAAGATTCAGACCCTAGTTAGCAGTTATGGCCTCATCTAGTATTTTGCATTTTTTAATTTTTGCAAAGAATGGCCCTACACAAATATATTTGTTGAGAATGTATGAATTAGAAACTATGCTAAAGTTGAATTTAAAATATGAATCAATGGACTCTGAATGAAGATCTAAGAAAATTTTATTTGAATAGAATGCATTAATGCTGCTTGGATTTTTTAAAATATTTATTTTGACTGGTGCATATGTTTTCTCATTTCTTGATTTTTTTGGGGGGCGGGTACTGGTGGTTAAACTCAAGGGTGCTTAACCACTGAGCCACATCCCCAGCTCTTTTTTGTATTTTATTTTAGAGACAGGGTCTCACTAAGCTGCTTAGGGCTTGCCAAGTTGCTGAGGCCAGGTTTGAACTCATGATCCTCCTGCTTTAGCCTCCCAAGCTGCTGGTATTATAGGCTTGTGTCATCATGCCCAGCCCTAATTTCTTGATTCTCAAATCCAACATTGCTGCATAAGTATATCTTTTACTTAAATGAGGTACTATTTTACCTGACCTGGGAATATATGATCTTTGAGAGTGAATATTTCTACCAGTTTTGCTTTAATTTCTATGAATTTAAGTTTTAATGTTTAGATAATGCACAATTGGGACTTTAGGAAATCCCCCTAAACATTCTGGAATGAACTAAAATCTACTTTGAAGATAACATGAAAGCTTTTATTTTAAAAACAGTTAACATTTCTCCACTTCCCTTCCTCCTCCCCTTACCTTCCCTACCTAACTTCCCCTTCCGCCCACTCTTCCTCCTTCACTTTCTCTCCCCTCTCTATCTTTTCTGTAATGTCCCCCTTCCAACTTTTTGGAGATGGGACAAGAAAAGTAAACCAGGACACATCAACTGATGATGATAATGATGGTGGCAATTGTGCTGATGATAATGGCAGCTACCGCTCGGATGTTTACCTGAGCCAGGAGCTGAGTGTTCTAGAGAGAATCTCATGCAGTCTTTACAGAACCAAATGCCGGAAAAGCATGACTTGTCAGATGATGGACAGAGGCTATCTCAGTCTGCATTTACTGTAAAAGGATCTGGGAAGTATACATACGTGATGGAGAATTAGTGCTGCCGTTTGAATTTCATAAATGCAAAGGCCACAGTTTTTAGACCCTTGAGAATGTGGTTCCCAACAGCAGTGACTCAGTTGCACAGCCCAGAGAGCAGCCCAAATCCCCCATTGCTCATCGAGGACTCTTCATCCTTCCCATATTAGGCGAAGTTAAGCTTTTAGCTGGACTCATAAAATCATTCTCAAAAAATAGTTGCAAAACATTGAGATCATGATAATTTGTTACCCTTTCTTCAGATTCTTCTCTTACATTTTTAAATCACCACCAACAAAACCAGTTCCAGAACTAATATTTTAAAACCTAATATTATAATAAAAATAAATGATACCTGAAGTCTTCATAAAATAAAATAATCAATGATTAAATTGTTTAAAATAGTCTATTCAGTATCAAATAAAATGTTTTAGTAAATAAATTAGATCCTTTTAAATAGACTGTCTATATAAAAGACTATGTATCTATCACGTTTTTTCCATTTAGTCTCTCAGTGTACCTAAAGAAATATAATTTTAACAACTTTTGTGTATGTTTGATATATTTTCCTTCCTATTATTCACAGATTTGAGACTTAGAAATCTGTGGTCAAGGACTAAGGGAATTCCATTAGGTAGTTTTATAACTACTGAAGTCAGTTAACTCTTTGGACCTCAGGTTTCTCTTTGGAAACCCATTCTTATACATGGGAAGGACCTCTAAACAAAATAACGTGTCAAGTTCTTGATACTAGGTGCTCAATACTTCTTAGCTGTGATGATTCAAAGCAATAGAAAGCAATATCTAAGTATAATTTTGGAAAATGTGTCTGGAACTCATATTTTGAATATGGATTTATGTTCTCTCTGAGTTTAAAAATTAAAACCATACTGGAAAAAGAGAATAGGATTTAGAGTTGGAAACACCTGGGCTTAAGTCCTTGGCCCTAGCTGGTTTCCTCTGGGGCAAGATCCTTACTCTTCCCATCTTCAAATTGGGGGTGACAGTCAGCGACCTACAGGCTATGGTAAGGGTCAAGTGCCTCTGTGTGTATAAAACATGCAGATAATGCCAGGCTGGGACAAACACAAGATGCTAAGGACAAGCTATAAAGTTATTGATCCTTGTGTCAGGAGAAGATGCAGAGTTTCAGTGAACTATTGCTATGTGACAGAAACTCAGTTTAAAACGGAGGACCATGGTCAGACAGTATGGCAAAGCTCAGCAGGGACGGCTCGTCTCCACCCTGTGGGTCAGCTGAGGTGACTCTTGAGTCCCTCTGGACTTGGGGGCTGGAACTGCCAAGATGACGTCTCCCCAGTCTAGTATCTCAACTGGGGTGACCTGGAAGGTAGGCGTGACTGGCCCTCCAGCAGAGTGGCTCAGGGTTCTAGTTCCATAAAATGGAAGCTCTGCTCTCCAGGTGGGTACAGTTTTGGATCTATAGTTAATTCCTTCTGTGGTCTCTGGACCAGATCTTAATTTATTATAAGCCTTTTCTTTTCTTATCTCTTTTTTAAAAAAAGCTTTTTGGAGTTTTATCTTCATTTTCACTTATTTTATTCATTAGAGGATACAGTTAAACATACAGTGGCAAAGAAATTAATTGAGGCCCTGCCCGCAAGGGCTCAACAGGAGACAGACATTAAATAAACAAAGAAATAAAAAGCTTTCAAATGTCACTGTGCCAGGGAGGAAACTACAAGGGCAGTGTTAGAGAAATGTGGAAAGAGAAACCTAAACCCTCTGAGGAGGTGATATTTAGGGACATCCTGCCAGATGAGGAAGACCTAATTTTGAAAAGAGCTGAGTAATAGGGTCACAGACAAAATGAATTGCTTGTGCAAAGGCCCTGAGGTGGAAAAGTTGAGTCTATCACTGAAACCATTGTGGCTGGAGCTTAATGACCAGTGGTTCCTTAGGATTACAGCAGAGAGGACTTGTGCTCCAGATCATGCAAGGACATCCAAACCCAAACCCAGGGTGCTTGGCTTTGGTTTGGGAGGCAATGGATAGCCAGTGAAGGTTCTAATGGGTAAAGGTTGTTTTGATGGCCACGAGCAAACTCAAAGGATGAATGGTTTTCTTTTTAACTTTGGGTGGCCCTAGCTGGTTTCCTCTGGAGCAAGATCCTTATTCTTCCCATCTTCAAATTGGGGGTGACATTGACAGCACTGAAACTAGAGAACTTATTGATGTCACTCAACAATGGCCCCTGAAACCATTCTAAGTGGAACCTAATTTGGCAGTCTACTCTCAGATAAATATGACCATTGTTTCAATGGTCTAGGCTGTTGTCAGAGCTAAGGTACCTTGTTTTAAGTCATTGCAAGTTTTCGTGAGGATTAATCGAGAAGGCGTGTGAAGGCCCGGGCTTTGCACCACATGTAGGTTCCCCAGCATGTTCCCCTCGGCAGCCCAACACCTAGCCTCTCAATGATGAGATGGGTCTGCTCCTCTTTCTCTCTCCTCAAGGTTGACTTTGATTAGGACTCTGCCTGATAGATCCTCCTATCCTCTCCTCTTTGTTTTCTTTCCTCAAGGTCAATTCTTTGTTGTAAAGTTCTCTATTCTAACCCTTCCCTCTTCTTACATTCTTGTGGATATCCTCAGGACTTCATCCCTTATGTACCCCAAAAAGGTTCATATATATTTTCCCAAATAAGTCTTTCTGTGAAAGATAAAGGGATATTTCAAATGTTTACTAGTTTTGACTGTTTTCTTTAGTATTAATACCCTTCCTCTGCATGGTTGGGTACCTGTGTCTGTACATCACTCAGCCCTGGAACCAGCAGAGCCCAGGAAGTAAGACCAAAAGCCAGCTGCTTCTCATAGATCTGTCTGGAAACATTAAATGTATTTATATCAGCCTCTGAGGTTGTGCACACTTAATGTTCTTCGGGAATGGAAACAATATTGGTTTTAAAGTTGTCCTGAGAATTAACCGGCAGGAAATCTATCGAAGGGTGTAAAATTAGAATAGTGTATATATAAATTGACTGGTCTTATAATTCAGGAGGCTTTTTGAAGTATTTTATAGCCCTGCTCTCTGCCAAGTGAACTACAGACCATAATAAAATGATTGCTGTATTTAGAGAACATCGGATACAGCTACTGTGACGATTCTCTCTTGCAGGTTGAGGTCGATCCAATCACTACGTTCCCTCTGAAAGGTTTGACGCCCCTCACCGAGTATTCCATTGCCATTTTCTCCATCTATGAAGAAGGGCAGTCTTTGCCTCTGGTTGGAGTTTTCACCACAGGTAAGCCTCGTTAGGTTTTGGAAGTTTTGCAAAAGTAACCATATAGAAACCAAAACCTAAAACAGCTTCTTCAGTTGTGATTTTAAAGATATTGCATTTTCACTTTTAAAATATTATTAACAAACAATTACATAGCTAGCATATGTACTAATTGTTTTGTACCAGAGTGAAGAAAAGAGAGAAGTTTGTCTCCCTTTAAAAGGTCTAAGTTTTAAAAAGCATGTGCATTCTTCTTATTCTAATCTCACACCTTCTTCTTTTATTCCTTGATGTAAACGATTTGCTTCCCTTTTTCATCCACGTGTGTTCATTAAGTTGCATTTCCAAATACTGATATCCAATCATTTTGGCCAACAAAAAAGTGACAATTTCTTATTACTTAACCTAATGCATCATTATAGCTATTTCTGTTTTCATGGAGCCTAAAAATATTAACACAAGAAAGAATGTCTTAAATACTAAACTTAAATAGAATGTATGCATACATGATTTTCCTATTCTGTATTTACTCTGTAGTTGCCCAAGAAATTATAGAACATTTTTCCTCTTGGTGCAACAATTATATTGTTTGCCTTCTGAATTTGTCAATTGGCCTCAGACACAAATTTATTTCTGTATTGAAGAGATGACAGGTAATTTAGAAAGAAATGAGAGTACTGATTGAGAAATGTTTACAGAAAGATACAATAATTTCACAAAATCTTGGAAGGTCTGATAAATAACATTTCACTCCTGATGACATCCATGTGAGAACATTAGAAAGATGAAGATTCTTCCCCAGAATGTAGTACCAGTGAATAATTTAATCACTGAAGCAAAAAAGCCTAAAAGGAAACATTTCTCCAGTCTCTGGGGTACCATTTTGTTTATTTACTCAAAATACTTGGAAGATAATATCTTTATAAAATTATGAATATAGCATTTTTATTTTTTTCATGCTTAAAAGAGGCAAATAAATAATCTAAGGGTTCCGGAATTACTGGGACAAAATTTGAAAGTCTGCTATTTCCATGGTTTTCCTAATTTATGCTGTTGGTAGATGCTGGAAGTTGAAATGTAATGCCACACTAGACTGATGGGCACTGCCTTTCCTTCTATGGTTTTCCAAAAGCAAAAGATTCCTTATGGAGACTTTTCTTCCCACAGCCCCTGGGAGCTGTTTGGGTTTTGGCTTTCTTGCCCTTTCATTTCCCTAACAAAATCTTCCTGTGCTTCCAGAGGAAGTTCCAGCCCAGCAATACTTGGAAATCGACGAGGTGAAGACAGACGGCTTTCGAGTGACCTGGCATCCCCTCTCTGCCGAGGAAGGGCAACATAAGTTGATGTGGATTCCAGTCTATGGTGGGAAGACTGAAGAGGTAAGTCGTCTGAAAGAGATGAAAATGGATCTGGAGCATGTTCTGTGCTGCATGGGAGTTGGTCTTCATTTTAAAACAGATTGGGAATCCCAGAGGTCATTAATATTGTGCAAGGCATGGAGTGTCACAAAGGTCAAACCGTATTATTTTTCTAAGACTAAAATGCATTGTCTCCAGGGCTTCAGTCATGTATCTAATACATTTCTAGATTCTTTTACTTTCCTACAGAACGTGTAATAAAAACTTCAAAGTACCACCTTTAGAATATTAATAATATTGATAATTAAAACTGATTTTAGCAGCCTTGGTATTCCTTATGCTTCATTATTTCTTGATTACACTTAGAATGACAGTTTTTTCCTTGTTTTTTTTTAAAAGCGCATTCCCCCCCCCCTTTTTAATTCAACTAAAACTGATTACTAAGCACTACATACTTTTTAGGTTGATCTAAAGGAAGAGCAAGACTCATATGTTATTGAGGGTCTGGAACCTGGCACTGAATATGAAGTCTCGCTGTTGGCCGTACTTGATGATGGAAGTGAGAGTGAGGTGGTGACCGCTGTAGGGACCACACGTAAGTCTTGTTCTGGGGCAAGTGGGACTTCAGCAGCACCCACCATCCACACTGACACTCCCTTCACCACACCAGGCTCCCTCTCTATCTGCCTTGTCCCTGGCTATGGAGTCTTCAATTATTCTCTGTCCTTCAGAGTTCGCCATATATCCCTACCTTCCATGAAACAGTCATGTGAAAAATCTTAACATTCTGAATCCTTACACTGTGAGGAAGTGATCATATCTGTCTTATTCATTATTGTATTCTCCACACTTAGCACAATTGTTGGTTTGTTTTCACTGGATGATAAATATTCATTGGATTGATGGATGCACGAATGGATGAGTGGGTGGAAGAAAGGATGGAATAATTTTTGAATGAATAAATTGGCAAATAAATAAACCTATGGCTAACAGGTCCAAGAGTTTCTGGAATTTTCCAAGTTGATCATGGTTCCAAGAATTTTGTACAAAAAAATTTACTCATTGATTGATTTATTCCTTCATTTTTTTAAAAAAAATGTGAGCTATTAACTGCGTATTAAACTGTCTTAGATTGGGTTTCCTGGAATCAGATTTTGAGACAGAAAATTGCATCCAAGAGGTTTATTGAAGAGTGCAGTTAGGAGACACTTATGTAAGAAACCGAAAAGTGTGAGATGGGGAATAGGGAGAAGCTGAAACTGAGCCTTCAGCTCATCCTGTTAAAAGCTCTAGGGCTAGAACCACCCTTCTGAATTGCCCCAAATTGTGGCAAAGGAGCTGGGCCTTTACATCCCCACATCACCCATCATTGGAGTTGCACTGTTCCTTGGCGGGGCAATTCCTAGAGCTGTTGAGACTTGGCAGACAGTATTCCAGCACCTGGAGAATAGATGTGTTCATCAGCACATGAATGTAAACACCTCTGCTGCTCCATTCCATGTGCACCCAGGGAGGGTACTGGAAAGAGACCATGCACTTCTTGCCAGAGCACATTGCCCTCCTTGGTGGTCTTGCTTGGCAGCCCTTTCACAACTTGGTCTAGCAACTCGGTTTAATTTCCTTTAATTATCACGGTTATGCCACTATTTCAAAATAATTGGGAGGTTTCATAATTTTGTGGATGTAATTCAGATGTTTATATGAAGTCTGGTATCTGTGATGTGAAACCAGCCTCTTTGGGCTTTGGTTTCCTTATTCATGGAACAGATATGCCTGCCTTACTTGTGACTCACTTTTCTTGTCTTCCAACCGTAGTCAAGTTTGTTGGAGGAAGAAAGTAAGATAATGGAGGTGAAATTTTCTTTAAAAGTTATTAAGTGATTTATGCAAATGTATAGAGGTATTGTCATTATAAAATTTTAAAATAATGAATTTTTTTTTTTTTTAGTTGATAGTTTTTGGACAGAACCAGCCACAACCATAGTACCTACCAGCCCTATAACTTCAGGTAAGAACACACAGGAGACCATTTTTCCAATACAGAAGTCATATTTTATTTAATATTATAATTAGGGAAGAGATGCTGCCCTCTTCCATGTCTACCAAACCGGTTCACATTTCCTGCCACTCAAACTCTCAAAATCTTCTTTACCATGGTACTCCAGCCTTCTATTACTCCAGCCTCCCTGTTAAATCTCTCTGCCTTTTTCATCTCTGTCTTTGATTCCCATTCACCTTCCAGAGCATGTTAACATAGTAACATCGCTGGGGGTCTTTGCCCCCTCTTTATCTCAGAGATATCTCCTACTGCTTTGTTGAGAATTATTATGTCATGGTTTTTGTGCATTTTTGTGGGTAAATAAGATTTGGCTAGTCCACCAGCTATTTCCTCTCCCCTCCACTGCAATACACCTCCCAACTAGCTATCAGAGGTGACTAAGTAACATATACACTCACTTCGGTGGTTTACAGTTACCCATTCATTAATTCATTTCCTCTTCAACTTATCTTTACTGAGCCCTCCTTTGTGCCCTAACATCTCTTTATTGTAACATCCAAGATCTTTCCTGATAGTTCCTGCTTCCCTTCCTGTCCTCAACTGTATTTCCTACTCTTTCTCCATTTTCTCCTGACATTTCGGAACTCCTTGTCTTGAATTGAGGAGTTCCCTCCCATTCCCACTGCCTGGTATCCTGCCAGGTAAATGTCCATCTTTTATCTCTTCTGCGACATTCTTCCTACTTTTGTCAAGGTTATGTCCTGTATATCTCAAAAGACCTAATGAAGTCAGACACACTGAAGGAATGCAATGAATGTTTTCAGAACGAGTGAATAAATGCATGAAGAGGAAGATGTAGTGGAGGTGAGCAGGGGAAAAGGCAGTCAGGGCAGAAGGGAGAAAGGAGAAAAAAAATTTGAACAAATGAAGGAGCAGGCACCTCCAGAGATGAGGACACAGGTGAAGGAGTTTGGACAAGTGTCAGAGAGAAAAGATAAAATCTGTGGGCTGAATGGATAAAGGCACTCTGGATGGAAGAGTTGTTCTTGAATGACAAGTGTCAAAACCAAAATGGGGGACAGGTAGATGGGATGCGTGTTGGATGCTGATTGCACAGGAAGGGTGATGAGATCTGGTGCAGCAGGACCACTTCTCCAACACAGCGGTAGTGTGACCTGCTTATGTCTATGCTCCCCTTTGGGTTCATGGGTTGATTTTTCAGTCCAGGATATTTTCCCAGGATATCCTGAATAGTGTGTATGCAAGGCTGATAATCTAGAGCAGTCCATGACCTCATCTTGTAAACATCTCTTAAACCCATGCCCTCCTAAACCTGTAGTTACCTTGACTTCCCATTAACCACTAGAGTGCAGCTGTTCTTGCTTCATGTGGCTCTGCATCATAGATCTATCTTCAGTGATGCTCCTTGCCACTCCACAAGTAGTCTCCATGGCTCATTTTGGAATATGAAGGGGTTGAAAGTTCTTTAATCCTCGGTTGTGTTTATTTCAGCTTTCCAGACAGGAATCAGAAACCTGGTTGTAGATGATGAAACCACTTCTAGTCTGCGGGTAACATGGGACATTTCTGACAGCAATGTGGAGCAGTTTAGGGTGACCTACCTGACAGCACAAGGGGACCCTGCGGAAGAAGTGGTAGGAACGGTCTGTATAAATACAGCTAAATAGAAACTCCACAGACTTTCCTAACAGAACTAATGAAACAGTCTCCAGAGACTAACTAAAGCTTTACTGCTCATTGCATGGTGACTCTACCAACTCCAGAAGCTAATGTTCTTGATAAACTCAAACTTCACTGCTGATTTCTTGATTAGCTTTCTAACTCCAATTTTTTTCCACACATGTGTTTCAAGCTATAAAACCTTTAAATCTTGTTTCTAACATTGCTTCTGCTGCCTTGATGACTTGGAATACCAAAATTGGGTCATAAAAGGTCTATCACATACTTATATCTGTAGATATATAGGTGGATAAAGTTTAAGATAGGTATTTAACATTTTTTTTTGCACTTGGCAATCAGATAAAAAGCTTTTCAAGCAAAACACACATGAAAGGTCTTTTTTATGTAGTTGAAATGTTTCTAACAAAATGCCATCCATTAACAAATAGTTATTTTTTAAAAAATTTTACTGATATCAATTCATTTCAAGATTTATAGTAATTTCTTATATATCTTAATCATGGGTGTCTCCCCTCATGGATTTAGATTTTTATATGTCGTGTTTTCTTTAAGTTGATCTATCTTTATTTCTTTTTTCTATACGGCAAACCTGCCACCCTCTTAATCATGGCCTCCACATGTTCTCTTAATATACCATATTTAACTTTGTTTTGTAGATGTGGGTCTAGGAACCAGATAACTCCAGTGTTCAGCCAGAAGAAATTTGTCTTTTTCATCATGCAATATGATTTAGCGAGCCTCATTAATTGAAGTTTTGGTCTTGTGCTGCATTAGTTTTGACACTCTAAGAAAGAAATTTTTAAAATTCATCACTGCTCAAGAATAGGGTTATTCTTTCTTTCCCTTCCTGACTTAAAAAGTCTTGGGTGGAAAATCATTTTTATTTATGTGTATACATAAACTATTACTTGAGTTCAAATTTTTTTCAGGAGAGTATTGTATTTCTAATGGAAAGAGGAAAGCTTATAGGGCCCAATGAAGGTCTCAACAAGAACCCTATCCCTGTGAACAGCCAGAAGATCCATGAATTGGTCTGGGGATACTTATGGAAAGTTAATGATCTCAAACAAAATCCACTCTTACCATACATTTCAAATGATTCATGACTGGCAAATTTTTAAAAAAATGTACTTAAGTATGGCAATTAATGTAATAATTTGCAGTGTTTTATTTTTCCTAACATTGTCTTCCTATTATGGCTCAGTTCCTAAAAGTGAGATCCATAGAAACTTTCCAGACTATGGGTTTTTCATTTTTGTTTTTGTGAATTTTTCTTACTCTTTCCAAGAAACACATTAGCTTCTTGGTGAATTATTCCTGTTAATTAGGAAACAGTAACAATTTAATCTCACACATGCACTTGTGAGCTACACAAACCAAGGTGAAATAATAATAATATTTACTTTGGGCTGTTTCTAGATAATTTTCCCTTTGCTAGTTTCTTTCCTTTAGCACTGTTTATTTTTGAAACACTTGGACACCTACACGAAGGGGGAAAATGATCAAAGTCTTAGTCTGCCCCAGTTAAACAAACCTTTAATAAAAATGAAAAATATTGATATATTTGGTGGTGATTATTTACTATGCAGAAGTATTTGTTTTTGTATTTTGCTTTTGCTGTATTAAAAAATGTACTGTAGTATTCATTAAATATCAAACTCTTTTGGTGCATCTTAATTAAACTAGATTTGTGCACACAGCTTACAAGCACTTTCTTAATTTATATAGGGACTCACCTGAGGATAGATTGAGAACTTGTTTCCTTGTTAGTGCTATACAAATGGATTAGTGTTATTATTAGAAATAGAAAGTGGGTGCATCTAAGTTTAGATTATGAAGCTAAGGTAGGACCATCAGATGTGGACCTATGCCAAAGAACATTGATCTTACAATCACACAGACCAAATGATACCTTAAAATAAGGATGCATACAGAGAAAGACAGATGATAAAAACATTATAAAAGCAAAAGGAAATGTGTCCAGAGAAGAGGTATGACTCCTAATATGTTTCCAAAATTTCCTTAACTATAAACACTGATTTTATTTGTATAAGGAAAGAATAAGAGAGCGTTGGAAACTAGTACAGGTATACAGCATTGCAAACCAAAGAAAACAGGGTAATTAAATTTATAAGTTAAGGTATGTGAATTAATTATATAGATTCTAGGTATAATCAATTCTACCAGACACTTTCAAGAAAAAAAATTAAACACTTAGAAATAAAACTGCCTGCCAATATTTCATAAAGATTAACTTTCAACTCTTTTTTGAAATTAGAAAAAGTGGCAACGACATTGTCTCCATTGTGTTAGAGCAGGGAGATCTCTTATTTATTTATTAAAAACCAGACTTTCTAGAGCCTGGGTTTCAAAAGCATTAACCATGGCACACCTATAATCCCAGTGGCTCTGGAGACTGAGACAGAAGGATTGCATGTTCAAAGTCAGACTCAGCACAAAGCAAGGCACTTAGCAACTCAGTGAGACCCTGTCTCTAACTAAAAATGCAAAATAGGGCTGGGGGTGTGGCTCAGTGGTTGAGTGCCCCTGGGTTCAAGCCCCAGTAATCCCCCCCCCCCCCCCCCCCCCGAGAAAAAGCATTAACCATGGCCTGAATTTTCGGTTGTAAGGAATTTTCTAGAGTAGGACTACTCAAAATGGACCTTGGTCTCCTACATGATAAGTTCAGATTTAACATTAAGCTTTTAAAAATGTGGATAGCCATTTGACATTGCTGCAACCATCCAAGAACAAGATGATGATCACTTTTCTAGCAAACTGGTATTATTGTATTTTATGCAGATATTGGTCTACAGTGGATTGGAGTTAAATCAAAATACAACCATTAACTCTTAGTCTTTAATCACAGAGAGTTTGAGAACCACTGTCTAAAAACAGATGGGACTGTTATAAAATGAGACTCCAGTGAGATACAGAGGATCCTTTTTCTACTCCAGGCAAAAATTTGCTGTTTGTGGCCCAGTCCGCTATGAAGAAATTTGGGTCATAATGGAGCCAGATAAAGTTGCATTTCTGCAAAAATTAAAAACATGAAGTTTACTGGCAAAATTTTCATTCTATTTAACCATGAGTATCCTATATAGATTAGTTTTATAAATACAACCACCGTCTGCTTTTGCCTATATATTTGTGCACACAGCTTACAAGCACTTTCTTAATTTATATAGAAACCCAATTAAGGATAGATTGAGAACTTGTTTCCTCAAATGTTAGTGCTATACAAATGGATTAGTAGTATTATTAGAAATAGAAAGTGGGGTGCATCTAAGTTTAGATTATGAAGCTAAGGTAGGACCATCAGATGTGGACCTATGCCAAAGAACATTGGTCTTACAGTCACACAGAGCACAATAATACTTGAGGAAACACACACACACGCGCACACACACACACACATTTGTTTGTTTGTTTGTTTTACTATGCTTTACCTAAACAAGCAGAGGCTAAGCAGGAAGAACTTTGCATACTCCAGAAATTTCCATTTCACTGTTCCAAATAAGTATCATGAGTGTAAAAAGTTTAAAGCAATACATTTGTGTGAGATAGGGGGGCCAATGTTAAAATAAGGTGTGGACTCTATTCTCACATTTATGTTCCTTTACTGAGCTGGGTGGGCCTCAGTTTTACCATATGCAAATGTGTGAAATGACAAGGTGGTGATAAAGATTAACCCAATAACTGTATTCAAATTCTTGAATAGCACCCAGCACATATACTTGCTAGATAAGTGAGAGCTATTGTTCTAATTCACAACAACAACTTGCTGGCAAGCAAAATGAATTCTTCAAAATAATCACACCACTTTTCAATATACCACAGGCTGAACTTGATTGGTTGCAAGGTCATGTGCTTTTCAATATGAAAGATGACCTTATTTAAGGAACATCCACATGGGTGGTTTGCTAGAAAGACAGCTTGGAATGAAAACCCTGGCTCTGCTCTCTGAAAGAGTAATATTTAAGAGAAATACCCCAAAGGAAGCTACACTGTCAGAGTAATATAAGTCAGGGCACCCACTGTCACAGTTCTTCCTTAAAAGTCCTTAATGTCAGGGTCGTCTGACTTTAGAATAAAGCAGAGCCCCTCTTTTTCATTGCTCCTTCCCAGGACCCTGTGTACACACATCAATGCAACTCTGTACCTTTCAATGCTCCTTCCTATGAGGAACAGAATCTTATTAATCTAATATAAAATCATCTAACTCAGACTTCCTTTTTCATATTAAAAAACATTGCTTTTTAGAGCTTTGCAATATCTTAGCAACAGCTGCTTCGGGTTCAACTGGAGGCTTTCTAAGGCTTAATCCATGATTTATAGGTTTCTTCCTTCATCCAGGAGTAGACAGCACCGCCCTTTGCCTGCTGGCATTTCACCCAGCCCTTGAATGGAAAAGTCTCTAGCTGTTCTGGTCTTGTGACTCCCTTCAACCCATTTGGGTTAGTTCTTACATCCTAGTGTTTTTTCCAGGCCTGATTTTGTTCCTTAAATGGTCCAGAGATGTGCCAGCATCTAACTACTGGAGCACAGGCTGCAAATTTTGTGCTTTCAGCATTGAGCATATGGAGCTTTTCTGGTCCACACTATGCTCTTAGGGGTGTGAGGTTTGCACTACTGCACACTATGGTGTGTGGCACTCATGCTTGAGCAGTTAACCCTGGTGCTGCGTTTCTTTTTTTTTTTTTTGGCATCTTCTTAGAGACAGAAGGATCATGATTGCAGATTGAGGAAGACATCTCCTTTTGGAAATAAAAAAAATTGCAGCACTTTTTAGTGTAGCTGGTAAATATGTTTCAACTTGGAAAACTTGGCTCCCATGCATGGCTCTGTTGCTCTTGGCTAGCATCCATTCTTTCTAACTGAAAGAATAAAAATGCTGGGGTCAGGTTATCTCTGAGGGAGGAAAGCAGGGGAGGCTGAGTTTGCAAGAGGACACTTAAGTTGAACCCAACTGATAAGCAGCAGTATGAGTTATAAAATGAACACTCCTAGTCCATAAACACCTGCTAGGCAAACAGACCATTATTCTGTCTTGTGAGGACTTCACAAGTGCTGAGAAGATGTTGACAGAAGAATACTCCTTAAAGTTTAAGAGCTTCAAACCTGAGCCTTCTGTATCAGTGGGTGTAGACTAAGGGTTACTGCAGAGGGGAATTTCAGAGAAATGCTCTTGCGTGCATGCCCCTTCTTTTCTCACCATGCCCTGAGCATGTCCCCTGCTCTGATGGTCTCTGAGTGTCTACAGTCTCTGATGATTTCTAAATGTCTCCATTAGTAGGTCAGTGGGAAGAGGGATCTTACTAGGACGATGGTCCCTACTTTTCTATTCAGGTTATGGTGCCTGGGAACCAGAACAATCTCCTTCTGAAGCCTCTCCTTCCAGATACTGAGTACAAAGTCACAGTGACTCCTATCTACACTGATGGCGAAGGTGTCAGCGTCTCTGCCCCTGGAAGAACCTGTAAGTGACGCTTTCTCCTTTTGAATATGAACTGACTCATAAACTGGAAATGTCTTTTTCCCAGTAATGTGTCCTGAAAGATACAGCATAGTGACATGAAAAGAGCAAAAGTGATTTGGAAACAGAAAATCTGTGTTTGAATCTTGTCTTCACACGCAAGCTGTCTGGCATTGGGCAAGTTGCTCAACAGCTCTGGGCTTAAGTTTTCTTTTCTATGAAAACTAAGACTTGAAAAGCAAATAATCTCTGTCCTCCAGCATCTGATTCATCACAGGCCTGTGGATTCATCAAAATATTCTCATTTCCCACTAGACTCAGGATAAATCCACCATCCTTCCAGTGGCTCTGCACAACTGTATGACCTGGACCCTGCTGATCTCTTTGATCTCACCTCCTAACTAGTCCTAGCTCTAGCCTGCTTTCTGCTGGGCATGGGACTCTATGACTGTTCCTCCTTAGGCTATGGCTAGTCAATCCCCTCCTGTGGAACATTTTCCCAGATATTGGCATGTTTGCTTTTTCTTTTCACTGTGGTCTTAGTTCAATATCAAACCTGCCCCAGCATTTTTTGAACATCTCATGCAAACTAGTTTCCACTCTGTAACATTGTCCTGTTTTTTGTTTGCCTTTTGTTTTTGATCATGTGATGGCACGATTTACTGCCTTGTGTTCCCTTTTTTGCTCATGGATTTATTCACTGCCCATCTCCCATCTCTGCAAGGCAGGCGTCACAAGAGCCTTGGAGCGCATCTATGCGCTTCACCTTTGCATGCGAAGCTCCCACAGCAGAGTGTGGCACAGAGGAGACATCGTGAAATGTTTATTTAAGATGACTTGGCCATAAAAATCAAATGAGGAATGGGTGTGAAAACACTTAGTTGAAGTACTCCAAAGTCTCAGGGGTCTTCATCACTGTAATGGATATCTAATTTTGCATAAAGACTAATGTAGGGTATGATGGTTTCAAACAGTTACCATTTTATTATTGTGTGGATTAGGAAATTAGGCAGCTCCACCTGGTATCAATTAACATCACCCAGTGGTATTCACTTGGTGGCTGCTTTGGTCTAGAGGGTCCATGACAATTTACTAATCTAGCATCTTAGTGGAAACAGCTAGACTCAGTTCTCTCTCTCCTCTCTCTACTAGTGTCAGAGCCTCTCCATGTGGTTCTTTCAACAAAGTAGCCATATATCCTCATGGCGACTGGGGTCTATGAAAACAAGATATCCAAGAGGCAGGAAGTGGAGACTGCTGGACTAGTTCAGGGCTCTGAATTAGTGTTACTTGTGCTGCAGTGTATTGGTCAAGGTAGTCACAGATCCCTCCCAGAACTAAACAGAGAGTTGTGGCTTCCACGTCTCAATGGAAAGACGATCAAAAAAAAATCTATGACCATCTTTAGTCCATCATAAATACTAAGTAGTTAAGTGAGATCATGTGCAGAAGAGTGTCAGAGACTGAATTCTATACCCAGGGCAGCTGAATGTGGATTTTTTTTTTCATCTGAGTCTCTGCAAGTCATTAAAACTCTTCTGCCCAGAGTCCTCTGCTGAGCAAATAGCTATTAGCTCCTCCTCCAATGGCATTGACATCTGTCATCCCTGTGTCTGAGCTATTGTGCCTCCACCCAGACTCCATCCAAGCTGGCATATTTTTGTAAAGATCGCCTAGAGTATTGTGATCTTCCTTCCATATTTATTTCCCCTGTGGGGTCATGCGGAAGGAGAGATGGCCATGGGAAGAGCAGAGCAGTAATGGAGTTTCCAGCTTGGCCCTCCATTTTTGCCAGTGCCAGTATCTGGTTTCGGTCTCCTCCACTGGATGATTGACTGCGTTGTCTGCACTGGATACAGTGTCCCCACTCTGTGGATAGTGGATATCCATCCTCTACACAGGATATATTGTATGTGTCAAGAGGCTCGACAGTGGCATCTGGATTTGACCTATACAATGGGATTTTTACTATTTTTTTTATTTTGCTGCTAAGTAAATGTTTGGAACCCACATACTTAAACAACAATGAAGAAAAATCAATCAATATTTACCCCACACAAGTAAAAGACTAAAATAGACAATTACTGTAGAAAACATGACTTGAATCTCATTACAAAAGTGCCATTCTATGCAGCAATCTCTTGATAGTAAAATTATTTCAAAGTGTGAGTAAATGGTCCACATATTTGAAGAGTAATTAGTATAACAACTATGTTCTATCAACAATGAAATAGTGATACTGTCAAGATGCATCACAGTTAGCAGAGCTCCTCCATGTGACTTTAATGTTTTTATAAAAATTGATAAAACAATAATACAGAATTTTAAAAATATATAGACAATATGAAGCTGAAAATAAAGAAATCCTTAGACTCTTGCCTCCAAGAATAATCATTATTCGTTTTGTGTGAGCAGCATCCTCAGTATCACTTTGATCACATGGAGCAGAGGGTGGTGTAGGTAGTAAATTTTAATAACACTATCCAACTTGATGTTACTTCACATTAACTGAGGAAAAGGGAACCAGCATGATATTGAATGGATTTCTGAATTCCAGACAGAACCCTTTCTTCACAAGAGGAATTTTCCATATATTTAATATTTAAAGCAACCACAGATTCGAAGGCTTCCCACTGTGTGTTTTGGTGCACTTCACCCTATGTCTTTAACCCTGTGGGACATTATCTTAGCTTTTGTTGACAACGGTGTAGGTCCTCAAGAAGGGAACTACACTGAATCTCTGTTTCTCCCTTTCTTCCCTGTTCAGTGCCCTCTTCTGGTCCCCAGAACTTAAGGGTCTCAGAGGAATGGTATAACCGGTTGCGCATCACGTGGGATCCTCCATCTGCCCCTGTAAAAGGCTATAGGATCCTCTACAAACCTGTCAGTGGTAAGTAATGCTCTGTCCCATGAGCAGGGATCTAAAATATATTTTAAGACAATTTTTTTTTTGTTCTGTTTCGGTAACTGTTTGATTTCTATTTTAAAGAAATAGGAAGAGCCTCTTATTTTTCAGAAAAAAAAGGTGTTTTTAGCATGGGCAGTGTTCAGACTGATATCATCAGAAGGGCGGAGCATGACCTGTGCTGCTGGCACAGCAATGACGTACACCTGACCTACTCATGCCCTAGATAAGGAACCAGCCTAGGAAACCTTCATTTTCTAGGAATAGGAAACGTTATGGCTTTATGGATATGGAAGTTCTAAATATTTGAAATCTCTAATTTTGATTTTTTTTATTCTGTCTCTTTGATTAGTTGAAAAAAAATATCATTGATCAACTTCTCATTCTGGAAACTTGGGAGATAAAACTCACCAAAGCAGAAAGATGCTTTTACAGCAGCCCCTTAGTTCAATGCCCAAGGAGACCCTGCTCCTCTGCCTTCTGCATCATTATATCTTAAAGGCAGGAGAAAGATGTAAATAGGGGGTGACTGTGCCCTTGGCCCGTATGCCTGTGAAGAGGAGACCATGTGGACTGCACCTCAGAGTATCATCTCCCTACGTTTAGCATGCTCATGGATGTTTAAGCTGGAAACTGAAAGCCTATTATAAACGTTTTTGCAATTTTCTAGACCTGGCTTTCAGAACTCTGGTTGGTCAACAGAGTTTCTACAATTATTCTTAATTTGGCAGGAAAATTTTAAAAACATTTTTTTGAGCCATTACAAAATGCTTTCTGCCTTTGAAAACTCCATTAGTCTAGATCTAATAATGAGATGAACCTGAGATGTTGCTCTTGTCCCCGTATCAATTTTTGCTTCTTCTGTTATGTCCAATTAATTATCCAGGAGCGGTTGTCATGGTGCCCATACAAATAAAATGGTCTCACCTCCAGTTTCCCCAGACAAGCACCTTTGTGAACCATGACAAATAAAATAGAAAGGATAGAGCACGGATGCACTGGCCTGCTGCATATTGAGTCTTTGGAACCCATTATCTATATATTTGTCTGCTTTTTGTTTTGTCTCTTTGCTTTAGGACTGAAGGTTATGTTAATTTGCAAGATATCTTTGCCCAAGTTCTTTTGATCATTTTACAAATATTTATCAATTTTTCTGAGTACCAATAGCTTTGGTTTTGAGTGGTGGTTCCCAAAATTGATGCAATATGCCCCCAATGGGGACATTTTGAATCATCACAACTTGGGGGCATGGGGATTTGCTACTGGCATGTAGAAAGTACTGCTAAACACTCTACCACTCACAGTGGTAATAAAGAAGCATCCAGTCCAAGTGTCAATAGTGCTGAGGTTGAGAAATCCTGTCCAGGCCCAGTGGGAGAATTGTATGTGGCCATTTACCCTGCACATACGGAGCAAGGGAAAATAGCTACTGATTGAACACATACAAACAAATACATGAATATATTGTTGGAAAGGGGCTTCTGGAGGAACATGATGAATATTTCAGGAACTTTCTCTAACTCAAAGCTCTTAAAGAATGGGCACATATGGAAAGATGCTGCACACAATAAATTTGTGTAAAACTTAGCAAAGAATGCTTTTAATGTGAAATCAAAGACACCAGCCAGAAACTGAGTTGAGACAGAGTTGAAGTTATAAAGGCCTGCAGCCAGCTGATCAAGGGCCTTGGGATAAAAGCTTCATCTGTCCAATATTAAAAATCCTACAAGGGGTTGATAAAACTGTAGCATCTACTTTCACAGCTAGTCTCCCACGTGGCAAGGTCTGGTCTGGTGTGCAGGACAAAATCTTCTGTTCCTTCCACTTGGGTGCTTGCTGAGGATGGAGCTAGGAAAATTGATAATGTTTTCTTCAATTGAGCAAGTACCTCAAATGTCTGTTCCAACAGAGTGGCTCCTAATAGGGTGGAAGATGGATTGTGAGGTGGGATAACTTGTTTGAGTAAGCACAAAGGGAAAAACCGTAATGGGAAAGGGACAGGTGCCTAAAAATAATCTCCAGGCTGGTAGTCAGATACGGGTGTTAGAGCTGGATGTTCTAGGTTCAGAATCTCAGCCCTGCTCTCTGCTTGCTGGACAATCCTGGGCAACTGAAAAGCAGCTGACTGAGTCCAATTTGCTCTAAGAATTCTTGCATTTTTGCACATTCTGTCATAGCTGAAAGATATACTCCTTCTCCTTCAGTTCCTGGCCCAACCCTGGAGACTTTTGTGGGTGCTGACATTAACACCATTCTTATCACCAACCTCCTCAGTGGAATGGACTACAACGTGAAGATATTCGCCTCCCAGGCCGCAGGCTTCAGCGACGCGCTGACAGGCCTGGTGAAAACACGTAAGACTGATGTCCGTTCCCTTGCCCCAGCTCCATGTGGGGCTCTGCTGCTGGTAACCCAAGCCCTGCTTCAGCTGGCAGTTGCTTTCTCTTTTCCCTGGGTGTCGTCCTTTCTGGATGGTGTTTCCTGGAAAGAGAGGTGTGCTCTTTCCTCAGGGGAGTTCCCAGGCCTGCTTGGCAGGCGGGATGTCAGCACCTGGCTTTCAAACTGGCTCCACCATGGCGGATAGGATTTCCTTCTGGAAAGTCTTCGCTGGCGTTTCTCAAAATAAGTGAAATTTTCCAAACAGCAAGTAACCAGGCATGGCCAATGCCAGTCAGAGTTGGGCCAGGGGAAATTTGTCTTTTTTTCAAAACCATTCTCCTTCCAGCCTCTGCCCCCCACCCATACACCATCTATTAAAAGTATATGACACTCCACTCTAAGAACTTCTTTCTCTTTCATGGGGTTTTATGCTGTCTGCGCACTGTCTGGGACTTCTCGTTGGCACACAGCACAACAGACACCCATGGAATATGCAGTATTTTCCAAATTCCAGCATGTACATTCCATATTCCTCAAGTGTGTTATACCTCCACACCATCTGTGGAATAGATTTCTTTACATCAACTTACAGTTTTTGACCTAAATAGTTTTCAAAATCCATATATTTACTCTAAACAGATTATCACTCTAAACAGATATTATTTTAAATAGCACATTAAAAGTAATACAGAAATGATCATCATAAAAACGGTTGAACTGTGATAATATAACCCTGAGTTCTATTAAACAGTACATGCGTATTCTTGAGAATGGGTGGTCATGGTAGCATCAAAAGAATAACCCTTCGGTGTGCTGCTTGTTAGCTATGGCCTTGGGCAATTACCTACCTTCTCTGAGTCTAAGCTCTCTTAACTCTACAAGGAAGATAGACAATATCAGACAACAAAGAGCCTCTACTGAACTAGACCCCAGCCATCCTGGATTTCATAGAGGATTTTCTTTCATTAAGGGGGGCTTCCTTAATTCTCCTTTGTGGAATATCTTGAGGTCTTAAAGGCTAGATGCTGAACAAGTTCAATCTCAGTCAGTCTCTGTATTAGACCAAGCTTTGGTCTGTGGTTCTGACCTTGAACTTGGCTGCTGAAGTGACACTATTCCGGACCCTGACATAAACCTCGATGTATTTCTTTGTTGCTCTATGCCAGCACCCACTATCCCTCCTTCAGCTCATGTCAGATCTGCTGTGCATCTTCCCATTTCTCTCTCCTCTCTCCTTCTCTTGTTTGACTTTCCTCTTTGGATTACACTTCTTCAGTCTCTGATATTTTTCTTCCTGGCCTCTCTCCCTATCCTTTCTTCTCTCATTCTGTCCTCCTTTCTCTGCCTCTGTCTCTTTTCTTTTCTTTCCCCACTCTCTCAATAAACACTGAACATTCCAAACAATTTGTAAAAAACTGAGAATGTTAAAGTTTCATATATTCTTATCATTAATGTAAAAAAATAGGCTTATTATTTATTATCTTTCTCCTTAACAACAGCAACAACAAACCTCACATAATGGCACATAAGTAAATTTAATGTTTTTTTTTAATTTAGTATAGAAACCATTATTAATTTCCTTTTGTTGTACATGAGAGAAGTAGTTTAATTTGGTTTAGAAAAAACTTCCCTCTCTGCTGTAAGAGTAAGAAACAATCTACAGATAGAAATTATGTTTTATTTTATGAGTTACCTAAAAGATGGAGAAGTCAGAGAAAATTATATGGAAGGAAACAGTCTAAGACCATTAGGAAAGTAGATAGTATTAAAATTTTCTGGTTTTTTTTTGCTTGTTTTTCTGTTTGAATCTGAATGATAAACCCCAGATGCTTACTCTTATCCTAGAGAAAAGTATATTTATATTGCTTGTCAAAATAATCACTTTTGCATATTAGTGTTCTAAGATTAATACAGATCTATGTGTTTTTAAGCTATTTGCACTATAAATTCTTTCATTTTAAAAATTTCAAAAATGTGTTCTTTCTCCTTCATTCACATTTTGTTTTGCTTTTATTTTTGATTGGCAAATAATCACTACCCATGTTTATGGGGTGCAATGCAATGTTTCAATACTAGCATGCATGGTAAAGATCAAATCAGGGTAATTAGCATATCCATAACTTTAAATTTCATTTTTTTGTGGTGATAACGTTCAAAATCCTCTCATAACTATTTTGAAATATGCAATGCATTTTTATTAACTCTGGCCACCCTTCCTACTGTGCACATACTAGATTTATTCCTCCAATCTAACTGTAACTTAGTCCCTGTGGACCAAGCTCTGTCCATTGCTCTTCATCTCTCCAGTCTCTGCTACCCATCCTTCTCCTCTCTGCTTCTATAAGATCAACTTTGTCAGATTCCACATATGAGTGAGATCACAATGAAATACTATTCAGCTTTTAACAATGATAAAATCCTGGGACTGGATTTCCCACCTCAGTGTGGAGCTTGGCATAAGAATTTTACTACAAATATCTTCAGACTTGGGGACATTTGTGGCAACATCTTCAGTATGACGCATTTATCTTTCTATTTCATCATAGTGTTCTTGGGTGTGACCAATCTCCAAGTCAGCCAGATTGAAATGACCAGCTTGTGTGCTCGATGGGAGGTGCATCGTCACGCCACGGCCTACAGGATAGTTCTAGAACCCCTCCAGGGTGAGTACAGCCCATCACACATGCTGTCCTTGAGTCCTTGTGAACTTGGTTCCATGCAGATCACTGTGAGCAGCACACAAGTTACATGAGACAATAGCCCTCTTGAAGAACAATTGTGTGATGGTTAGCCATGCAGTATGTTGAGCCAGACTGACCAGCACATTGTCATGTGTCCTCCCCCAACCTCCATTTTTCTCAGCTCTCCGTAGGTGCAAGGCCAGTGCCGATCTGTGTCAATCGGTGTCAAATACACACATTTGATCAACACACTCTCTCTCTGAAGGTGCAGTGTGTCCATGTTGCCACAAACAAGTTCTTCAGCACCGCAGTTCTGAAGGATAACAGTGATATGGAACTTAACCCAAAAGTTGAAACACTAGAAACCTTTCTTCCCCATCCTTAGAAATACTGACAAGAGCCAAGTGCAGTGGTGCATGCCTGTAATCCCAGCTGCGCAGGAGGGTCTTGAGTTAAAAGCCAGCCCCGGCAATGGTGAGGCACGAAGCAATTCAGTGAGACCCTGTCTCTAAATAAAATACAAAATAGGGCTGGGGATGTGGCTCAGTGGTTAAATGCTAACCATCCGTGGTTAGCCCCTGCCAAAAATATAAATACTGACAAGAGCAACAAAAGTCTGATTCCCCAAAACTGAATGGCAAGGGCTGTTAATCCTCTTTTCGTGGTATTAGCATGGATGGCATTCAAAAATGAAATAAAATGATAACAATTACTTTAATTTGATTTGTAAAAACATTAGAAATGTCTTGTTATTTTGTGGGGGATTATAGGAGACATTAGAGAATCCCAAAGGAAAAAAAAATATGTTCCACACTTGATAGCAAAGTTGTTAAAAAGCTAGCCTGTTCTTTCTAGACAAATGACATTGGTTTCCCCCTTGTAGAAAAACAGAAGGAGTCAATTTGTTCAGGTCCAGATAAGACTGGGTTTACTAGCCCATATCTCTCACTATAATGACATTCAAAAATCCACAATTCGCACTTTTGAGCCAGTCCATAAAGGGAAAAACAGTTTAGGAGAGCCCTGAGACCATTTCAAAATATAAAATACAAGCTGAAGCAGGAAGAACATTCTAGAAGAATTTCCTGCCAGTCTCAGCCCAGATATTGTCTCAATAGCTTTGTTGTGCCACCACTTCCTTGATTCCATGTGTCTAAGCCTGACTCTGGCTCCACATATGGGAGTGGTTTAATATGGAATAAACAGTGAGGAAAGAAAGGAGAAGACAAGAATTTTGTGATGTGTTAAGTCTGATTTATGGGATGCTTAGCCAAAAGTAGATGAAAGATATAAAACTATTTGAGTAACAACTACAAAAATCATGAATCATATTTTATTTATCTTTATATGTCACTTTCAATATGGAAGGGTAGTGTTTATTAGGCTTTTAAAAAATACTAAGCAGGGCTGGGGATGTGGCTCAAGTGGTAGTGCGCTCGCCTGGCATGCGTGCGGCCCAGGTTCTGTCCTCAACACCACATACAAACAAAGATGTTGTGTCCGCCGAAAAAATAAATATTAAAATTCTCTCTCTCTCTCTTTAAAAAAATACTAAGCATAATAATCACAGTCCCAAACTATCCTTTAATAATTTTCTTATTTTACATAATTTAAGAAGTTGGAATGGAGGAAACATAACGCCTATAGATATTCATTGTCTTTCATCAAAATTTTAACTGTATAGATTGATTGAGAAATATACGTATTGAAACTAGCTCTGTAAATGGAATTGGTAAGATCTGTACATATTTTTTATTCAGTGATTTTAATGTGGCTTATTTGCAAGCAGCATTGTGATTCTTTATCAGAGCACATGATTAATGTGTGTGATACTGTTGATCGGGTAATCCAAGACCGCAATAATTTATTTCTAGAGCCAAGATCTTTGCTAGCCAAAAGCTAAGTTTGTATATGTACTGTTTTAATCTCCCATTTAAGTCAGCTTCTGCACCCTCAATATCATGTTCAGGCTGCCAGAGAACTTTCAGCTGAGCCTCTATAGTCTCAATTAAACAAGAGTGTGCAAAAGTCCTGTTCAGTTTACTTCTCTGCAACATTTATAGCTGAGAGATTTATGAGCAAAATTAGCCTGTGCCTCATTCTCCCAGTTGTCTAACTAAATATTATTTATCAGCAACAGATTCTAATCGACAGCTTCAAAGAGGAACGTTGGTGGGGGTGTGAACACGGGGGTGGCAGTAGGAAACATGTAAATATGTTAATGTATATGATTTAGATCAAGGAATAGTCTTTCTGCTTGGGAGTGGGGCAGAATTAGGCTGAGCTTCTTTACATGACAGAGAAATGTGATGACCATTCTGATTCACTATCTCTGGAGGACTTGTGGCGAGATGTCCCTTCTTCTAAGGGCATGAGAGTCCCACGGCCCAGGAGTTAATAGCTCTGGGATGCCTTGCATTGACTCCATGTGCTGCCTCTGTAGAGATCTCTACTCTTCTACCCCAGCCAAAGGAGATACCAGGGGTAAATGGGACCCGATTCCTTCACGTGTTGAAGAAAAGCTTTTGCCCCAGGTTGACCTATTTCTGAATGTCTCAGACAGCTTTCTTCAACTTAATGGATAAATTTTTCCCATGGCCCGATCATGTGCAATTTTTTTCTGACATGAAGTCAGTATAGACAGGTCTCTGCTATGACCACAACTGCTGCTCAGCTCTTTTCTCTGGGCTTCCATTTGTCTAAAAGTGACTTGATTTGAAGTCATTAACTGAGGCAATTACCTGTACGTTGCTTTTGTGAATAAAGTTTCCAGGCTGTATCATTCACATTTGTTAATTTTATTTATGGAAACCTAGATAAAAGGAACTTAAACCAAAAGTTCAAATTATTGGTTTCTATGTTGAGAGAACTGGAAGTATCCAACGCATGTCTATATCTAGGCATTCAGAGTCACCAAGAAGAAGTCTTTCTTAAATTTTTTAATTTGTTCTTTTTAGATATACATGAGAGTAGAGTGTATTTTGACATATTATACATGGAGTATAACTTATTTGAATTAGGATCCCATTCTTGTGGTTGAACATGAGGTAAAGTCTTGCTCCATCCTCTGCTCTGTTCTGCTCTCCTCTGCCTTCGTTCTCAGCCAGGCTTTGTGTGGGCCCCAGTAAGATCCAGAATGGCATCTTCTCAAATTCTCTTTCTCAATATTTCCAACAGAAGTCCAGGAACTGAGTCATATTGGCCTGGTATGGGTCACATGCCCCAAATCTGTCATTGAGTTCACAGGCATGAAATAAACTGACTTGGTTGGTCCTGGTTGCTTTCCACCCTGAATCTGGTGGTGGTAGCAAAGAGGGGTGGAGTGGAATTTAGTCCTCTCCAACTCATACAGACCAAGAGTGGGCAGGAATAGATCCAAAGAAAGGAAGATTAAATGCAAGACAGGCAGAAACCATAGATGTCCTCTACTTATGTAAATACTAAAGCTTTTATAGGGCCAAGAGGAAAAAGAAAAGATTACCAGAAAGACTAGGTCCTCCTAGGAGGGACTGGAATACAAGCTGCCAATCATCTACTTGCCAAATTCAATTTTAGACTTTTGGGCAATTCTAGGACAGAACAAAGTGAAAGGCCTTTAATTGGATTTGTTAACTCAGAACCCCATGAGAAACCCTATTAATTTGGTGGGTGCTCTGGGGCTCTGTCCCTCTCTCCATCTGTTTTTGAGTTGACTTGGCACCTAGGGTTGGATATAGCATTTCCCTTTAAGTTTAGGTATTATATGCCACAAAGGCTCAAATATTGTGTTCCCTACCTAATCTCCACAACTTGGTGAACTTCTTTGTAGTTTGTTCCGAAAAGAGTTCAGAAGATATTCTACTGGTATTCTTTTTTTTTGTGGTGCTGGGGGTTAAACCCAGGGCTTTGTGCATGCTAGGCAAGCACTCTATCAAATGAGCTATGTCCCCTACCCTATGTATTTCCTTTTAAAGTATTGAAATGTCAATTTTGTAATAGCATCCACTAACAAGGATAGAGAGTTCATAAATGGAGAACCTGTCTTTCCAAGACCAGATCCCCCACCCCCACCAAAAAAAAATCATGTGGAACAAAACCATTCTCAATACTTTTTTGAAACAGTGACATTATGATTTGGGAACTTTTAAAGTTTTTGAAATTGTTGAAATGGTGACATTATGATTTGGGAACTTCTGAAAGTTTTTGAAATGGTGACATTATGATTCGGAAACTGTATTTGAGGGACTTGGGGAATGGCAGTATACATATCATCAAGTTCCAACGTACATTCTGAATATCCTTCATGGTTCTCAGAAACTATTCTTGTTACATTTTGGGGAGTCGAGTTGGTGGCATCAGTACCAAAAGGATGATCATTCAGAGAAAGTATTTATCCCTGCTTCCTAGAAATGAATAGACAAATATAGACAGATTTTTCAATGTTCAAAAAAATTGACTTAATGTTTTTGGCATAAGGGGTTGAAGAAATTAGTCATCATTTGATCAGTTTAGGTTTTATTTTCCTTTAAAGAAAAGCCACTGGACTTGAATTGCACATGCCAAAAGCAACATGGATACAGCTCTGTTCACGGAACCCCTCTTTGTTAGTATTGGGAATCAAACTGATATTATTTGCCATTGATTTTATAATGTCTGTTCCAGTTTTCCAGTGGCTTATGGGTTTATTATTTTTAGCAGTAAAGCCCGTTAATGTTCTATTTTCAAAGGTCTTTCAAGTATCTATAAGAAATAGGAAATGGCAGAAAAGCACATTTCTAGAATTGATTCCCTGGAGAATTCTTAGAAAACGTTTGTGGACATAGATTAATATAATCCAGTGTATGCAATGTTTGTATCATGAGTGGCTCACAGAGGCCTCCAGAAAGCTCCAAAAGGTGCTTAAGGATAAGAAAGAAAGAGTTATTGTGGGTTTCCAAGCCTGGGAACCACAGGCTGAACTTGGACTTCAGCAAAGCAGAGCACTGGATTTTCTAAATTTTACTTACTATCAAATTTCCTTCACAGTAATAATATAATCTCATAAACGCCTTAACAGTTTTTATTTAATCATTTATGTAATATTCAAAAAATGATCAGGGCAGACAATGTTTCATTATAAACAAATTAATAAAGGTTGCATTATAAAATTTTCTGAAAATCTTTAATATTCATAACATATAAGAATACATTTTGAATTTCTTTTATGAAATGGATTTAATGTAATCAGATTTTTAAAGGTCAGGATTTTTCCATAGACAAAATTTAAAATGACATATATCATGTTTATTCTGATATATACATATTGAAGTACACGTGTTTTGTTCCAATATCTGTACATTAAAATATAGGTGGAAGTTTATCTACTATTATACTTTCTGAACAAAAATTATTTGACATTTTCACATTTTGCACTTAAAGCAGCTAGTCTGTGTTTAGATTTTCTATTTTTTTAAATAAATTCTTTTGTAAATAACATTTTTGAGGAGTGGATGTTTCTTTTTAACCATTAAATATGTGTAATGTGTTTAGTCAATGTGGTTTTGACAGTATTTTTAAATTCTTGGAAATAAAGCTTTATAAGGCATCAATTAAACACTATGTATCAAAAGAGCATTCTAGAATTGGGTGTGGTGGCACACACCTATAATCCCAGGGATTTAGGAGGTGTGAGGCAGGAGGATCCCAAGTTTGAGGGCAGCTTGAGCAATTTAGTGAGGCCCCAAGCAACTTAGTAAAAACCTGTCTCAACATAAAAAAAAATTTAAAAATCTTGGGATATTATTCATTAGTAAAGCACTTCTGGGTTAAATCCCCAGTTTAAAAAAAATTGTTTTTGAGGGAAACTTGAGTAATTGCTCTTTCATGGTAGCAGTGATTCTTCTTGTCAGCTAGTTATCTATTATGGTCAAATATAAACACTCTATGCCTAGAAGAAACTGTATGTGAAACTTTACAGTAATTGGAACCACCAGAGTAAACCATGTCCAAATGAGTGATAAAACACTGAGTCATGAGGCCTCACCACCTGATCTCCAGCTGTTGTATTTGCACATTTAACATGCACTCAGAGGCTCTCACAAGGGTTTCACTGTGAAAAAATGATCCATTTAATTTACATTATTTTATGATACTTTAGTGGAAATGAAAACAACACCCTCTGACACTGGATTTTAGAGTACTGAATACAGATCTCATTTCTACTGAGTTATAGACTGGACAAATGACTAACTTTTCTGGCCTCCAATTTCTTGTCTTTGGATTGGGGATAATTATAAATATTGTAAGGATCAAATGAGCTAATACAAATAAAATTCTTAGAATATTGCTTAGCACATGATAAGCACTCATTAAATGTTGCCTATGTTTATCTTTGTGGTCGCTCTTATCATTAATACCAATACCTGGCTTGATGGGCCCTCAAGGAATGAACGTAACAATCCTACTTCCTTGGGCTCAGGACTTGGGCCAACACTAATTCTTCCAGGACAGGCATAGCAATTTTACTGTAGGTGTGGGAAAGAAGAAAGGTGCTAATGGTTAATTGGGCCTCAGAGTTCTTTGTGCCTCATGGTGGAGAAGGCAGTAGAAGGTGCCATGAGGTGAAGTTGGCTGTAGCTGGACTCCTTGGTAGAATCAAAAGGACCTGGTAACCAGCAGGTGGGAGGCAGCTCTACAGTATGTTTGGCCTTAAGCCACTTAAGTAACATGTCCTGTTTCCTCAACTATAATTTTAAAAGAATAGAAAAGATTTTCAGAGTGCATACAAGGAGTTTGGAGAGGCCCCCTCAGAGTTCTACTTTGTGATGGAAAGAAATCATGGATGTTCATTAAAAATTAAGACTAAGAGAAAGGAAACTGGCACTCTAGGGACTCCTTGGTTTTCCACTTTCTGCTTCCACATCTTGCTAATATTTTAGGCAGCTTTGGATAAGGCTTTTGAGAGCCTGGAAGCCCACCATCCTAGAACTTTATATTTCTAACTCCATTTCCCACATCTTGGCTAAATTTATTATTGCCTAGAAGGACATCCTATTAAATGATAATAAGTTATAAGGAGTTAAAAGTATGTGTCCTTTGATGTCATTTTATGATCAATTACTGTTCTGAAGAATCATGTTGAAAAAAAGGGGGTTCAGATTTTAAACAAATGAATATACTCATATCTACCCCCCCGCAGCAGATCAATTAAATCATATGCAATGTATTCATATAATTATGTATATTAACAGTTCTTCATTCACCAGAGGGCTGACCTCAGGGATCTTTTAAGTTTTATATTTGTACATATAAAATGTGATTTTTTATGGAAAAAAATAATGTATATATAAAATATTTAGAAAAATATTTAATACTTCACACAAGGTAATTCATGCTGCATATATTTGATATCGTGCATATTAAGCATTATAGAAGCAAATCATCTACTCATGGCTTTCTAAAAAAATTTCTATGTGTATATTTTGCTTTGTTTTTATTATAGATACACAAAAGCAAGAATCTACCGTAGGAGGGGGCACAAACAGGCATTGCTTCTATGGACTCCAGCCTGATTCAGAATATAAAATCAGTGTTTACACCAAGCTCCAGGAGATGGAGGGACCAAGTGTGAGCATAGTGGAAAAAACACGTAAGTCTGGTGGCCTCTTTTCTGATTCCCCTCACTATGAACCAACATTATTCTAGCATTCTGTTTGGATCTAAAACTTTGCTCCATTTAGAAAAATATAAGCTGTCGCTGCCCAGGAATATATGTAGTCCAAGTTTTGCTCCTCTTTTCTAACTCCAGAATTCTTTGCCTATGGACCACTGATGTCATCAGTATTTTTTTTCTTCCATTCTCCATATATGTGTCCACAAGGGACGGTAAAGCCACTTGATGGCAAAGGCCTTGAAACAATGACTTACATTGTGATCCTGACCCATTTGTGGTGTGTCGAGTGGGAAATGAAGTTTCAAGGACTGGGTCCTGACATTAAAACAATGCCATGTTACCCTGCCATGAGGGTGGGAATAGAGCCAAGATGTTCCAACTGGTTGACCCTAGAGTTATTGCTTGCTTAAGAGGATATTGTGCTTTTTTTCAAGTTGGCAGTAGATCTGATGCACTGAAGGGAAAGGAAATGTATAAAATTAAACAAAGCACTTTTTACATGTTCCAAAGGAGGGTGTCAACCTCTTGGAATGACTTTTAATAAAAGATTCCTGACCTGGAGGCCACAAACATTAAAATGGTTTCAATTTTAATGAATTCTAGGGGACACCTGTGTGTTTAACTCAGTATCTTAACTTGGTGGGAAATAGGCTTTTGTGGTATCCCACCCATGTTTAGATTTTTCAGCCTCTCTGACCTGCAGAAAGAAATCATTATGAGTGTATAATGTTAACAAAACAGAGGTGAAAATATAATTAATTGAATCTTCTAATTTTCTTTGTATATAGACTTTATTTCATAACATGGATATAATAACATTATCTATTGCATGTTCATTTTTGAGGAGTAATTTATATATCATAAAATATAAGGGACATTTTAAGTGTACAATTCAGTGATTTTTTAAAAATACATTCAAAGAGTTGTGTAACCATTATTACAATCCAATTTTAGAAGGATTCTATCAACCCAATAAATCTACTTTATTTTATTATATGTTTGTCTTTTGTGGGAATTTCACATAAAGGAAAATATATAATAGGTAATCTTTTACATCTGACATCTTTCACTTAGCATATATCTTTGAGACTTATTCATGTCATAGAATTTATCAACAGTTTATTTTTGTTGCTGATTAGAATCTCATTTTACAGACAAAGATAACTTAATTTTTAAATTAATAAGGCTTTGATATTGCACAAGACTTAAAGTCAAACAGGTTTGATTGGGTCTCTTCTTCTGCCCTTTAATAAGACTGAGACCTTGGCAATTCAATACCTCTAAGTTGATTTGGCTGGTCAGTAAAGTTAAATATCTATTCTCTTAACTCCAGTGTCGGCAGGAAAGATCCAATAAAAGAGTACCTATTAAAGAGCTTTTCAACCTGTATCTCAGTGTACAAGAACTTTTGATCATTACCATACTTATCTGTTTGGAAGTCACAAACTGACTGCCATTGTGATAGATCTCACTATCAGATAGGTTTTCTTTTTTGAAAACCAGAACATCTTATAGCAGAGGACCCATGTATCCTTATGGTGCTAATCTGCTGGAACCAATTAACTCCTGTCTCTAATGCAGGTTTGTAGGCTAAGTTCTTTATTCATTTTCATTGCTCTCTTGACTTCTAAAAACATTTCAGTTTGGGATCCCTGATCTATGTCAACATCCCCTAACCTTAATCCCATGACTGTTAACTATCAACCTAGGGTTAATGCCAATTTGGATAGCTCGTTTGATATAAATGTTTTCCTGATGTTGGAGACATCTGTCTCCTTGTAGTTTCTACCCATTGGCTTTAGTCCAGCCTTCTGAAGCAATGGAGACTGTGACTGTTCCTTCTACTATGTGACAGCCCTCACACACTTGAAGACAGCAGCCATATGTATGCCACATATGGATTAAAGACGTGTCACCAGTGCACTGTGATTCTTCTTATCCAAGAGGTTATTTGGCTGGATGTTCTGCCCAAATATATATTGATCTGGCTACCATAACCTCTCATTGATTAGATTCTTGATTTGTTGACTAAATTTGGGATATGTCTCAAATTTTGACATTAAAAAGGGGAACATTTTAAAGATGATTTTCTATTTCCATAGATTTTAATGTGCATAATTTTGGCTTTGGAAACATTTTTTTACAATCCTGTTTTTAATGATAAATTTTTTTAATTTTTTGTTATACTTGAAACTTTTTAGCTTAAAAAAACCAACTTGAAAAATAAGTGATGCATATATCCATAATTGCATAATAGATGAGTATAAAATATATTGTCAATTTCTCTTTTACCAGTCTTCCTTTCTAGAAACACACATTTCTACAACTCTCATTTCCTACTGATATTCTTAAATTCTGTTATTTTTTCACAAATGAGATCATTCCATGTTATTCTATGACTTGCATTTTTTCATATAATAATTAATCTTGGACATTTTTCCATATCAGTAATATATGGTTGTTGCATTCCTTTAATGGCACATCATTTCATTGAAATAATTTTTATTTTACTGGATGTTAGAATTGGAAGACATCTTAAAATTCATATCTTCCAAGCTTCCTGCCAATGAAGTAAATCCCTTTACAACATTTCAGGCAAATAGTCATTCTGCCCGAGCTTGAATCCTTCCAGTTATTTGTTACTTACTGTCTCTTGAGACAAGATACCCACTTTGTGAATGGCTATGATTTTTAGAAGGTTCTCCCAAATATAAATTGGGATAATAAAAAGAATTACTCAGTTTTTCTTAAGTCTTTATGTCAGAAATAGAAATGAAGACATTATAAAATAATATTTTATGTTTACCTAAATGGCACCATGACTTTCAGGTACTTTGCCATATGAACTGTCATGAGTTGCTCCTCAAATCTTAAATTTGTCCCTAGTACCTTAGCCAAACTGTACCCTCTGCATAGTATATAGACTTCTCATCCCACATCACCAGGTTGAAAAGATCTGAGCACATTCTAGCTTCTTGGTGTTTACATATGGTCCTCAAAACTGAAGGACATTTTCCAGATTCAGACTGAGCAGAGTCCAGTGTGAATCAGATTCCACTAGACACAAACTCATGAGGGAAACAGGGTGGGGATGGGGGAAAGTGCCATGGAATAAGAATTGATGGTCAGTCCTTAGACAGAATAGAAATGAAGTTAATTATATGTGTGAAAGCAGTCAAAGGCTAACTCTGAAACAGGTTGGCAGGATTCCTGCCTTAAATCAACACGCGGACCACTTTGTAGTTGACAGTTTGATTGCATTGACTCCTGCTGGGTAAGCTGAATTGTGACAAAAATGGCCTTTTAAGCCTTTGGTCTGAGGTTGAGAGGATGGTTGGAGTCTGTTCACAGGCTGTGGCTGATTTATAGGAGACATTAAATTCTCAAAGACAATTGTCAAAATCATTGATACACCTGAAGAATGATTACTCTGCCACTCCCCATCTTCCATGCAGATGGGTTGACTGACTGACTGATATCCTTTCTTTCTCACAGTGTCACTTCCCACTCCACCACCAACCTTTCCTCCAACCATTCCACCTGCAAAAGAAGGTAAGAGAATAATACAAGGGCAGTGTACTCCTGTTTAGGAGTTCTGCTTGTTTTATTTGTTCATTCACTTAAAAAAAACAAGGTATTAATATGAGCTATTTATTATAGTACCTGACTTTCCCCTTAATATAAATGCTTATCAAACTATGGTGTGACTTTCTTTTAAAATAACTACTTAATAATAAGTCATGTACACAAAACAAAATTGCTTAATATGGATTTCATAAAAAGTAGTGATGATTAATTTGCTTCATTCCACTAATGAACATTTATTACCTATGGTTAATTCTCCAAATAATAAGGCAGAATTGAACTCTGCTTATTTTCAGTATTATAAGAGAAATAGGTGCTCTCATAGGTAATTACCAATCAAGGATATGAGTTATACAATATAGTGTACTATGCTAACCCAGGAATGAGAACAATTAATATTTACGCAGGCTCATAAAGGAGGAAAAATTTGATCTACATTTGAAGAACAAGCTTGAGTGATACATAATGGGATGAATAACACCTATGACCCAAGTGCTTAAAGTATTGGGGGAACTGTCAATTCTTTAGTGTGACACAGACAACAACAGTGGGTTTAGAGTAGGAAGTGGTTTGTGTGCCAGAATAAGGCATTGGGCTTTATCCCATATGAAATAGCATGCCATGAGAAGTTTGCACACAGGAAGGGAGAGCTGATAAAAATCTTTGTTTAAGAAAGAGAACTTTGGTGGAATTGGGAGGATGAGCCAGAGGGAGGAAAGGAGAAAGAACCCGTAATCAGAAGGTTGTATTCACCATTCATTTTAAAGTGCTGTAACCTACCAGGAATATAGTGAAAAATAAGTTGTTCCTGCTGTGCAGGAGCTAAAGTCAGTGGGGTCATATGCTACATAGACTGGAAGAGTCAGGGAATTGAAAAGGAAAAGAGCAACTCTAATAAATCTCAGTACCTGTCCTGGCACAGCAGGCAGAGTCTTCTCTGAGCACCAACTTTGCAGCATCATTTTCCAAATGAGGTTATTTATGTAGGAGCAAAAATGTACAACTCAGGTCTTTCTGTGCACAACTTATGCTGTCCTGCATCATGTGTGTGTGTGTGTGTGTGTGTGTGTGTGTGTACCAGGGATTGAACCCAGGGCACTCAACCAGTGAGCCATATCCCCAGTCTTTTTTTTGTATTTTATTTAGAGACAGGGTCTCACTAAGTTCTTAGAGCCTCACTAAGTTGCTGAGGCTGGCTTTGAATTCGCCATTCTCCTACCTCAGCCTTCCAAGCCACCGAGATTACGGGCATGTGCCACTACGCCCAGCTATCCTGAATCTTTTAATGTTTTCTCTCCTGGAGATGGTCCTTTCTTTTTCCATCTTCACATCTAACTTCTAATTTAAGTATCTATGATTATTCTGACTCTTGGAACTAAAGCTAGAATCCTAATAGATGATTTACTAATTAGGCAATCCTGCTGTAGATACTACAGAATGCTCAGAGGTCAGAAAATCATTTTTACATATAGCTGAGCATGGATATCATTCAATAAATAATCATAAATACTCCTGGAGATAAGTGATTAGGAAAGGTCTGTAGGAGTAAGAATTGACAAAGTGGAAACATTAATCTTGAATTTTCCAACATATGGTTTTAGTGGTAGAACTTTTTGCAACTTGAATGTACTATTCATTTTAAGCTGTATTTGTCCTGAATATATTTAATTTAAAAGCCTATCAATTTTATTACTAAAGTAATACTGAATACTTATTAAACAAACATTGAAAAGTAGAAAAATGTTTTAAAAATTAAAAACACAATTTCCTATCCTTGAGATCATTTCTTCATGAATTTTGATATATTTTCTTTCTTCAAGTAAATGTTTCATTAGCAAATTCTTAAATAGATTTGTTTCCCTTGTACTGGGAATGGAACTTAGGGGCACTCAACCACATCCCCAGCCCTTTTTTGTATTTTATTTGGAGACAGAGTCTCACTGAGTTGCTTAGCACCTTGCTAAGTTGCTGAGGCTGGCTGATTTTGCTCTCATTTTGAAGGTGAAAATTAGCAGATATTGTAATTCTCTCAGCTTTAGATTCAAACTACAAATCTGTGAAATTTTGTAAATCACTGAATTCATGAGAGTGTATTAACTCACTTGGAGATGGTTTATTTTATACTATAAATATCTGTCATGGAGTAAAGTTGCATTTAATAAGATAGAAGAAACTGAATGTTTTTCTTTTAAATAAAGATAAGGGTTTATTATCTCAGGATACCATGTGCAAACTGGCCTAACATTAAAAGACTTATATTTTTGAAGAGCAAATTGTTTATTGTTTACTTCATCATAAAACAGAGTGAACCACAATGAGCTACACTCATAAGGAATAGAGAAGCAGAGATGATCCAAACAGACTACGATTTCAAAACAGGACTTTGAAAAAATGCTTTTAATGGATTAGGATTTTATTGATATTGTGTAGGGGTTTTGTTTTTGTTTTGGCTTGTTTGAGTCTGTCAATATCCATGATACTACCGATAGCAGTTTCCCTTGCTAGTATTGTTGTACATTTCTTGACATTTAGCAATGTGCAATAAAAGGGCATAGAAAGATTTTTTTGAACAAGGCTGAAATTAATGTTTGCTTATGACCTCAATCCAATGTACATTGAATTGTAGATTAATCAGCTTCCATTGTATCAATGCCCTCCTTCTGTGCTTCAATATCTCCGAAGCTAATTTACTGACTCAAGAAGTGGAGGTCAGAGTGAGAGCAATAGCATGCCTTCCTTCCAGTCAATAGGCACTGGACTGTGTTTGCTCATAATTCTGTCTCTAAATCCCGTGTTTTCCTCTTTCCTCGTTTTCATTCTTTGGGGCCAAGAATTCTTCTTTTATCCCTGTTTCCATGTGCCCAATAGAAGCTTTTCAATTGTGAACAGGAACCTTGGCTATAACAGAGAAATGATGTGCACAAGCAATGAGCAAGAAAACAGAAGACGAACCTTGACAGGTTTAAACCTTTGCTTTGGGAACAAGCTTTAACTACTAGAGGGCAAACCATTATCCTTTTTTCCTGGCTTAATAGCTGCTATATTTTCCTTTTATCTCTGATTCAAAATGTATTCTTGATCATCAGTCTGTAAATCTGCAAAGGCGGACCTGGTATTGATGGTGGATGGGTCTTGGAGCATTGGAGACGACAATTTCAATAAGATCATCAACTTTTTGTATAGCACTGTTGCAGCCCTGGACAAGATTGGTGCAGATGGAACTCAGGTAGAGTTGATAGACTAACCACTAATTCATTTTATGCATTCAAATATTATTTCTGAAGCTCTCACTATGACTGTTTGTCAGGGGATATGGGTAAGGAACTATAACAAGAAGATGCTAATCCTTAACAGCTATTGAATTCAGCAAATAAGATAGGGCAGAGAGGCCTTGTCAGGACACGTTTCTTGTAGGACAGAACAATACACACAATATTTTCCCTGCCCTTAAGGACATTAAAATGTTGAAGGGAGCAGTTATGGCTGCATATTAGTCTAGATCAAAACATGATACTCATTTTTTGATTCAACAACATTTATAGTTTGCAATTCTGAAAAGTAAACAACAACAACAATAAAACTAATTAAAAGGTGTCCCAAAGTTCCACAGAAATAAAAGCAAAATTATTAGGAAGGTTTATATTATAGTGATTAGGGTTACACATTTTGAAATAGAACATGTCTGACTTTACCTATAAGCTTTGCCAATGACTTTGCACTAATTCTTTGTGATCTTGTGCAAATTGACTTCATGTGCCTCTAATTTCTCATCTATATAGAGTAGTAACAGTTATTTTGTAGGTTTGTTTCATAAGGAAATCCTTGTAAAGAATCCAACTCTATTCTCCAACATCTGTCCAGTTACCAGGTTTAAGATACCATTTTTCACTATGGAAAGAGGTGGCAAAAATCTTCCAGAATTCAGAGAGATTTTTAAAAAAAATTAGTTCCTGAAAAGTACTCAGAGAGAAGATTCTGTTTAGTTTGTCTTCAAATTTGAAATGTACCTAGAATGAAATTTTAATCCAACAAAGATGTGGAATGGGTCAAGAAAGAGGTTAAAGTATAGGTGATAGTTGGGTGTGGGTGGCTCCTGCCTATAATCCCAGGGATTTGGGAGACTGAGGCAGGAGGATTACAAATTCAATCCCAGCCTCAGAATGACAATTTAGCAAGACCCTGTCTTAAAGAAATTTTTTTTTAAAAAAAGTAGGTCTTTGGTAAAGCACCCCTAGGTACAGTCCCCAGTACCAAGAAAAAGAAAATTATAGATAATACCATGCTACTGTATGTGTTCTCTGACCAAGTGGAAGTCTACACATGTGTAAAATGAATGCACCTTCTCTCTCTAGGTGGCCATGGTTCAATTCACTGATGACCCAAGAACAGAATTTAAACTAAATGCTTATAAAACCAAAGAGACTCTTCTAGATGCAATTAAACATATTTCATACAAAGGAGGAAATACAAAGACAGGTAAGACCAAAATATGTCCAGCTAAGGCTCAAAGTAATTAGTTATTGGTAACTACTGAAATGACTTTTTTTTTTGAGGTATAAAAATTTTTTTAAAACTTCCTTGATTTAAGAACTTTGTTCCTCCCCTTTTCCCTCTAACAAAACAAAAACAGGAAAGAGTGAAATTGAACAGTTGCCTTCCTTTGTTTCAGGAAAAGCAATTAAGTATGTTCGAGATACCCTATTTACTGTTGAGTCAGGTACAAGAAGAGGCATCCCGAAAGTTATTGTGGTTATAACGGATGGAAGGTCACAAGACGATGTAAACAAAATCTCCAGGGACATGCAAGCAGATGGTAAGTTTTACCTGTACAACAAAAGTGGCCATGCCGATAATTATGTTAGCATTATTATTTACTAAATACAAATCTATAGGCTACGTCAGTTTTACTTAAATGTTTCCAACTCTTTATCAACTGGACAATGTGATTTTTAAAATATCTTCTGCTTTACAAATTTCAATTATATTATTTTACTAGAGAAAATTTGTCATTGTCTCTAATACATTTATTATGTGCAGGATGCCCTGGATAAGGAGCTCCAATAAATAAGTGCAATATTGTGAAAGGTCCATTGTAAAAGGCCAGGGAGGGAACTCATGACAGAAATTTCTCAGTCTCTTAATCTGTAAAATGGAGATTCGCATAGGACTATTGTGAAGATTCACTGGCATAAAATATGGCTGGCAGTTAGAAGTTAAATATTTATTTGCCAACCTTTGCATGATGACTGGTCTAGAACGGGTAGACTTATCATAGTTTCAACTTCTGAAGAAAACACTGAGATAAATTCAGTTTTTCTGTTTTAAATGTACCTCATCCCATAAATGTTAAGATAACCATTAAAAATATACAGCCATAAATATGTTGCTGAAATGGGAACTGTTTTAAGTGCTAATTGGAGCATTGACCTTATTGAATTTCTTTAAAATGGAAAATTTCTTTAGGGGATGATGGAATGATTATCACATAATGAAATATGTGCATGCAGAATTCTGATGAACTGTAAAGAATAAATCATGTAACCCCCACTAGCCTTCCTAAATAAACATATTTTAAACATTTGGATGTTTGAACTCTTGTATTGCATCTTGTCTTTTGGGTAATTTCAAATAATAAAAAATCTGTTTTCCTTCTGCCACAGGCTATAACATTTTTGCAATTGGTGTGGCTGATGCAGATTACTCGGAGTTGGTTAGCATTGGCAGTAAGCCTAGTTCACGCCATGTCTTCTTTGTGGATGACTTTGACGCCTTTAAGAAAATTGAAGATGAATTAATTACTTTTGTCTGTGAGACTGCATCAGCAAGTTAGTTCTTTGGACTTTGTATACTTACTAATGTTGTTTAAGGTTTGAAATAAATATTTAATACTGGTTAAGTAATGAGTGCCATCTTGAACTGAAGGAAATGTTAACTTCCAGAACTGTGTGTTATGGATTTTAAATTTTATGGTTTTGAACATATGGAAAAGCCTCCCTTCCCTTCTGTTTAGAGTTTTAGGTTGGTAAAGATCTTCCTCAGGCAGATGAAAATCTATGTTTAAAAGGAACTATAGGAAATAGTTTTCAAAAATGTATCAATAAACTGCCAATGAGGGCAACACATTAGAAGTGAGATATCTTCCTACGCAAGCTTATAAGCACAGCCGTTGATTTTAATGGACCTCCAAGAAAGGAAAGAAACTGTGACTCTTGGGTTTTAAAAGGGGGACTTTACAGCACTTTAGTCCTTTCACTTGCACTTCCAGAAAGGTTATGTTAGTTTCCTGTTCTCAAAGTAGGGAAAGAGTATGTTTGGAAAATATCTAAGTTCGGTTTTATATTGCTTGTTTTGTTTTCCAGCCTGCCCAATGGTGCACAAGGATGGTGTTGATCTTGCAGGTATGCATTATCAAAAATTTTTAAAATGTAAATATATTAAATAACTCTCATTTGGGGTTTAGGTTTCCTGTTTTGGATTTCTTTTTTTAAGTCCTTAATAAACAAAACTTGAAATTTATAATTGTAAAGCACTCATTTATAATTGTAAACCACTCATTTTCTTTCTCCCTCTCCTCTCTCTGGTTATCCCCCCGCCTCTCCGCCTCCTAGGATTTAAGATGATGGAAATGTTTGGTTTGGTTGAAAAGGACTTCTCATCTGTGGAAGGGGTTTCTATGGAGCCTGGTACCTTCAATGTGTATCCATGTTACCAACTTCACAGAGATGCCCTGGTATCCCAGCCAACCAAGTATGTTTCCATTGCAGGAGGATAAAGCCAATCACATGCTTATTATAACTCAGAATGAAAATTATGTCAATTAGAAATGCTATGATAATTCATGGTAGGATTTTTCATAAGGTTTTGAACAGATGATGTTTACTTTTCTTTGTGTAAAAACATCTGACTCATGTATAATACTTGCTGAAATTTAGCATTTATCCATCTGAGACAATACATAAAATAGTTGATATTTACATAGCACAATATATGTAGCATATTTCTAAGTGTATACATATGCTAATTCACTCAAACCTCCAAACAACTATGAAGCAGATGCAAACACTATATTATTTTTACAAATGATGAAATGGAAACACAAAGAAGCTAATGATGTGAGTGAAATCACATAGTGTAAGATTGATTCTGGGCTCTGCACCCAGCGGTCAGGCTCGAGAGCCCAAGCCCTGAACCATTGCATGATGGTGTCATGATTCAGATGGTGTCTATCCTTGAGAAGTTACAGCAGCAACTCTAGAGCACTAAGAGTAATGTTAGGTTTATTTGAAAGCCACACTATCAAGCCTCTTTGCAGAAGACTGGTTACATGTAGGGATATAGGGCCATTTGCAACAATTCAGCAGATTCCAGAGGTCCTCAAGGTTTTATTTTTAGGGATTCCTTGGATTAAGAGTTCATCCACTTCTGAAGATGTCATATATTATTTAAATTCCAAATCAAGATCTGTTTTTCTCAAAATGCCATTAGTATTTCATGTGAAACATTTTTTGATTGTTCAAATTTTGATATACTACATGCATGGACATCAAAAAGTGGGAGAGATCACATTAGAATGTTAATTTTTTTCTTTCCAATTTATTTAAAATGTTTGCTTTTAAATTTTCTCCTAAGATATCCTTTGTTAAATCCTACTTTAGTACTATTCAAATTATTTTATTGTATTCTATTATGGGGAATAATATTTGAAATAAGTAGACTTCTTCTACTAATTTAACATATTGATCATTATAGGAAAAAAGTTCCATTTTCTAAAAGATGTTAGAAATGACTTTAACCTACAGACTACATATATTTTTAGATAAATCTAAAATCCAGTGCTCTTTTTTGGCAGGTTTTTTTCCCTCCACATTGTCTAGTCATGAATATTAAAATGAGTAGGCCTTGGAAGCCTTGTGATGAATGAGAATTGCTAAAGAAAAATCCCTCTGCTGGTTCACTGAAATTACTCATCACTCAGCAAAGGCCTCCACATCCAATCATCAGTTCCCAGCACTTATCTTACTTGACTTGTCAGCACATGTATTAATCAGCTTTATGTTGCTGGGACCAAAATACCCCACAAGAACAATGTAGAGGAGAGAAAGTTTATTTTGGCTCACAGTTTCAGAGGTTCGGTCCATAGATGGCCAACTCCATACCTCTGGGCCTGAGATGAGGCAGAATATTATGGAGAAAGGGTGCAGCAGAGAAAAGCTACTCATGAGAGCCAGGAAGCAGAGGGCGGGGTGGGGTAGGTACCAGGGACAAAATGTAAATCCCAAAGTTATGCCTGCACTGACCTATTCCCTCCAGTCACACCTGACCTGCTTACAATTATCACCTAGTTAATCCATCGGTGGATTAATCCACCAATTCCGTCACATCTCTCATAATCTAATCATTTCACCTCTGAGCTTTCTTTTGAAAACTTTATCTGTTTTACATTCCTGATCCCCCTCTAGTACCGGCTTCATTTACTATTTTTTTCTTCTGTAATTAAATATAACTGTATCTAACTAGTTTCTTAGGAAAAAGGGCCTGACTCCTCTCTGTCATGTCCCACATCTAGTCTGCTAGGAAATCCTCGTGTTTGACCTTCTCACAACCTCAGTCTGGGTCACCACCATCTCCTCTTTGTCATTGCAGCAGCCCCCTGATTGGTCCTCCTGCTTCTACCCTTGCCCTCTTGGTTTCTATTCTTCAAGTGGCAGTTAGAATGATGCTTTTAAAATGTCAAGTCAGATCATGTCACTCTAAATTGTCTGATTTCCTATTTCCCTTACAGAAAATATCAGAGCTCCTGAAAGGCTTACAAGGCCCAACATTATCTGGGCTTTCATTTCCTGTCTTTTTCAGTTTTCTCTGGTAACACTGGCCTCGTTCTTGTTCCAAAACACACCAGGTGGATCCCACCTTGGTGTCTTTCCATTGGCCATTTTCTCTCCCTGAAATACCCTTCCTTCAGTTACCTACCAGGCTAATTGTCTTGTTTCACTTTTGTGTTTGCTCAAATATAGTCTTTTCAATGAAGTTTTGCTTGACTTTAAGCTTTTCAGTGAACCAACCTTAATTCCTTTAGGGTTTATATCATTATATAATCCTTGTCCAATAGCCCCAGTCTATATTAAGGTGCTCAGTGTTTTTGTTTGGCTTCTAATGGAACTTATTACCTTCTAACATAGTGTGTCATCCACCCTATTAGAATTTGAGCGCTACAAGTATAGGATTCTTTGTCAGTTTTATTCACTGATGAGATCATATCTGACATCTAGTAGGCCGGCAAATATTTATTGAAAAAATAAATGGATTAACTAATACATAAATAAATGAAGGAATGAAGCATTTCTTTCTTTCTCTGTAAACTTAGTTTTCATTTTCAAACTTGTGCTAAATCTCCACATATTCATAACTGTACTCATTCAGTTAATAACCATTATAGAGTTCCTATTGCATGCAGGGCTTTTTTTTTTCTTTTTTTGCTTAGGGGAAGATTAAAAGTAAATAAGTATGTGCTTAGTTGTTAGAGAGAAATGATTATATAAAGGGTTGGTTCTCCAGGAAGCAGATTCCAAGGAGGATATTGGTATGTAAGGTGATGAATGACAGAATGCTCTTGTGGAAAGGATCAGCAGAACACAGGACAGGGAAGCAGGAGGAGTCAAACTGTGAAGCAGAAATCTCAATACACTTCTTTTTTTATTGGTTGCTCAAAACATTACAATGATCTTGACATATCATATTTCATACATTTGATTCAAGTGGGGTATGAATTCTTATTTTTACCACGTGTACAGATTGCAGGATCACATTGGTTATACATCCACGTTTATACATACTGCCATACTAGAGTCTGTTGTATTCTGCTGCCTTTCTCAATACTCTTCTTAGCTGACCACCCAGAGGAGTTCTGGACATGGGATGATCCCTCAGAGCTATCTCCCACTGGGATGTGAGGTTCCGGTCATTATGTGGAAACTGGTCCATGAAAAGAGATGCCTGTGTGTTAGTCAGCTTTTCATTGCTGTGATCAAAATACCTGACCAGAGCCCCCTAGAGGAGGAAAGATTTATTTTGGCTCACAGTTTTAGAGGTCTTAGTCCATAGTCAGCTGATTCCATCAGAAGCAATAATGGTAGACATGGTGGACATTGATGGATGTGGTGGGGGAGAGCTTCTCAGCTCAGGGCAGTGTGCATTATGAGGTGTATTTACTTGATAATCAGAGGGATGACCTTTTGAGGAAATATACAGTAAAACATGATTCTCTTTACACCTTTAGGTATTTGCATCCAGAAGGATTGCCTTCTGATTACACAATCAGTTTTCTGTTCCGGATTCTTCCTGACACTCCAGAGGAACCATTTGCTCTTTGGGAGATTTTAAATAAAAACTCTGATCCACTAGTTGGAATTATTTTAGACAGTAAGTATATTTATGTATATAACTTTTGAGCGTGCATGTCTGAATAATATATGTGGCATACCATCTTGCCTGCTTCATGTATATTGCAGAATAACTCAACTTGTGAAATGTATACTCAACAGTGAGTTAGGTAACAGTTGATTCATTCATCTACTCATTCTTTCAGCAAATAGTTCTTGAGTTCTTACTTAATTCTGAGATACAATACTGAGCAAGGTGAAGACAGACAGTTTTAATTTAATTTTTTTCAGAAAAATTTTACTAAGATAGTAAAGACTATCTCAGGAGGAGCAAAGCTGATGGAGGGGCATTGAGAGAGGTGAGAACAGACATTCATTTTTAGACATGGATATGATAAATATGAAATGCCTATTAGGTATCCCAGAGTGGATGTCAGATGGGCAATATATTTGGGGAATTCTGGGACAGAGATATATAAGCCATGATACTAGGCGTATATATATAGAGTCACATCAAGAAAGTTACTCTAGAAAGAGAAGAGAAGAGATCTAGGAACTGGGAAACTCCACTGTTTTTAGGTTAGAGAGTTGAAGAGCAACTGGTGTAGGAAGCTTTTTAGTACCATGCTATGGAATGTTTCCTATATGATGATCATTTAATAGATGGTCGAGTTTTTGGTTAGCATCACTCACTTTTCTAAGTCTTAAGAATAGAATGAAGCTAGGGACCAAAAAATGGAGGCTATTGCTTAGTGTTAGTTAAAACATTGAAGGTGATAATTTTAGGCTTATTTCCAAATCATATTTCTTAGTGGACTTTTCAGTAAATGGAAAGGACTCAACAACTAAATAAGATATGGTAAAACCATTTTGCATGGACATTGAAATTAAGGGAAAGCTAAAGATTATGAGGGTGTAAGTCACTAACTCTGTATATATTTTGTAACTTAAAAACAAAGAAGTCCCTTAACATTATTAAGGCTAGCTTGTCTCTTTGAAAGCAGAATAAAGAGTTAAATTGTAATGTGGGAATGTATTAATGAGTAATGCTTTACTTTATTTATTTAAAAATATTCCTTAAAGATCAGGAAGGTTTTTGTGTGTTTATTTATAATAAATGACATCTGAGTGGCTTAAGCTGCATGTCTCAGGAAAAGTTGGTTGCTGCAGTGGATTAATAAGACAAAGGGTCTAACTTCTCCTTCTTAAGATTTGGTAAACTTTATTCTTCTTGTTGTCCACTTCCACTTCAAACTTTGGACTCCTCTGAAGGGAGTCATTAGGATGAGAGTGTGGGCAAGGAAGTACAAAGGAAGAGTGTACATAGGTTTCTCCCCTACCCACCCCACCCTTCATCACATGGTTAGTCAATTTGGATAGCTGAAAGCCTGTGGCAACCTGAGAGCTGTCAATCATTTCCTGACCTGTTACTTTACCTTAAATACAGTCTCAAAATATTGGATGCATTATTTTAAATATTGAATTGAATTTCAGAAAAAATTCTTCACTAATTTTAATTCTTTCTAAATTATTTCTGTTTTTCTTCATTTGAATAGATGGTGGGAAAACTCTAACTTATTTCAACTATGACCAGAGTGGGGATTTTCAAACCGTTACTTTTGAAGGACCTGAAATTAGGAAAATTTTCTATGGAAGTTTTCACAAGGTTAGTAAGGTTTTGTATGTGTATATTCTTTATTCTATTTGGTGTTGGGAAAAGCAATGGAGTGAAGTTAGCCAATCCCAAAAAGCCAAATGCCAAATGTTTTCTCTAATATAAGGAGGCTGACTCTTATTGGGGCAGGGAGGGGAAGCATGGGAGGAATAGACAAACTCTAGATAGGGCAAAAGGGTGGGAGGGGAAAGGAGGGGGCATGAGATTAGAAATGATGGTGGAATGTGATGGACATTATTATCCAAAGTACATGTACGAAGTCATGAATTGGAGTGAGTATACTTTGTATACAACCAGAGATATGAAAAATTGTGCTTTATATGTGTAATAAGAATTGCAATGCATTCCAGTCATATATAAATAAAAAATTAATTTAAAAAATGTATGAATTAAAAAAATCTTCAGCTTGCTTGCAATCATTTAGTACTTGATAGAAAATGATAATATAGTAAACTCACATTCTTTATATTTATTTATGTATAATTATATATGTAATTGAGTATTTTACTTAACATTGAATATATTTAATTAAAATATATAATTTAAAAAATCCATAGAACTTTTTTTTCTATTTTATTTATTTATTTTCTCTCTTTTTTTTAGACAAACATGACAGTAAAGTGTATTTTGACATACACACATGGAGTATAATTTATTCTAATTAGGATCCCATTTTTTGTGGTTGTACATGATGTGGAGTTTCACTGGTCATGTATTCATATATGAGCCTAGGAAAGTTATGTGTGATTCATGCCACCGTCTTTCCTACTTCCATCCTCCCTCCTTCCCTTCATCCCCTTTGTCTAATCCAGTGAACTTCTAATCTTCCCTTCCATACTCTCCCTTGTTATGGATTAGCATCTACTTATCAGAGAGAACATTCAGCATTTGGTTTTTTTTGGGGGGACTGGCTTATTTTGCTTAGCATCAAAGTCTACAGTTTCATCCATTTACCAGCGAATGCTGTAGTTTCTTTCTTCACTGAGGCTGAGTAATATATACCACATTTTCTTTATCCATTCATCTGTTGTAGGGCACCTGGGTTGGTTCCATAGCTTGGCTAGTATGAGTCAAGCTGCTATAAACATTGATGTTTGTATCTCAAGTTTCAGCTGAAGTAAGAGTTGCCACCTTCAGTGCTTGTTGACCAATGCCCAGAGATTCTGATTAGGTGCTTTTGAGATGTGGCCCTGAAACGTGCATTTTCAGCAAGAACTCCAGGAGACATTGGTAGAAGTGGTTCAGCTTGTGCCTTTGAGGAAACATGTGGGGGAGGGTAGCATATTACTAAGCAGACTGTTGCTGCACAGTATGTGATGTAGAAAGGATTGCTGGTCTACCTGGCCACCAAAACATGGGAAGACACAATCATCTTAGAGAATGAAGCTACAGATAATTGATTATGCTGCATTGTTACATATGTGCAGAGAGAATCAATCACTGCCATTGTAAAAGTCACCCTGGAGAGAATTTTTGTCAAAGTTAACTTTGTCAAACTTTACTTGTTCTTATTTTAGTAACTTGGCACTTGTGATAGAACTCTGTTCCTAGAATGTGCTCAAATTTATCTAATTTACCAACACTGCTGCTCTCTGGGGGTTTCAATGTCATAATCGTATACTAAATAATTACATAAAAGTCACTGCATAAGCCAACTTATTTTTTCATGTTTGATAGGACTGGACTACCTGAGAAGCACATTAGACACAGGCAGGGATTTATTAGTTCATGGTTCAAAATGGTCCCATTAGCAGCTCCTTGGATTTAATATCTTTTACTCATCAAGGTCTTCATGATTCTTTGTTATGTGGAGTCTGCTGGAGTGTGTTGCAAAGCAGTCAAGAAAAACTGTACGGGAGATGAAAGCATTTGAATTTCATGAGTGTTAAAAGAAACATTGTCATCTTACCCTGCGGTTTTGGCATGAACTTGCATTTCTCATTCCAAAGAATACTTTATGAATCTTAGGTGAACGTCAAGCTTTATTTACCTTACCAGAGCTCAAAGACCTAGAAGTAAGGTTCATTAAAAATGGGTTCTAAATTTATAAACCTTCAAGTTTTAAAAAATTATATGAAGAAACATTTTCCTTCACTTTGTTAATAAAGCCAAACAGCCAAATAAGAAAAGCAAAAGAGAAGAAGGAGGAGGAGGAGGAAAAGAGAGGAAGAGGAGAAGGAGGAGGGAAAAAAGAGTGAAAAGGAGAGCCTTATCATGTAATACACTGCTTAATAATAGATATTTGGTTGATATTTCCTCTGGCATATTCATCTTACATCCTAAAACAACTTGACTTTTACCCAGCTACATGTTGTTGTCAGCAAGACTTTGGCCAAAGTGGTTGTCGACTGCAAGCAAGTGGGCGAGAAGGCAATAAATGCATCTGCTAATATCACATCGGATGGAGTAGAAGTCCTAGGGAGAATGGTTAGATCAAGAGGACCAGGTGGAAATTCTGCACCAGTAAGTAGATGAACAAGAAAAATTGTGTTACTGTTGTAGGGAAAACCACCTTTGATGTACATTTAGCTCATTTACAGTAGGGAAGTTTGGTAAAGGAATGGATGGATGGGCAGATGGATGGGTGGGTGGATGAATGGGTGGATAGATGAATGGATAAAGAGATAATGGACTCTTAAAGTGAACCAAAACATGTACCTTCAAAGCTCCCAGCAGTCTACGGTCATGTGTGTCTAGAACAAGTTAAATAAAACAAAAACAAACAAAAAAGCTCCTCATGGTAGGATTCTGCTATATTATAAGAAAAATACTCCAGGAACTTGGCTAGTTTATTTTCTTCATGCAGTTTAAAATTCAGACAGTACAATATACATCATCTGATTTGTGGCACAACTGGTTTTTTAAATTGGAAATCAAAATTGTAAATGAACTTCATTTACATAAGCAATATAAATCCATACAAAAATTTTGAATATTACACCTAGGAAATTGGTATAGTTTGGTTTAGATTTGAACATTTTAAAATTAAGTTTTTGCTATCACTAATGTGAAGTTTTCCCTTTAATTAGCAATAGTTAATTTGCATAACAGTAGCATCTTAGAATAATATTTTTTTTATCATACAAAATGGAGCTTAAATTTGGGAGACTGCCAATTAGCAAAGAAATCACATTCCATTCACTTATTACCTGCAAAAAAGAACAGCATATACAGGTTTTTGTTTTAACACCATGCATTCACAGCTAATTGGCATTTTGTAATGTGAATTACTCTTTAATTGGTAAGGTATGTTTTATTATACACAATTCCTTCTATTCTAATCTACATTTCTCTTCCATGTAACAGAATAATTAAGATAATTGTGAATCATTACTATTGTCTTCCACTTTCATAGATCTGTAGAATTAGCCAGCTATATGGAAATTTAGAAAGATCTGGTAGTTCTCAAAGTCTTTTTAAGCTGATGATAACCTGTACAAATGAATTTTTACGCTATGTCCGGTAAATAAATAATATTGGGAGGGGACATGAGGTGGCATGTACCTCCCCTTTCCAATCCGCCCTTTAAGGAATGCAGTTGTAATTACAGTCTGTTCACTTTCTATATCAGGAAACAATTCTTGAGGGAAGAGTGACTTATTTGGGGGCAATGTACTACTTTGTGGCATTTTTCTTTGTGCAACCTCTACTTCCAATGTGGGTACTGAAAGTTGACGTACAATCTTAGTTCAAATTGTCTCCCCTCTTTTTCACTGAACTATCATGATACTTTTCATTGATTCTTTTAGGACCTTGAGAGTAGATGTGCACTGATTAGCTTAACACTAAGTTTTGAAGTATCTTTAGAAGCTCTTTTGTTTTTACCTTGCCTTGGAGAACTATGGCTTAGATGTTTAGAAAGAGAATATGAAACCTATGGAAGGTTGTCTTGTTTTCAGTTATGTTAGGGACGTTTTATTTTTACTGTGTGGTATTTTATACTGAATAAGATACACATAATCTTCTGCTTAAAGGAAGATGCTCACAGGAATTTATAAGAATTCTCTTGTATAGATAAATGAATGTATAGATGGATCATCAGAAGGATGAATGGATGGTAATTTAAGAGTAAGAAACAATTTAAAGTGTACCAGATTCTAGGTTCAAATCACTGAATACTATTATGATTTTCTTAATTATTTTATTAAAATAATTGAAGTTCCTGATACTTAGTAGGCATTCAAAGACAAGAAGCTCTTTATTACTGAACTAAGTTATTAATGCCTTCTTCATCCTCTGTCCTACCTGTTATAGACCACTAGTGCTTGTTTAAAACTCCATTATTGATAGTTATATACATTTTATGTTCTTTCATAATCCTCATTTAACCCTTCTAGCCAGAGTATTATATTCTCCAAAATAGAAACCATGACTTGGTCTTCTTTTAAAACCACCCTGTTCTGCCCCACATTACAGCATCTAGTAAATTTCTATAACGGACTAAGTTTTCAAGAAACATTTGATAGAAATTAAATAGAAAGTTGTCTGTATAGTATCCTGTCTTTTCTTAGTTTTGTTACACCTATATTATATCTCATGTGTGACACTGACAGCAATCCAGTAACATATGACATATTCTCACTTAATAATAATTTGTAGTTTACAATTATGGCTCTATAATTACAATGACAGTAATTGCATTTCAAATTGCACTATATGTAATATTTATATTCCAAATATATGACCAGTGAAAATCAAAGAATCAGTTTCTGAAAGCAAAATGCCTGTAGGTTTCAGGTTTACTAATAATAAATCTTTACTTTGGGCCATGAAAGAAATGCAGTTAAACAGAGCACCCTCTGTGATGACTTCCAGCTAGTGTAGACAAAAGGGAATTTATAGAAGTTGATAATTAAAGAGTTCATTGTAAAGCTGGTAGGAAAAAGTCATAGCTTTTGTTAGAATCGAGAAGTCCACAAAGATTACTAAACAGATTTTCAGTCTGCCCACTTATAAAAGAATTTGATTATGTTGAAATGGATGGTATTAGGTTAGATCTCAAGAATGTGATTGGAAACTCAGACTTGCTTTTTAGGGTATGAGTTAATTGTTTCAATACGAGGTAAGAGAAGCTCTTTCTTTAGTTTGAATTTAGAAATTTATACATCTTGAAATACATCTGTATTTCAGTAACTGGCAAAAGGGAATTTATAATGCACAAATTTTAGATTATTTCAGGAGAGAATAGTATAGTGAGAGAATAGTAGCTCACAGATCAACAATTCCTGCCAAATTCAAAAAGATTCAATAAGTACCAGATGGTGGGAGAATCTAAAGATTCCATCTTTAAGGAGAATAACTTGTTTTAAAACCATAGTTGAGTGGAAGATGGATGAATGGATTTGGGGATACAATAACTACTGTATAAGTTACACATATTCTTAATAAAAATAACTTGTATTCAGCATGCAAGATTTTATAGGTGGCGCTAATCTCTCCTGGGACTAAACTAACAGGCAGGCTGAATTTAACTGTCAAAACAGATATGGAAAGACACTTGACAACTGTGCTTCTTCTTTCCAATCTTTTTCCCTCAAAAAAGCTTTCTCTCCCTTTTCTGATACCTAATGAGATGCTTCTAGAATTTTTTTTACATGGATCATGTTTCTTAGAGTCTCTCTTCTACCTTTTCAAAACTAACACTTAGGTGGTTATTCAACTGGGATTTATTTAGTTCTCTCCTATTCATAGAAGAGAAATATAATTTATGTCATGGAGTCATCTATAATTTTATCCACTGAGTTAAAGCTTCTATGTGAAAATCAACAGTAGACTAGCCAATAAGTCTATAAAAAGCAAATGTTATATTAAAAAAAGATAGTGTGAACATTTTCACATTAATTATCTCTTTACAACCTTAAAATGGTAATGGCAGCTAATACTTACATATGCCTACTATGGGTTACATATGCATATTTTCTGAGTTTATCAGTTTAATTTTCTAACAATCCTAGGAAGAAATACTTACATTACTCTCACTCTAAAGATGCAAAAATTGAGACTTGAAAAATTTAGGGAGGGGTCTCCATCACCTGCCTTCCATTCCATTCCTTCTCCCACTGGAATCAGACTTGGATTCTATAGAATTTAAGACTGAGAAGGGAGTCTCGTCTCCACCTGTGATCAAGTGCCTGTATGTCTGTTGACAGGTTCGAAAACTCACCATTTGAATTACAACCTTAAAAATAAGTGTGATTCAAACTTTTACCCATAGTGTGTGTCTATAAACATTTTAATTCCTACCAACAAGTATGATGGTTGTTAACTTTCATTACCTAATTTAATTTAGAACCTTCACAGTTTTTCTAAAATCTAATCAATTGAGAACAAGTTAAAACACTCAGTTCAATAGCTGACAAATGCTGTGTGCTCAGTACTACTTGGAATAGATTCAAAGTTAAGACACAAAATTAAAAATAGAAGGTGGCTTAGTTCCTGGACCTTTCTATAGTATTTTTGTGCCATGGAAACCTCTCTATTTTTATAAATTCAGGTACAGCTTGACTTCAAATCATAAACTTAGTTATATTATGCTATAAAAAGATCAGAAGATAAAATCTGGTATTGAGTGGAAAGTGGAGCCAGAAGTACATTTTAATTCCCATTCACAGATCAAAATGACTCAACTGCTGAGAAATATTTTAATCTTATTTTCATGTTAACATTTGACCCCAAATGACTTGCCTTTTGTGCAACACCCAGACAAAAATGTCCAGTGATGAAAAATGAATATTTGTAATTGGTTAAGTATTCCCTTGAAAGAGATTTTAAATAGGGAAAGTCAGAGGTTTTTGTGTGTCTCTCTTTTTTTTTTCTTTCTTCTTCTGGCATAGCTATGTCTTTTTTAGCATTCAATTAGTAACAAAAGAAAAAAGCCATAGAATTTAAAAAGATGTTGCATCATGCAGGATTTGCCTAAAGCATGATTTATTTTTGAACTACATGGTCATGCCTTTTAAGGCCCTCAAATATGGAGATATTTTGACATGTCATTTCTGTATACTGTGTCCTGTATAATTTGTACACATGTGTATTTTTTTGTTTTGTTTTTGGAATAGAAGCCAGGTGGTTTTGCTTTTTGTTTTTAATGAATCCCCAGAAATATGTCTCGAAAAAGAACTTCCTAAATCCTGCTTGAGGAATCTAAACTATTACACATGCAAAACAATTATGAATAAATTTGTTGTCCTCAAAGAAAAAGCTGCTGATTTCATCTAACTTGCAAAAGAAAAGCCAGCCCACATAATAGCATTCCTCAAATGATAGCAATGGATTCATTGGACACTTAGTAGGCACTCAACCCCTCGAATAAATAAACTGAATTCATAGGAACCCCAGTAACTCTATAGGGTGGAAGCCTTGCCAAATGTTTGTATGTAGACATTATGCTCTCACAAATGACTAGATGGTGAATATTTATTTGAAAAACTTCAAGAAAGCCTGGTGCACATTGAGGCTAATGAAAGACCTTTGCTTTAAGTCAGTCTTTCCATTTACGAAAATGTTTTTACACTGGGGGCTCTGTTCAGAAGTGGAAAATTTCTTAATGGATGAATGATTTGCTGACTTAGCTGACACTATCAAATGCTTTCATAATGGGACCCATTAATAAATGTCCCCAGATGAAATGGCATTGTAAACTTAGGCTGGGATATCTGCATTTTAAACATTAGAGCAAAGATCCTTTTTTTTTTTTTTCAAAATAAAACCACACATTGGTTGTACTGTTAAAATCCAAACCCAAACTGAGCTTTCAACATGTGGTTTAATTATTTAAGCTTTTTCATCCCAGGTCCTATGCTACTGAAGGGACATTAATATTAACATACCTCATAGTGGTGATTTGAGGATTAAACCATATAAACGCAATGTTTACAGAGTAGGCTTTCAACAAACATTGGTTGTTATGGTTATTATTTGCTAAGATTTTTCTTAATCAGAATATTTAACAGACAATATTATTGTGGAAACACACAACTATTATATTTCTGCCTTCAATACTGTCACATTCATTTTGATTCTACTTTTTTGGCCTCTGTATTTTACATATACATACATAAAATACAGTGTTTAGAACTTAAAATAATTTTATTATTTATGAAAATTATGTTTCAGGTACTGCTCTGGATAATTCTCCATGCTATCTCACTTGTTCTTCACAATAAACATTAAGAATAGCTACTACAGATGGAGTATTCTCCACTGGAAATACTCAGAACCAAAAGTGTTTCAGATTTTGAATTTGTTCAGATTTTGGAATGTTGTATCACCTTGTTTCACCTCACCAAAATATCCAATTATGAATGTTTGAACATACATAATGGGCTATTTTGGTGAGGTGATACAAGTCTAGATATGAAATTCATTTATGTTTCATGTTTATTTTATACACATAGCCCCACAAATAATTTTATCCAGTATCTCTAGTGCACTGGCATTTTGACGGAGATCCTCTCTGTGAAGTCAGGTGTTGAATTTCCCACTTGTGACGTCACACTGGCACTCAAAAAGTTGGAGATTTTAGATTTTTGAATTAGCAGTGGCTCAACCTGTATTACTACACTACTTTTTCAGATGAAAAGACTGAGAGTCCAAGACAAAATAACTTTTTCAAAACAGCTGTCGGTGGAGGAATCAGTGACTATACCCAGCAGTTAGTTCCACAGGATCCTAATCCCTGTGCTTGAAATATTTAATGCTGTTCTTTTTTTTATAAAATTCAATTGTAGCATACTTTGTAAAATGTTTTAATTTTTAAAAACTTGATAGATTTTTATTGGTCATGGTTTTATTTTATGTTTGCACTATCCTGGCTCAGGTATTGTACCCTTGGGAGGGTAGGAGGTCAGGCCATCTGGGGTGGAGGGGGAAGACAGTGAGCCCTGCAGGTATTTCAGCAGAAAGCACATTAGATGTACACAGAACCAAGAAAGTAAGGTGTTTCAACTCATCCATCTGCTTCCAAACAAAGGCTTATTTTGTTGATTGGTTGGAATGAAACTTTGCAATAAGTCACACAGTTATTCTTGTGCTTAATGACAGAAAGCTTGATTTCATTTTCTTTATTGTTGGAATTGGCTTTCTTGTGACACTGCAGGTACCCCTTTAGTAACTGCTCCATGGTGTTGTCTATGGGGCATTCTAGTTTTCATCTAGAGGGCTCTTGGCAGGGAGGAGTAGCACTTCATAGACGATAATAAGGGCCCCCGAAGTTTCCAGCCCTTGCTGAAAACACCACCTGCTGAAGGAAGGTTGCAGGTTTGGAATGAAGAGTTTCATGTCTGTCCCGGCACTGTGATTGATGACACTTTAAATATTTGAGAATAATATAGAAAGGAATTAATTAGAAATGGTTGGGTTATTAAGTTAGTGTTAGCACTTAATGATATTATAGAGATGTTTCTGTACGTTTCAACTATAAATTGAGTAACTGCCAATATACATGAATAAAGCAAAATTGTCTAAATATTTCCAGCATGATCAATGGCTCAAATAAAATACACTTAACTCACATTCTCACAATACCAAATATGAATCTGTCATGGCACATAACCATGTTGCTGTACAGTATTTATGTGCTGGTCTCTAACTGCCTGTGAATTCTTCTGAGGCAGATGCATCCCACCCCCCAATTTTTGTACCCTAAAAGGTTGTGTAATATCTGGCTTATATTATGCACTGAAGAAAATTTCCTGAGTATATGCACAAAAGAATAAATAATTAATTAAAAATGTTTTCCTGGATGCTTATTATATGCCTCATATTATGATACATGATACAAAAATGAGTGTTTGCCTGCCCCTTAAGTCTGAGGAGGAGGCAACATGAATAATTGGACTGTATGGTGGCAAGTGGCAAGAGACAAGTGTGACTACAGGGCATTGAGAGTGGCTGTGGTGGTCCTTACAAGGAAGAATTTCACAAAGGAGCTCAGCTTACTCTCTAGGTAGAAGTGGAAAGAGGAGGTTGTGATAAGTAAGCAGGTTTAGATGGTGGAATAATTTGAGATGAAATCTTATATATCACTGTATTTAAGGAACAAAGTTAGTTTGATATTATTGGATTTATTTTAATATACTTTGGTTATAAGTGTCTTGGTGTTATGTAATATATCAATCATTACAATGAAGAGCACAATTAATTTATATCTCTTTTATTTCCCTTTTAAATTATAGTTCCAGTTACAGATGTTTGACATCATTTGCTCCACATCATCATGGGCCAGTAGGGACAAATGCTGTGAACTTCCAGGCCTGGTAAGAATTCTTCATCTCTATTGAAATTTTAAAAAATGATATTCAATTTTTTTCTGAAAATGAGATGCTATTTCACAATTCTTATAAATAATTCATTGTGATGATAATCAAAATTAGGAAGAGGTTAAGGAGGAGACAAATAAAAACAAGAAATCAACAAGATGACAACAACATGGTGTGACCTGCACAATCTGGGGATGCCATTGACACATGGTCCAGATGGTACCACATTTACTAGTTCACAGAGCCCTTCCTATCTCAATTTTTTCATAGCATCCCAAGTCAAGGGAAATATTTGACAGTGCATTTATGAAATAATGAGGTCCAAACATCTTACTAAGAATTTCTTAACAACTCAATATTCATAAAAATACATATGAATTGAAAATTGATAGTTGTATTTTATTCTTAAATAACTATAATTGTTTACTCATGGGATGAGTGTATCTACTGAGGATTCCAGTAGCTTTCTATCTTGGAAACAGGTAAAACATTTCCCTCCCTGCTTCTTTCACATTATTTTCTCCCATGGTACTTGCTTTTCATCATAGCAACTGCTAAAATATCCAGTAAATATGGAATACAAAAAAGTGTTTGAAATATACTCTTGAAACCATGAACTACCTTGAGCTAGTCAATCACATGAAGTCCAATGGGTACCAAATATTGCTGTGTTTCTCTTGAATTTTTTAAAACACTCACTGTGTCCCTATGAGCTTAATACAGTACCCAGAGCATCCTGACATACCTTTGTAGAACTGTAGTCATAATCTATATAACCCCTGTAATGTTATTAGTAAACTAAACCATTTTTCATTATTCATATAAAGGGACATATTTGCATATATAAAACAAAAAAATATATTTGTATCTTAGTATCCTCAGGATAAATGAGCTAGAATGAATGACCCTATGTGGTTGGACATAGGGTCATAGATGTGTCCTAATAATTAAACATGCAGAATGAACATGGATAGGCCTTCATGAAATCTAAGATTCTATTTTATAAGATTATACACCAGATCACATGTATTTCAGGGAATAAACTCATGGCAACCTGTGTTTAATAGGATTATATAACTCCTTCATCAAAATAAATTTTTAATAAACTCTAGTGAGGAATTAAATTAGATACCTTGATGTTATGCTTAAGTGCAGATTGGAAATCGGAAGAAGAAGCATTCAGAATCTAACGGAGTTTCAAGCAAAAATTAGATCGCCACTTCTCCCAGGAAGGACTAGCCCTTACTGTTTCCCCCGCCCCCCCGACTTCTATCGCTGAAGATGTATAAATTGCATAGTAGGAAAACACGGGTGGAAGTGTGGTCAGTAGTAATGGCAGAACCATCACAGAACGGACCCCAGTGTCCTGCTGGTTGCCTTATTTTGGTGATATTTCAGGAGAGTTAATCTTGTACTTTAGTCTGACTGACCAGTTATCAGGCTGGAGGTGCTTAGCAGGAGGTAGAACTGAAATCTTTGACTATTGTCAACCATTTAGAAAAAAAGTGTATTCAGCATACACAGGCCATTTGTTCAACATTTTTGTGTTTCTGTCGTGAATATTTTAGAGACTCAGATTATTTTTGGTCGGTAATTTAACTATCACCTGCGATGTACTCTCTTCTAACCTTACTGCCCCAAAGTCTTAAATAATGAAGCTCATTTTCTCGATATCTAAAGGGACTGATGGACTTTGCGAAGTTCTATAGTTTCTTATCCTGGTGCTAAGTTCATTTTGATGACTGCTCCAAAAAGGATATTGACCAGTTGTTCAATAGCTGTTCCCAGGGGCTCTGTCTTTCTCTACACTTTCTTGCCCTGTGACACAACAGCATAGATTAGTGAGCCTGACATCACTAATTTATCTTGTTGTGTCACAGGGCAAGAAAATTCTCCAAGAGAGAAGAAAAATGGCTGCCTCTCCCAAAGATTGAGGTCAATGTCATGTTTTTCTTATCTTTAGCCACAGAATGTAAGCAGTTGATGAAATTGTCACAGGGAATCGATGGTGTGTTTAAACACTGTTTTAATATTATTTTATTTCTTTGTTTGGTTTAGTACAGATGTGGCTGTTTTGATTGAGTTTTCCAACAAGTTTTCTTTTATCCTTTCAAGTGGAAAAATAGTGTAGCTTAACAGAAGTTTTCAGGACCTTTAGTTCATAAAGTACTGTTACTCCAAATGAATTAAATAGTACCAGGAATAGTTTGTACCCACTTCTAACTCACTATCTTCCCTTGGATTCTCAATCCAGCTTTAGAAACTCCTTTGCTGTGGTGATTGTCGATGATTCATTAGGCCCTCATGCTGTTTTCTTTACAGAAAAGGTGTGATTACTGCCTTTTTGGCCAAATGTTCACTTAAAATTTTTTTTTTAAATGTCTTAAAGTGTTTTCTTTGGGTTAGCAAAGCCATTTGTTTAGACTGTCTTGTTAACAACTGTGCTATCTATTTTCTTCTCAGAGGGATGATGAGTCCTGCCCAGACCTCCCACATTCCTGCTCCTGTTCTGAAACCAACGAAGTGGCTCTGGGACCGGCTGGGCCACCAGTAAGTCATTCTAGTTTGGCCTCATTCTAGTTTTGCTGACTGTTGTACTAAATGACTTTTTTCCAACTTAATCACTTGAGTAAGCTGAGGTACAGAGGTGTTTAGTAACTCAGCTAAAGAACACAGCTAGGAGAAGCTGGACTTCAAATCCAAGTCTCTGTGACTGTTCAGCATCTTTCCTTTAAGCTATTGTGGCTTATCATTAGTATGAGTATTTCAGTTCTTGGTCCTCTCCTCGTAACCTGTAGAATTTGCATACTCTCCCTTTGCCCATTTGGTCTCAAAATTTATATGTGAAGGGATGATTTTTCATTCACCAGGAAATATACCCATCTGAGACAAAGTTCCTACTGTAATAAACTTCCTACAGAAAGAAAGGAAAGAAGGAGAGAGAAAACATTTTTGTAAAATAGAAAATGTAAATAATTGCACTCTCTAGGTCTTTGAATGTACTATGATAAACTTTTTGGATAAACTTTTTGTATTATGTGTAATACTCATGATATTTCTTATCTGCTAAACTGGGATTATTGGTGTTTCTTAAGATAAGATTGGTCTAGCTGCTCTGTGGTCAGGAAATGGCAAAGTATTAAGGCAGAAAGACATAGATAATATGGAAAAGATGCATGAGAAAATGAAGAAACCCAGACCTTGCAGGAGAATGTGCTCATGCGTGGCCTGCCCTTGCATGTTGAGTGCCAGAGGTGGCCTGGCACAGTCAGCTCATGTGCAGCAGGTAGCCCACACTGGCAGCTGGCTTGCAGCATGCAGATTCCCTCTAAGGTGGCTACACCAACATAATTTTCCTGAATTGAGCAAAAAGGAAGAGATCCTGCTGAATGCATCTGAAATATATCTCAAAATTCCTCCTATATCTCTGGCACAAAGAACATTTTTTTTTTAACTCTGGATGTAGAAACCAAGCACTGTTTTGTTTTAAAGACTCTCAAAGAAGTAGAGTAATGGTAGAAGCATTAAACTTAAACAATAAGTCCTTGAACCACCTGTATTCCTGTTTTCTCAAGTATAAAATAATACCCACCTCTTTAACTGGTTTTATGAGAAATACACTAGACAATGTGTATGTATGTACTCTGCGCATTATAAAATGTTAATCAAATGTAAAGTATTGTGTTTAATCTGGAAATGGAAACAAATATTTATTTTCAACTCTGTGCCAAATTTTCCTTCAGACTTCAGGACAATATAAAGCAATATTATGTTACGATTTATTAGACATAATATTTATTAGAATCTATAGACTCTCCAACATGACAGTGTGGGAATCAATAAGTATTACGCACACTAAAATATGAAAAGTGCTGGATGCTTTTCTTTAGAATATTAGAAGTTTACTAATTTGTGGCCAAAATTTGTTTATCACACCTATGTATATGCCAGAGAATACTTTTTTCCCCCCCGCAGAGAAAATCCTCATGTATTTTTACTGTATGAAGGCAGGGTTATATGGTTTGGTCAATTTTTCTGTGAACCTAAGAAATGAAGTATATTTTAAAATAACTCCATAGACACTTTTGTACCCACCTCCAAGATTGATCATTTTGCCTTTGTTTAGCTCACTCTGTGGTTTCAGGTTGCAATAAGTTACCTATGCATCTAAGACCTTAGCCCATTCCTTCTCTTCCCACCTCCCTTTTCTTTCCTTCCCTGAGAGTTGACAGTTTCATTACTATATGTTTTTGTGTTCCTACTATATAAGTATGCATTCCTAAAGTATATCACACGTTATAGTAACATGTTTGAGATTTATGTAAATGTTATCAGGGTGTGCTTTTTGCACCTGCTTCTTTTCACCTAAAATATGTATTTGAAATTTATCTTGGTCAATATTTACCATTTAGTTCATTGGTTTAAACTGCTGTAAGGCATTCCACTCTATAAACTCCATTTTATTGACTCATTACAGTGGAATATTTTCTTACAGCAAACATGGTTACAGTGGGCATGTTTGTAGATCTTGCACACATATGAGTATTCTGGAAAGAGCATTTAGACTCGGGCTTGCTGGAGAATAAGAAGGATGCATCTTCAACCTTGTGAAGAAGCCCCTAATGGCTCTTCCAGGGCTGTCCCAACCTCCCTCTCAGAGGCTCCTTGATAGAGATCTGGATTCCCTGCATCCTCACGAGCTCTGGCTGGTGTTGTCAGAGAAGAATTTTTCTTATTTCCTATGTTACTATTATTTTAAATGTGACTGTCCCTCAGTGCTAATGAGATTGAGAAATTTTCCATTAGTCTACAAACCATTTAAATTTCTTCTTTTACAGATATCTACTTAAAACGCTTTTGGTTTTCTGATGTTCTATATTGTTATTTCCCAATGAAAGATAATTTTTTAAGTATTCTGAATACAAATTTTCTATTAAAGATAGGGTTTACAAATATCTTTTCCAGATCTGTGATTTGCTTGTTGCTGATTATGGAAATTTGTATTCTGTACACATTTTAATTCTAATGTGGGGAAATTTAATATTGCTGTGAGTTATTGTGTTTATATTTTTCTTTATCCCTTCTTTTACCTGTAATTTCTCTAGAAGTATTTTTCTTAAATTTCCAGTCATGTGGGATTTTTGATATCCAGTTTATATTGACATTTTTTGCATTTGATTAGGAAAGTCAGTCTCTATAATTAATACCAATGCTTTGATATGTGTTGATATTTGCCATGTGTCAAATTTTTTAGAACTTTCGTCAAGTTTTGCAGATGTTTCATGTGTGCTTTAAAAGGGTATGTGTTTTCTAATTGTGGAGTTTGGAATTCTATAGAAAAATCTAGTAGATCCAATTGTTGGGTTATTCAAGTCTTTAACTGTATGAATTCTTTATGTTGCTGGGAGAGATGTTTTAGCAATTCCAACTCCGATTGTTATTTTGTCAAATTCTCTTGTGTTTGGCATTATATGTCCCGAGGCTGTGTTAACACGTCAAGAAATTTTCTATTATCTGCATAATGACTTATTATGTAAATTGTTGTGTAATGAACCCTTTAGATGTAGCTATGCTTCTTGCCCCAATTCCATTTGTTTAATATTAATATAGTTTCAATATTTGTATTTGGTATTACTTTTCTGGTATATATCTCTTTATCCTCTTAGTTACAGCACTTCCATGCTTTCATATTTTAGACCTTTCTAAATAAGATATGCCAAATTTTACTTTTAATTTGGTCTTACGATCTTTCTTTTAAAGTTTAGTCCATTCTATTGTTTTTGATAATTATTTGGATTTATATTCACACCAAATATTTGCTTTCTGTTTGTCATACATATGTGTACGTATAATGTGTAAATACATATATGTGACAAACATAAATAATTGGCATTTTATATACTTTTTAAAAATTATTCTTTTTCTTTACACTCCACTAAATTATAAAATTATGTTATATCTGTAATATTTATTGTTCGCCTAGAAATCTTGGCAGAAGTACTTAATCAGTTTAAAAGAATATTTTAGCTTCTTTTAAATCAATATGATATCCTTGGAATTCTTTCACCTTGGATCATCCTTTCTGTAATTTATATTGTTTTGCTATCCATTATTTTAGTGATGTCTTCATATTGTTTTGCTATCCAGTATTTTAGTATTATTATCATAATTAGACATCTAAATTATTATTATTACTTATTACAAATTAATATTTATTAAGACTTGCCTACATTATTTGATATTTCTTACAATTTCTTCCAGTATCATTTTTTTTATCTCACTTATCTCATTTGAATCTTCCTTCAGAAAGAAACTATTGGTAGTAAATTCTTAGTTTTGTTCACCTGAATTGTTTTTGTTTGTTTCTGACAGCATCTGGGATGTTGTCAACAGACAGTTTGATGGTTATTACAGATTTTGCTCTGTTCCCATCACAACTGTAGAAAGAACATCTGACCATTCACCTGACAGTCACCCATTGTTTTTTCCAACTCATGCATAGCATATCCTTTTAAATTTCTCATTTTAGAAAAAGCATTTCCCATTCAGCTCTTCCCTGACCAATCATGGACCCAAGTTCACATTTCAGTGCCTTGTGTGGGCTCTAAAACACAGCTCTGCTGCATGCCTGGGCATTCTTCTCTATCCTCCCCAAGGGCAGTCTCAGTGCTCATGTTTGCTATAGTTTTTTTTTATTTCTTCTCTACTCCTGGATCTTAAGAATTCAGTTCTTAATTATAATAATGCATATTTTATTTTAACAGTGTTAAATAATAAGCATCTGTAGCTTGAGGGGTTTCAAGTGTTTTTTCTTTGTACTACTGCTGCAACCAGTTGTAAAATATTTATGACCTTAGAGTCAAATGAGAAAGTAGCAACATTGAAGTGAAAGAGAAAGTTTGGACTCTGAATTGAGAAAAAAAAATTATAAAATAAGAGAAAAGCTAGTGAAGCTTTCAGATATTTTGATTAAAGAATAATAAATTCTTTAAGATAGGATATAAATAATATTTAATAAATTTCATCTGATGAATTGAACATGGTTTGATTATGTTCTCACTTAAGAATTCAAACAGTAGTATAATATTCCCATTAAACCATAAGTTAGGAGTATAAGAAGGTCCCTGGTTTTGAGAAATGATACCTCTGGCATAAATATCTGGGAGATAGTCACATTTGGACAAAACCTTCAGATCAAACCAACCAGTTAAGATGCAGAATTTAAGAGTTGTGATAAATGAGTATGTTAACTGACATATATTTTACTGCAAGGAACAGAAATTTTGATTAATGTAGTGATATAACAAGATTGATAATAAGGCATTTATCATTTGTTCAACAAAATTTCAGAGGTAAACGATCCCAAGACAAATGACATTCCTCACCTTCTTCAAGGACCTGGGGTGTGCCAGCTTCCACATTGCTTGCCTAGGCTCTGTTTCTTGGTCCAGTTGGTCAAAGCTATTGAACATGACCATCCTTCTACTTGCAGAGAAAAGCTGGGAAAACAAATGTCTGCCTTTTTTTTTAGTCTTTCTAGAAGCAGGCATAAAAGGGAAGAGAGAGTCAGGAAAGGTTCCTCCATAGCCAGCTGACAGTATGTGATACTGAGTAAAAACCTTTACCACATAAATAAGAGGCATGTGTCTACACAACACAAATACATGTGTATATGCTCATATGTGTATCTCATATGTAAACACAGGTGTAGTGTTCGGATATATGAAAAATTTCTACACATTAAAAAGAAAAAAAATCAGGTAACCCAATAAAAAAAAGGCCAACTGTATAAGCAGGTAGTCACTGTGAGTATAAAATGCAAATGGAAAAACTTATTAAAACATATGTAATCAGTAGAATTCTGGGAAGTGAAAATTAAAACAGGAATAAGATATTTTTTTACCAATTAGGTTGGTAAAAATGTAAAGTTTGTTACTCTCCAGTGTTGGTTAAAATTTAAGGAAACAGGGATCCCCTTAAACTATCAGTAGATGCATAAACTAGCACAGCTATTTTTGAGTACAGTTTAATAATATATCTTCATATTCATCACATTTCACCTACAATTTTATTTCTTCTTCTAAGAAACATGAACATTTTTACTTAAGGGATAGATGAGGATGTTAACTGAAACATTGTTTAAATAATAAAAAGTTTTGGGGGAGGGAAACTATATAACTCAAATAATAAAATAATGGCTAGATAAACTATTACATGTTTAACATTTGGATAATGTTATACATTGGTTATATACAATAGTTAAGAAGAATGAGTTAATATTTATATGATATAATACAGAAAAAAATCTCTAAAACATATTTAGTTAAAAAATTCAGACCTATATGAAAAGAATGGCATTACATGTTTAAATTATATACATCAAATAATACCACAATAATGCTATAGGCAGCATTTGCTATAGATACATATACACATACATATAATGCAGTTCTTTATATTAAACACCTTGAAGATGAGCAACCAAATGATGTTGATGAGGGAGTGGACTTAAGTGGTTGAAAAGAACAGAAAGAATCTTGAAATCACCTAAAGCAGGGTATTCCCAGGCAGCTTGGGTGTTCTGCTGATGGTGTACAGAACCATATTTAGTAATCTTGGATGTTGCATGAAATACATTGGAATCACACAGAGTGAAAGTTATCTTGTCTTAAATGACTTGTCAATCCTCCTGCTCGAGTAAAAAGAGAAATTCTATCTGGTTTTACATAGGTCTTTTAATACAGTTACTTCCCTTTTATCAAACAGCAAATTCTTAGCTCAGACTTCAATAGGAGAAAAATCTAGCTCAATTTAATAATACCATTTATACTATATTTATTTTTAAAGTGACCCATGTTTATAAAGTGATTCTTTTTTCCATTTACTGTAATGCCATATTTGATTTTAAAATAGATTTATTAAATGCAATAGTCAATGAAAATATTCAGAGACTATGTATACATATTTATTCATATGTTTAGACACATATAAGCATATATCCAAATAATATACACACATATTACATATGTAGATATGTATCTACAGAAAACTGGTAAACAGTTCAGGTGGTCCATTAATATGTCAGAAATCTTGGAGCAACTTCAAATGACTAATGACTAATCTTATTGTCTTTATTTTCTGTGTAAATAAAAACAATATTATGGTTACTTTCATAGGCTTTTTGCAACTTAATTGAAGAATTTAATCTGAAAGTTATAGTGTAAAACCTACATACATAATTTTAGACCAACAAATATCTTATTATTTTTATTCACGAGTAACAGTAGTCTCATATAAGCATTAAATAAATGGACCTATAATTTTTTCAGGATTTACAAGGATTTGGCATAGAAAGTTTCCTCAAACTATGAAATCATCCACAGGGAGGGCTGGAGCTGGGTGGCAGAGCTCCAGTTACAGAGCATGATGAACATATACCAGTACACAATGTGTGGGCTTTATATAAAATAATAATGACATAATCCGATATTATGAAGAAAAATGAATGAAATGTACTGTTTTGAGATTTGTCTTTGAGCTAATACTTAACATCTGTTTGCCAGGGTGGTCCAGGACTCCGAGGACCAAAGGGCCAACAAGGTGAACAGGGCCCAAAGGTAATATGCACTCTCTGTCTCTTTCTTCCTCCCTCTCTCCCTTCTCCACCTGCCTCAACTAGTTATTGTTTGGAGTTAAGTCTGGCCTAATTTATCTTTGTGATCTATATGAAAGTTGCATCTAGTCCTTTCTTTTTTATTTTGTAAGTCTCATGCTTTTTAATAAAAGTATTTAGTAATTCAGCCAAAGAACAATCTCTGGGTCAGAAATAAGAGTGTTAATGTTCTGAGTGGTTTAATCTGCAAGGAAGTTTTCTCTCTCTGGAACATTTTTGTCTTCATCCGTCTATAACAAAAATGTATCTTAAGAGGAGTTGTGCAGAATCACAGCTTGACATCAGTCCCTTCCAGGTAATTTCTCAGATTTTATACTCTTCCTCTTCCTTTACCACTGTATATATCAAATATACATCTTTGTTTTCCATTCTTACTGCTCAAGGCCACTAAGTGTGGTCGTTTAGGTTGTACACTGTACAAAAGCGCCAACCAAATAGACCAGGCCATGCCAAGCCATGTCAAGAAGCATGTTTTTCTACTTTACACAAAGGCATCCTAAGGACTGGCAGAAGCCCAGCCACTAATTGATTTCAGGCCTCATCCTTTTCTCTCTGTCTTTTGGAAAATCTTCTAACTGGTCTCATGTCTCCAGTGGCTTGACTTTCTGATTGATTCTTCACATCTGCCCCCAGATTAATCTCCCTTAAGTCTATGCTGGATCTTATCATGCTCTTTAAAAACCTGCAGAGATGTGCTATATTGTCTTGAAGATACAATGCACCCTCTTTGGCATGATATTGAAGGTCCTTTGTAATTTGACTTCCCATCTCATTTTCATGATGCTATTCCATATGCTTTCTTCTCCATCCATCTTGCTTGATTTACTGTTTCAATGTGGTAACTTATTAAATTTATATAACATTTACTCATAGAGAAAAGAACACTACAAATTTTTTTATTGTCAATTGGAAACAGATGAAGCAGGGGAAAATGTGGGGATAAATCAGAAATAAATAAAGTTGAACGTAATTAATCAGGTCCTACCCAATTGAAAGCTCAGATCATAAGATGTTTCCCTTTTTTTTTTCATCTTCTGGGATAGACTGATGTCTTTCCATAAACTCCATCGCTAATAGCACTGTAAGAAAGGCCCATGGTTGGAGGCCTCTTTTCAAAAGGATGCTGGTTGGTCCTCCTCTGCTGCACCTGCAAGCAAGGCCTGTGAACTCTTGTGGATTCTGGTTCCCTCCTCCCAACACGTCTGTCAGCCCGATTTCTTTAATTTTCTAACCTCTTACTGGACAATGGTTCCAATCATGAAGATAAATGAACTTGTAGATGTTTGGTGATCCCAGACTCACCTACTTAGTCCTGTTATCCATTTCCACAGGACTGCAACTGATATGGTTTATCTCTGTATGACAATTTTGACAAATTCCAGATACTAGAATGTAGAAGGTTTTGGAAAAACTCTTATTGGACAAAGAATGATCACATGCCCACTAGTGTGGAGAGTGTTGGAACAGACTATATCTTCAATGTCAAAAGCCCCATTATGTATTCTGTTTTATATTGTTGCAGAAAATAGTAGAAATTTAGAAGCACAAAGCAACTGTGCTGATGAAACCTTTCAGTCAATTTTGTCTCATATTTTATAGAATGGATTGGACCACCTTCTTTCTGCCCCATTCTTATTCTTCATTCCTTAATAACATTCAAATGATATATTACTACACTATTATAAATATTAAGTAATATTTATGTCATCTCCTCTCTCCTCCAGTCTATTTTTTTTAAATCCAGATTTATTCCTGGATTCATTCAGTGCATTCAGTGCATCCATATCCTCACCTCCCAAACAATTCTAACCAACATATGAATTCGGACCCCCTAAGGATCCTGTGAAATTGCTCTCATTACAGTCACAAATGATCCATATGTTACCTATCTTTTGTTTCTTATGTCACTTGAGATCTGTACCATCATTGACTTGCTTGGATACCTTTCTCTTTGAATTTTTTCCTGCTTTGAACTTTTCTGCATCACACCATTTTTATTCTCCTCCTAATTTTAGGCTTTCCCATTTCAGATTCTTTCCCAGGCTTCTCTTCCCCTCCTTTCTACCCAATTTTTATCCAATTTTTATTTACTTTATCTTTTTCTCTATCAACATATTCTCCTTAATAACTGCAACCATAAATAGATCTTCAAGTACTACAAAATCCATTCCAGCTCAGAGCTGGCCTGACTCCTGAACCATTGGACATTTCCTGCGTTTATCTCCATACCACCTAAATATTAACTCAGTCTGCACTTATTGTTTTGTATTCTTTGTCCCGAGTCATGGATTCACTAATCTCACATGATACCCAAGTTATATATCCAAAGCAAATGAAATCAGTATGCCCCAAACATCTGCACTTCCATGTTTATTGCAGCACTATTCACAATAGGAAGGAGTGGTAATAACTCAAGTGTCCATCAGCTGGAGGAGACTATGTGGTACATAAACCATGGAATGCTAATAAACCATAAGAGTGGATAGGATCCTCTCATTAATGACAATGTAGATGGAATTCTGGAGGTCATTATGTTAAATGAAATTATCTAGGCAGTTGAGAGTAAAATCATGGTTACCAGGGGCTGGGCAGAGTATTGAGGAGATAAAGGTTGGTCAACAGCTCCTCAGTTACAATTAGGAAAAGTAAGTTCTGTTGCACAGTAGGGTAGCTATGTATAATAATACTTATACAGTTGACTGTTTTCACCACAATGAAATGATAGGTATTTGAGGAGATAGCTATGCTTACCCTGATTTGAACATTACACAGTGTTTACATGCATCAAAACATTTCATGGTACCCTTTTAATGTGTATAATTATAATGTTCCAATTAAAAAATAAGATACCCTTTATCTTGGGGGGGGTCTTATTAAAAAAATAGCTTTAGGTGGAGTCACTGAGATAAGGAAGAAGATGAAGTTGAGGATAAGTAGATTTTTCTGGGTCTAAGTTTATAAAGGTGGTGTAGTTTAAACCACAAGGTCCTAACTACAGAAGTAAGGGTTGCTGAAGTAGAAAAGATGTCTGATCCAGAAAATAAAGGAAATGAAATAATATTGAGCCTTGGGTCCTTTGGTGGATATTGAGGAGGTTCAGGGTGAGGGCAGAATCAGGATGAGGAAGACAACAGGTAGGCACAAAATCCTTTGTGGAGAGGAGTGTCCTGAGGGGACTTGACAGGGGTGAGGTGGAGAGGGTGCAGCTCCTCTGCTTCACCTGGAAGGCTGAACCTTCACAGCCCAGGAGGCTGGTCTTGAAGCTCTTACCTCTGTGGAGTTTGTTATGGAGTGTGGAGGGTCTGGTTACTCACATCATAATTATGCCATAATTGGCACAGCATTCTCCTTTGTGGAAGCAAATAAATAAATAAACAAAATGGCAGCAGCCCCTTGTGTTTATTCTTATGGTGTGCTGATGATCTTTTCCCTGGAAGGTAAATAATTTGGTCTTTGTTTTTAATATCTTGGGGAAAATTATATAGAGATAAATTATCAGTGCTATAAGTGGAAATAACCTTTTAGGTAGCAGAGGTTCTAACGTACTTCTAGGATGACTTTTCTCCCTTGCATTCTAGGGACCAGATGGCCCTCGGGGTGAAACAGGCCCTCCAGGACCTCAGGGTCCCCCTGGGCCCCAGGGACCAAGTGGTCTGTCCATTCAAGGAATGCCCGTGAGTCTTGTGCACATATTCAAATGGGTTTCATTGACATCACTCTTCCATGAAGTTATGCAGAAAGAAATTTTGCCCTCTGTCCCTTTGAAAATAATAATTGATTCAGATTTCCTTTATTAGCTATGGCTACAGTCAATTTTTTGCTCAATGATGGGGGTCTTTGAACAAACATGTGCACATACCAAGAGTACATACATCTACAAGCATTTTGTCCACAAAGGAAAATCAGGATTTAATATATGTACATTGCTTGTTTGATTAAATTCTTAGTGGATGTGATAACAACCAGAAAGTAACAAATGCTGCACAAATGTAAGCATTTGTTATTGATTTATAGTAATTGTGGATGATGATTCATGAAAGCTATTTAATTATGATCTTTATCTCAATGGGCATCAAAGTGCAATCCATTGAGAGTTTTATATTTTAGATGGTATATGTTATACAGCTGCTTTTCTTTAAAAAACTATTTTATACCATTGGAAAAAAATGTAATTCCATTAACTGATCTTCATTAATGTTACTATAGGAATCTAGATTTGAAGACTAATACTAATCTTAAATTAACATTTGAGACACAGTTTTTAACAATCTTTTTTATGTCCCCCTAGCTGAAAAGTTTTCCCCTTCAGTGTTGTTTTGCACTTTAGAAAATATTAATATGCCAATTTATATAATCATACTATTATTAATAGTAAATATTTGTTGTAGTGTTACCATCTGCCAGGTTCTGTTTTTGCTTTTCCATTCTATGTTTTTCTAGCCAAATACAGATCTCTATAGTATGAGATCTTAAAGTATAAACTACAAATCACATTGAAATATTCAACTTTCCCCTTCATGTATTTATGGTCTCAGCTTAGCCATATGGGACTGTATATTTTGTGTTGAAGCTGTTCTCCTGTATAAATGTTCAGTTCAATAGAAAGGTTTACATAGATGCTCTAGCATATATGAGAAGTGAAATATACTGTTTGGATGTTACTGTGAAAACAATTTAATATTAAAAATGTTATAACAGTGGGGGGTGCGGTGGAGAAAAGACTAAGAATTTGCTTATGTGAACTTAACTCTGCGTTCTTTTGGCTATTCAGGGGATGCCAGGTGATAAAGGAGAGAAAGGAGACACTGGCCTTCCGGGTCCACAGGTATTTTATGTTCGTAGTCTGTTGCTCTCAGCTCCAGAACTTTGGCAAGGAGGAAAGGTCGTGGCTTCTGAAGTCAGTTGTGACCTTGACAGTGGTTCCCATATCAAAGATGTTGGTTTGTGTTCATTTACATTAAGCCCTTTCTGAGAGCCACTGGATGCCCTCAATGTGAGCTCTTGTGGGGAATGTTCCTTTTTGGGGAATAACTTCTGGGTCAGAATTCTAAGTTACCAAGGGTTCCCCTTATTGCTCATAGATTTGTTTGGAGCCCTTGATCCATTTCAAGGAAGCTGGGTGCTAGGATAAGTCATGCTTTAAATCTGACTCTTCTGCCCAATTTTTCTACCTAGGGTATGCCAGGAAGTGTGGGTTCACCTGGACGTGATGGCTCACCAGGCCAGAGGGTAAGAATTTACCTAAGGTTGGTTCTTAGCAAAGGGGACTTCTCCCAAGTTGCTCTACTGCTGACATGTTCTTATGTAAGGAAGGTTTTGTTTTTGGTTTTCTCCTGTCAATTTGTATTCTACCTACTGTGCATCCATTTCCCTTCACTAAGTAAGAATGCCGTCTATGTCCATTACTTCCACCAAACTTTCCCAAATTAGCAACACCCCTTTCTAAATGCTCCCAAACTTGAACATAATTTGCAATGAACTGCATGCATTGATTTAATAGATTTTTCTAATTCTGTCAAATCTTTAAAGCACAAACCTAAAGGAAATCAACAATCATTAATTGAAATTTAAGGAATATGGTTTATAAAGAAACCTCTCTATTTATTTAGTATATTTCGATTGTCTCTTCTTTTGACCTGTTCAAGTGGATAGCAGTAAAATAAGGTATAAAATCAGGAAAGAATAAGTTAACATCCGTTTTTTGCATAGTCAGCAAGTTTGCACCAAGCCAGGCTTGAGGTTTTTGTTCTCAAAAAATACTTAGCATATTGGCAGGAAATGCAACTAAATAAGAAATTATATCATATGCTATGATAGGGTTAGGACCCTGTGGAATACAAAGAATCCATGGTTATCAATAACTAGACCAGACTTAGTGGGTCAGGAAAAGCTTCCCACAGGAGGCACCATCTAGGCTGAGACTTGATGGCAAGACAGAAGGTGGCCAGGTGGTAAGGAAAGGAAAACTTGCAAGCAGAGAAAACAGCACAGACTAGGATGGAGGTGAGAAGAAGGTGGAGCATTCCACCATTGCATATAGTTGAGTGTGGCTGGAGATGAGCTTGCATATGTTTAGATATAAGGAGTTTGTCAAGAGACAAAGCTGGAGAGGTAAACACACATTCATTTAAAGCATCTATTTTGCCAAGGATTTACATAAAACAAGTCATTAAATTTTCATCAAGGGAGGGAAGGACCATCTTCTTAATCTGCCACATGTTTACACATGTTTCAACAGCTCCACAGTTTCTAACAAGACTGAATTATAGAGAATGGCAACCACTTAGAGCCAGCAAATAACACATTTGATGTTCACTGGGGGTTTCAGTTCAATATTCATGAGGCTAGCAAACAGTTGCAAGGAATACTCAATTAATTCTCTGCTCAAAGCCTGCCTTTAGGTCAGGGCAACTATGCTGCTCAAAAATATGGAAATTGATTTTTTTCCTATGGAAATGTAGGTATAGGCTCTTAAGTCCCTTTCCATTTTTTTAATATGAAACTTTCATTTGCCTAAAATCTCATAGTAGTCTCTGTTCATCCAATGGAATTAGCATGTAAAACATGGCTAGGTGAATGTCTAAAGAAGTCATTCTGTGAAAGTCAGATTTATGTAGGGCTTTTGCACATGTGGAGGGAGTGTCTAGAAATATTTATACACCCTGGCACGGAGTTTTAGTTAAGATCCTGTGTGGTTACACACCTAGATTCCTTCGTGGTTCCTGAAGGTCTGAAAACGGCAAGTCCAAAGATTTGGTTGAGTGAGTTTATTTGATTTATCTATGCGTAGAGCACAGTGTTGGCAAAGAACTCCCAAATTAAACATGTTAGATTGGTGTTTGAATCATTTGGTTTTAGAATTCTTTCTTTTAAAATCAATATACCAACACAGAGTTCTTATAAATATTTTGCTATTCCTCCAAACATGTTGTGTTCTCCTATAGGATTAAAGTCTTAGAGCTGTAATAAAGTGATAAGATATCTTGGATTTTATTTTCCTCTCTCCCTCAATCTAGAAATAAAACTTTGAGGGTGTGTCTAATTTCTACTTTGAATACTTGGATAGGAATGGGCTTCCTTTTAAAATATGGTTTTCAGAGGATATTCATTTATTATAGGGCCACATTTAAAATAAAAAGATTGCATAAATCTGGTGGTTATTGTTTTAGAAAAGATATTTGAGGGCAACACCATTCTGGTACACATCTTGAGGGGATGCCATCCACACAAAATGGAAGGCTGGAAATGTACAACAGACAGCTCTGCCTGGACCACACATAGTTTTCAATTAGCCATATCTTAACTGATACACATATAATCTTAACTATAACGTGCCATTGACTACACTCAGTCTGCAAAGAGTTGCTCATTATTGACTGCAGAGAATAGTGAAGAGGAGATAATTTCAATAGTTAAAGGAAATAATTTGCAGACCAACTACCTGGAGGAGATGGGAGGATGGGGTTGGGTGTAGAGCATGACTGTTCCCCTGGGCCAGAAAAACAAATGGGTCTTCTCACGGATTCTAAAGAAGAAATGAGGGAAGGCTGTATGAAAACACTCTTATTCAGTCTTGTTTAGTCAAGTGATTAGAGGGCTTAAGTATAGTAAAATTCGAAAACAATAAGATAGATACTGAGGTGAGGTTGTAAGGCAGAAGGCGTGGGGCCAACTTTAATGGGGGTGAACAGAGCTAAGATGAGAACCACCACAGAAGACATGCTCTGCTGAAGGGACAGGTCTCCCTGATCAGGCTGCTAAGAGTGCTAAGAACAAACACCTCAGGATTACTCATGCTCTGCCTTAGGCCTCTAAGCCCAATGGCAGGAACTGTGGCATAGCACAGACTGAGCACTAGCAGAATGATGAGTCTTGCTTCTGCAAAGCACCTTCCAGAAAATTTCCAAGGAAGGCTTTCTCCAGGAAATAAGGAAGCAAAGCTGTTTTTCCCCCTTCACTGTCAGAACTGAGATCACTGAGCAGTACTTCATTTCCCTTGATCCTGTGTGAGCAAAGCCTACTCTAGGCACAGAAGGAAGGAGCTGCAAAGGACGCTTGGTGACATCCAGTGAGTGCTTCTTCTGCTCCTTGGAGAGTCACCAAGGGAGGGTCTGCACTGGCAGTGGTGGCAGGCCACTATTCCTTACTGCACAATCTTTCTTTTTTAATCTTTTCCTTCTCTTGTTAATGGCAAGAACTCAGGGGCAAAGCCTGGCACCATCACCCTGAGTGTTAACTCGGGAAAAGTGAGCACCTCTTTTCTGAAGCCGGTGCCAGTGTTCCACCGGAATTTACCTGAAAGATGGGAGATCTTAGCAAGTAATAAGAGAAGGTGAAACATCTCCTCTTTGAATGTTTCTAGCTGATTCTGGCTTTTCCCAAGGGGGATCTTGGATTCTAAGAGGCAGCTCTTATTCAACTCGGCCTGAGGCCATAAGCAAGTCCAGCCCAAGCTGGACCTCTTCACCCAACAAATTTCCGCCTCTGGCTGGGAAGCCAAAAGACCACTGTGCAGGCCACACTGAACAACAAAGCACGTTCACACTTAACTTCTAAATGCAGTTCTGTGTCCAGGGTTCATTCCCAGTTATTGCAACTAAAACCATTCTGGTCTTATCTTTCTTTTCTGCTGTAAATCTTGTCATTTCCCTCTTCTCTCCTTTCTCTCTCTTGGTGTCTGTGAGCTCGGGGCCTCTCTTACGATTTCTGAGTTCTTCTGGTATATGTTGGACTTTGTAGCCTCCACCTTAGACATCCAGATGGTCCTTAGGGAAACCAGAAAGAACAGACAACATGATCGATTGAACGATCAATCAATAGATAACTGTAAAAAAAATAAAAATAAAAACCAACTGCCTTTCTACTTCTGAGGGTTACTACCAATTATCTGGCCAGTAATCCCAATAGGTGCTTTAAAATCATGTTTAATTTCCAATTCCTGAAATTTCTTTATGAAGTCAGAGAGAGGAGAAATAGAAGTCATAAAGAGATTTGTTTTTATAGCATCTGGAAGGTACTCGTACAGTATGGCCTTTGTGTATATCAAACCCACATAATTAGCAAGCATGTTTCAAGTGTCTTTTCAAGGCAGAATCCAAGAAAATATTTTAGAAAACCAAAATATTGTACTGGAAGGCATAGGATGCTAGCTTCTAACTTACAAGTAAGCTTAGTTCGGGTGCTTCTTTGCCCCCGGGTTACTGCTCCCTGCATACCTATGCCATAACCACAGCCTGCCTTCCTCATCTATAAAAGATGAAATACTGTGGAAAGTATTCTGCATCTGGATGCTGCTGAACCCATGAGGTTACCGAGGAGCAGGATGGTCCTGTGGGGAATGGCATAGACTTCACTCCTAGCCAGTCCTGGGCTTAAACTCTGGCTCATGACACTGGACTAGTTACTTACTGTTTCCAAGACACTTTCCTTGGTTGTAAACAGAAAAATATAATATTTGACTATATAGGGTTGTTGCGAAGATTAATTTATATAAAGCATTTCCACATGAAATGTTATTTTAGGTATGTTAGTAGTGTTCACTATTTTTAAGGTAAACCTAGTGAGCCAGAACATTTTATAATGCCTATACTTGATATATTAAGTGGCTTTAGAAGTTTGTAAAAAAAAATGTCTAAAAAATGCAAGTTTGGTTTTCTAAAATATTTTCTTGGATTCTGCCTTGAAAAGACACTTGAAACATGCTTGCTAATTATGTGGGTATGATATACACAAAGGCCATATTGTACTGAATGTCCCATTACATTAAAAGTGAGAAGGACTTAAAGTGTACTTGAGAAATTGAGCCTGAGTCAACTATTTGGATTTTATTCCTATCATAAGTGTTAGGCAATAATGAGAGATTCTTCTACAGGATATTTTGTGAAATGCTGAGATTCGTGATTATTATCCCCTTGAGTGTCTTCCTCCTTCAGAAAAGGAAATGTAAGATTCTATCATGAAACTTGTGAAAATGATTTGATTTTTTTTTCCTTTGTGAGTCTAGATGGATTTTTTATAAAATCCCAGGAAAAAATCCATTCAGTCACAGCAGTGGTAATAGTATATTCAATTGGGACTTGACAGATTATTTTAATAAAAACAGCTGCAACCATAGCCATTAAGTATTGAATATGTGAAAGTGCTTTGCAAGAGTCATGTTCATTAATGCTCAGGATAACCACAAACACTAGGCACTGTTATCCTCACTTTACAGACAAAGAACCTGAAAC